GTCTGGCCTACCCCTAGAATGTAATTTAAATCTGCGTAGGCGCGGAGGGGCGAGGCGACCCGCGAGCTGAGGAGGTGGAGGTGGTGAGCGTTGAATTCATCTGCAACGAGAAGCTCGCGTGGGACCGCCGGAGCCCCGCAGCGCTGGCGCCGAGACTGATATAATTCTCACTGTAAATTGCCTGAGATATGATAGTTCTGCCCTTTAATGACTATCGATGTGAAAGTTATTCTAATGGATGGACCCCCGTGCGAAGTGGAGGAGAACCCGGGCGTCACCAGACGCAACCGGGTTTAATGCTCATCCGAGCATGATGATGATCCTTTCGCATAAAACTTTAAGACATGGCATGGAAAATGGCATACATAATTTTGTTTATCCTAAACTATATTTACGCAAAATGATATTAAAACATAGTTTTTAAAGGCATATGAAATATGCATAATAATAAAGTCCTAAAATGTTAGACACTAGTAGGTACACATTTTAAATGTACATTTGTTATACGTATGTGAAACATATTGGCGGCTTAGGGGTGCAACCCCGTCGAATTTTACCTATTGATACACATTCCAATATTCCTTATTGATTTTTATACCTAAATACTATTAGTCATTATGCCTAAAATATTAGTCATTATATCTATTATGCATATCGTAATATTATGCGAATGGAAATTATGCCAAACACAAATTACAGCAAAGTATTATTATGTCAAAGCAGTGACAACCGAATGGCGTAGTGGTTTGTATAACGGACTGCTATTCCAAAGGTCGCGGGTTCGATTCCTGCTCAAGTCAAACATTTGTGTGCATGAACATTTAATGTTTAATTTGGTCTGGGTGTTTCTATGTATAATAAGTATGTATTTACAAAAAAAAAGTATATTTGTATTTATATCAGTTCTCTAGTACCCATAGTACCTACAAGCTCTGCTTAGTTTGGGACTAGATGGCGTTGTGTGAATGTGGTAGAAAAAATAATAATTAATTAGTTATACCAAAGTATATTAGAGAAAAAAACCTTATGCGAAAAAAAACGATCCCGCTTTTTTTATCGCAACTTTTATCATAGTGTCATCATCATCATCTCAGTCGTCCACTGCTGGACGTAGGCCACCCCAAGGCTCGCCACAACAATTGGTATAGTGTGGGTCTTAATTGTCAATAGGCATACTGTAGAACAGGAATTCCCAAACTATTTTGGGCGAGATACCCCTTTCCAAAATGAACTGATAGCTCAGACCCCCATAGCCAAATTACTTTTACTATCCTATGTGTAGTTTTTCCTATGACACAAAATACTTATCAATTAAAAACTTTTCTGTTGGTTAAGTGAGTAAACTTGACATCATTTTCTCATCAAAATTTAACAAATAGACATATTAGTCAGTCTTATAACAAGTTGGTGCACGTAAAACAACCTAAGCAGTATCTTGAAAGTTTCAAATAAGAACTTGTGTTAATTAATAGGGGTCGATTTTTAGTCAGTTATCGTTTATGTCATCCCCTAGGCACCCGATTTCGACCCCAAGGGGTCGATATCAACCACTTTGGGAACCCCTGCTGTAGAAGTATCTATTGATGCTAAAAAAATACTTGAAACGTTTTATAGCAGAGCTAAATCAATTACTGTCCTTATAATATTCTTTTATTTTTAGTTTCTGTCTGTATGTTTGTAAAGCACTGGCCTTTATTTAACACTTCCTCCTCTGTGTAATAGAGGTCAGTGTCGTGAGAGTATTAGAGAAGAACTAGTACGCGAATTTGGATACGGCATACCTGTAGGAGTATTACTCTCGGTCTAACTTAAAATGTAGTGGTTTCATATTGAAACGCCGCCTAAAGGCCGAGTTCTTTGCCTACATAATAATGATGTCGTAAACATTCCATGTTTGTCCATTAAAAATGTTTGCGAAGAAACCGTGTAAGACGCTACTACAAGTTCTTAAATATATGTACATTTATTTTGTTCGTTTGCGAAAGAATCACGTAAAACTATAATAAAAACTTATAAAATATAAAACTTTATTGTAGGTAAGTCACATTTAGACTGAGTTCAATTGAAAGTCTTATAGTCACCACGAGTCAGGCATAACCCGTGTTGCAGAAGTCTTTGTTATTAATCGCAGGTAGGTATATCATGTATTTTAATATTTATTTATGTGTAATAATTTTCGGCAATTATTCCGAGTCGGATTTGAAAAAGTTAGGAAATCACCATATTCGCGGCGGTAAGACCCGTTATGGAGGATTGGCTCGAGAGGCGTCACGGGACCCTCTCATACCGATTGACGCAGGTGATCACTGGGAAGGGATGTTTCGGGGATCACCTGTGTCTGATCCGCAAGAAGCCAACGCCTGAGTGCCACCACTGCGATGGCCAGACCGTGGACACGGCTCTCCACACGCTGGCAGAGTGCCCGGCGTGGGTTGAGCAGAGGCGAGACCTCGTGGCGGCCATCGGAGTGGGAGTTCTCTCGCTCGATAGCCTGATTGCGGCTATCGTGCGGAGCGAGAGTGCGTGGAACTCTGCCGTCTCCTTCTGCGAGCAAGTTATGCTCGCGAAGGAGACGGCGGAGCGGGACCGGGAGAGGTTTAGGACTCTCCCGGCCCGCCAGGCCCGGGAACGGCCAGGTACCGCAGGCGACTCAGGCGCCGGAGGTCGCAGAACGACCTCCGTCCTCCATAAGCGCAGGCCTGGGGGTGACAGGTGAGGCCATCTGTCACCCTAGCAGAAGTAGGCCGTGGTGGCGGCGAGCGCGTTGCGAAGCGCGCTCGCTTCCAGGGAGCACGGGGAACATGGGGTTCCCACACGGGGAGGGGGTCCTCTACTGGTCTGTAGATGACCCGAGGTATGTCGGGGCACCAGGGACTTCCTTTCTAGGGTATACCTGGTGCCCCGGCTATTAGTACCCGAGACGGCGTGCGGTTTTAGTCGGTTCGAGTCCGACATGCCACCGACAGGTGGTATCCGAGGGGATTTCCGCACGAAAAAAAAAAAAAAAAAGGAAATCACTATATAGATTTGCCAATAACTAGAATTATTTTAGTAAGAATTAAGACAAAATTCTCTGAAATTGTACCTATAATCTTCCCTATTTATACAAGTTCAACTCTATTAACTACGGTATAACATTCAATTCTACTGAACGTTGAGGGCGCACACCGACCGCGCGTTTGGTTGCCGCGCTCGTTCGCTCGAATATCACCAAGAGCAGCTGTATGAATTGGGGTTGCGGGTGGTAGCATACAGGAATTCTCTGATTAATTTACTTTAACCTTTATGCACTATTTTACTAGAGCGGCCGATTCGTTGAAACATCTTTGCGCCATCCAAGAAGCGGCCGCGCGTCGTTCTGTTTAAGAACCATTCATGGCCATAGTCAGCATAGATTATACACTAATAACTAGATAGTCAGATGAAACTGTGATTGGCTGCCGTTGTTCTAGCAATTTTAATGCAGTACATATCTGTATATTATATAATACAGAACAAAATATTTCTATAAACTAGTTTTTTACCAGTGTAAAGTATTAGGATCATCATCATCAACAGCCTTTAATAGTCCACTGCTCGACGTTAGGCCTCTCCTTAGAAAGGAGCTTTTGGCCTAATATACTATATATGGTTGGTATAGCGGATTTCGCCCTCCGCCCGAAGACGTGCGCGAGTGGCGCGAAGCCGCTCGCCGAGCCACGATGGCTCGTTGGTCGTTCCGGCTGCAGACTCCACGCGCTGGCTTCGCCGCCGTGGAGGCTCTCCAGCCGGTCATCGCCAAGTGGGCAGGGCGGCAGCACGGGACCCTTACCTTCCGGCTGACGCAGGTGCTTTCCGGGCACGGTTGCTTCGGAAAGTACCTGCACTCGGTCGCTAGGAGGGAACTGAGTCCCGCCTGCCACCACTGCGACTGCAGTGAGGACTCGGCCCAGCACACGCTGGCGGTCTGCCCCGCATGGGCGACGCAGCGCCGGGCCCTCACTGCAGTCATCGGAGTGGATCTCTCGCTACCGGCCATGGAGCGTACTACGGCCGGTAGCGAGACCTCCACTCGGACCCGATCCGCCGCCGGTGAACCACGGCGGAGGCGCGCTCACCTGCGCCTCATGCCGCCCTGAGTGTGGCCGCGGGTGGACGGGGTGGGTTTCCCCTCCCCCCGCATTAGTTTGGCCAGCCGCCAGGGGGCGGCGTCCGCGTGTGCCGGACGTCGCCTTAAAAAAAAAAAAAAAAAAAGAACGCAACAGGAGCGGGCCGGCGCTAGGAGGGGTCCGGATGTCTTAATAACAGCTGTTCCCGGATCCCTCCTATTACAGGCGCAGAGTGGCACACCGTGTGGTTTTAATCGGTCCGAGTCCGACACACCACCCCGCCGCAAACCCCGGTGGGGTGACGGTCCGAGGGGATTTCCACAAGTTAAAAAAAAAAAAGGGTTTGTGTCGAGTTTTCCTTCCTTAGCAGTGTTGTTGTCCTGCAGAGTTTGCTCACTTAGTCGGCTCTTACGACACCCACGGGATGAATAGGGGTGGTGACACATCATACTCTTAATCTGTCACCACACGGACAGAGTAACAGGATTGTTAGATAAAATGGTAGAAAATGATTTTATAAGCAATCTTTATTTATAAAGCTTTGTCTTAAATTACTAAAGATTTTATAATGTCATGTCATACAGTTTAGGTTCGACAGAGGTGCTTTTCTGATTTCATCATTAAAAACAATAGTCTATATAAATTAACATATCTACTACATCTTAAGACAAAAATTATTTTATATTAGTATTTATGTTTGGTTATACATTATTAGACTAATAGTTTCTGCAGTACGGCTGAGAACTACACCTAAGTTTTGGCAGGTTATCAACTGAAACTAAACCCTTTTCCATTCTCATATATGAAATAGGATCTCTTTAATATAAGACTGTCTATGAGCTATACCTAATATTCAAAATTATAAACAGGTTATACTCAAATCTATAAATACTACAGTAAAAATATACAAAACTAATATTGAGTCAGTGACGAAATTTTATCTAATGGCCAAACTCTACATACAACTCTACTTTTAATTAAACCTTCTGGAACAGGTCCATATAGTCTGGAATCTGCAGAATTACTTGAGTTATCCCCCTCTAACCACACATGTCCCCTGGGCACAATTTGACTACGTTTTGGGAATTGGACTCTGACACGGTCACCAGGAAGAGCTTTTATCCTCTTACAGATATTTTGTTTAGGATTTGAGGGACTTTTGGCTATGACAATGTCTCCTCTTCGTAGTCTTTGAAACCTAGGTGTTATATGTTCAGTAAATAGAATGTTGTTTGATTCTAATGTTGGCTCCATCGATGGACCAGAACACTGCAAAGAAATGAGATGAGGTGAACTTTCTAATTGTTTGTTATCATTTAATACATTGCTCTGTTTATTTATTTAATATATTTAAGTGGCAGTTCTTTATGTGTAGAAAGGATTGTATCTAGGCTTTCTTACTAGGTATATTGGACTACAGAGTAAGCAAGATCTCTATGTACATTAAATACTTTCTCATATTTACAACCATCACTTTTAACCGTTACTTTTTAATAACCGTTAATTTAAACGTTAAAAATTGCCGTTAATTAAAATAAATAATGTATGTTTCTGTTGATAATAAGATAATTTAAAATATATATATAGGTCGGTTGTCACCTTAACTATTTGAAATTAGAGAATAATTAATATAAGTACTTCATATTTAAATGCCATACAACCTGCATACTGTACAAAATATATATGAAGGTATATTTATAATTGTAAAATATTTTATTATAGGTTTTTTTAGCTATATTAACACAGATAGAGATGAAACATGAGTTTAGCCATACTTTAAAATGCTAAGCACATAATTATTTCCAAGAATTAGCTGTAAAACTAGCACTTAGTTTAAAAGTAGTATCTTTTATCAGACTAAATGTTAGATATAAATGTTTACAGGCTTATATTTGACATTCTAGTCAAATGTGGTTGTTAGGGCCTTATACTTTGAATAAATTTTCTAAATATTTACATTAAGAATGACCCTGAATATTTATTCCACTGTGTATTTCCATTTCACTGGCAAACTAAACTTTGTAAAACATGCAGTACCAAGTACATCAGTAAAGCTTTCATGGCGAGTGTAGTAGTAGGCAGGTAGTAGTAGAAAGTAGATCGTAACTGCTTGTAGAACATTGGTCGAGTTTATCGGAAGTAATGTTACCTGTACTACATATTGACAAATATATGTACGTACCCACGACACATGTACTTACCACAACAAAATCTCCAACATGGTTAAAAGTACAATGGGCAACGCATACGGTTTGTATAACATAGCCAGCTACCTCACAAGATTTTGCAATAAATTTCATGAAGGCCATTTTCTATTTAGTTGGCCAATATTTAACGATTTATGACAATTATTTGTAAACTCTTTCTTCGCTTGATTTCATTCTACAACAATAACTTAAGTAAAGTATTATTTTTTTACAAAATCATCATAATTAGGTAACTGTGTTTTAGGTCTATTTTGAACTTGAGCAATTGATATTTATGAAGTTATGAACTTGTAATGTCAAAGGTATCAAACTGTCAGATAAATTCGGCTGCGTTTACAGAAATTGTTAAGTTGACGTAGACACAGAAACACCCCTACTTGCAGGTGAGTGGTCGAGCGGCTGACTGTTTTCAGTGAATAAAAACATTCAGATCTACTTAGGTTCTGCATATTAAGCCATATCTTTTGTCTGTACTGTTAATTATGATATTGGAAGCGAGCCTTTGCTTCTACTCTTTAAAGTTCGAGTTTAAGGTTTGTCAACACATCACGCCTCATCGGGTTTTAAGAATGAGTCCTGACTAATGTTTCCATTCTGTAGATGAGAGACTTACTTTTTCTAAAATACTAAAGCACTTTTTCTGTTTGGTTCTTGTTTGATTTAAATTTAATTGTAAACTATTTTGGTAGAATTCATTTTAAAAAATTTAGTCGATTACTGCTCATTAAATCTAAAAAACAAACTACTTCGGTTTTACGTTGAGTCGTTGACATATAAACGAAATGACATGACAGCGGAATCTATCAGATTATTATGTGGAGCAATCGTCGAAGTGGCTAGGGAATATCGAGCTGTGTGATTCGTTGTAAGTTACGTTTTATCGTGAAATATCAGTACCATTATCCTCGGCACTCTAAATATATATTATCTGTTTATAGTAGCCATGGTATTTGAGAAAAAAAAATCTGTACCTAGCATTTTTGTTGTAGACGTTTTGTTAGCTTTCACAATAAAATTTTGTTTCTGCAGGATTATTTGAACAGAAATCACAGGACGGAATACAATAGTTTTCGATTTACTCTTCAGTGATAATTGTTGAACCTAACGAAGTATTCGTTTTTGCGAAGAAGTAATAACCCATCATATAAGAACCTTAACCATTTAATGTGAAATGAGTGTGCATATTTAGTGAAACAACTGAGGTATGGACATCTGATGGAAGAATAACATCATCGCTAAAACTTTAAAGAGCGCTGGCATTTTATATCATGTGAGTATTTTTTATGGTAACTTGTACAGCCCTCAAGTGCTGACAAAAAGCGTGAGTCACACGAGTTTCGATCACAATTGATTGAGCAGACTTTTACTTGTCTTTATCTTCAAATTACAGCAAGTGGTAATATAGTGAATTATTGTTCAAGTATGTAGTAGTACTAATGTTAAAGTTGGCAGATATAAGTTTAAACATTCCTTCAACCAAAGACAAAGTTGATTTCATTGCATTAAAAAAAAATCTTTGTATCTAAGTATTTGCATACTAAAGTTTGATTTGAATCTTGAATTGAAGGTATATTCTTGAATAATGTTGATTTTAAATCTACCATTCTATATAAAGTCTTTAATATGCTATTGTTTACCAAATTTCAATCAATTCATCTATATGTATTAAATTAACTATAATTGGTAAAAGATACATTGATATATATTTATATTATTGGCTTTGTTCATTTTTAGTATTGATTTCACTAGTTATTTTGTTGCCTTGCCAACTGAGCCACTCCATAAGATTTAGGTTATATTACTAGGGGACTTTATTCATGCATTAATCATTGTGAAGTATTCTTGTACTCATAGTTTTCTAATACTTCACTCTATTTTGCTATTTAGTGAATACCAACATTTTTATTCAAGATATTATGTGTTATATACATTAAATTTTAATGTATTTTTGAGACTGCTCCATAATTAAGGTACTTTTAATGGTTACAGTTTTATTAATCTGAGTTACAATATTACATTTTATAAACTAATGCACAAACTCTTATTGCATGTAGATAATAAATATAGAAAAATAAAAGATAATGGGTGCTATTAGAGGCCAATTTTAATTAAAAGTTTTTAGTGTGCAGACCCCAACTGGACATCCCACAACCAGAGCAAATGGTAAAGTGGTATGTCAGAATCTACCTAATAAAAGCACAGAATATTCTATGGGTGTATTTGTTAAGTACCCTAGGATACCATAAGTAAGCAGTCTCAGTCAGATAGTCTCTTGGTCAATAGACAGCTTCACCATTGAGTATAAGGGAGCCTTCTTCCTCTCCAGCTAAGAAACACATGTGGGAAATGGTGTGCAATTATCTTAGTGCTGCTTCTACTAAAGTAACAGACAGCCCCACTTAGACGACCCTACCTGTTACCTCCAATCCAAATTCATGGTGAAAGATATGATTAACCTGTGCATTAATAAATAATAGCTATTTGACTACATGATTAGTAATGATGATGATGCTTATTAGTAAATAATATCTATTAAACTATTGTCAGTAATAAAAAAGGCTGCTGTATAACAGAAAGTTATGTGGTATATATTGTGCAATCATTTTAATCCTGTTCTGCTACAGTAGCAGACAAGCCTACTGGTACCCTCAATCCAAATTGCTGTTCAAAGATAAGAAGGTAAATAATATTGATTTGACCACATGGTCAGTACTAAAATGGCTGGTGTAAAACAGGCGGCCCAGATTGGTACACTTGTATCTGTCCGAAAATATCTCATTCTGTTTCAGTATTTGTGGTTTAAACAGTCACCTTGCTGTTTCGTACTGCGCTGAATGTTGTGGGTTTAATCCCCAAATGAGTCAACACTTTGTGTGATCCCAAAATTCTTGTCCTGAGTATGGGTGTTCTTTGTGTCCATTTTATAAATGCCTGTAGTCTCCTGCAACACAGGATATGTTTTTAGTGCAGAAATTGTCTTTTAAAGAAAAAAGTAAATTGTCATTACTCTTTCCCCTAATACACAAACAATAATGAAGCTCTTAACTCTCTTAACACCTCATGTATCTATACAACACTCTTACATCTTTCTATATGTGTTCATAAAAATGTGTAACTTTGTTTTTTGTCAACAGACACAATGGGCAAGTACTCGGGAAAGAAATGCCGCCTTCTTTCAATGTTATGGCTGACAGGTGGCTTTTTCTTTGTGGAGTTAATAGTAGGATACATCACTAATTCTATGGCACTCGTAGCAGACTCGTTTCATATGCTCAGCGATGTTGCTGCACTAGTAATAGCCTTTTTATCAGTTAAGGTAAGTTGTGTATTCATTTGTTTTAAAAACGTCAATTGCGTGACTGATAATTAGTACAATAATATGTAAAATTAATACTGTTTGTTATCTTTTAAATGTATTCTATATTCTTTGTAAATAGATTTTCTGGTTGTGTTTGTGACTTTAGCTCTGTTTTTTCTTTGCATTATCATGTATTTCTCATGATGTATAACTGCCAAGATCAGTGCAACTACTACCTATAATATATACCTATATCGGAAGAGTGCCGTGGCTGAGCATGTTGATCAAAGATTAGATTTAATTATTTTTGTTTACATTTCTTTAAATAAATCCAATTTAAATTAATCCTATTGTGTTGACTGTAGGCCATTGTCACTATTAAACAAGAGAGCTGTTTATATTTATTGAAGAGTTGGTATCAGAAACAAATTTGGACAAATTAAATATTTTAGATTTTAACAAAAGGATACAAACAAGCATGTCAGATATATATTGATGAAAAAAAAATGCTAAACTTTCTAATTTATTTATTTGAACCTTAATAAATTTACAAAATAATGGCGGATATCGCGTATACACAACAATTATCGTGTAGAATTTAAAAGCTCCTCCTTTCTGAAATCATTTGTTACGTCGTGACACGTGACTCTTTGTTTTATATTTTTAATTATTTCCCGACAACATCCACACGTGTAGATGGGAAGTCCCGTTAAAGTTGCTTCTAACTCTCTTGGCATTTTTGTAAATAATAATTGTTTTTTATTTCACGAAAAAAAAGTACTACTTAACCGTTTCCAAAATTTTCCTATTTTTAGGACAAATTTTCTAATTATTCTTCTCTTAAAAAATTATATTGGATTACTTATAATACACATTTTTAATCAAGTGTCCCAATCACTCTGAGGGTTGTCAAGTTTCAACGAACAGCATGTTATTTTATCAAAAGAAGAAATTGCTTCCTATTTCTGCTGAACATTCCGATTTCCAGGCATCGTTTCTAATTTTTCATACCTTAAAAACATAATTTGGTATGTTACTAATACACAAAAAATACACAAAAATAAAACAGCCAGTGTCAGTTTCCGTCGCACACAGGCGGTTTCCTTTAAACTTGTATGTGGATTATATAGTTTTCCTTTTCATTAACAGAATTCAAAAAAAAATAGCCAGATACGTCCAGCTATTCTGAAGTTACGTGCTTACCAACGAACAGAATTTCATTTTGTATTTGTACAGATCGATAGGTTTACGCACATTTAAACATATTATATTAATAGAAGGTGGGTATTAAACTTACTTATTAATAATACAATATAATCATAATTTCCCTTTAGCACACTTAACATTATTTTTTGTATTATTTCAATGATAAATATAGTGGCGACTGCGTTTGATTACGTTTCTATATCATGTAAATGCAGCACCTACCTAATTTAAATGTATTTATGGTTCATCACTACTTTGTCAAATTACCTAACTACCAAATATATAATAAGAAACAAATCCCTTCTTAATTGTCATTGTGTCATTTTCTAAATGTACGATTATCCTGACTGTTAACATAAAAGTCACACAAGTCTAAATTCATTTTATTTTGTATTTTGAAAGACATACGATACGTGAATGTTATGTGATATACACCAAGACAGTTTCATGATTTTTAAAATTTGAGAGTTACAGCATCTATAAGCGACGCTATTTCGCAACGTGCTGCAGAAGAATACAAAAACATTACGAAACAATAACTTTGTCGGTCTTGCGAAATGATATCACCTATAAAGGGACTAGTGATGAGCCCGATGTTGTGAATAATACTCAGTAGTAGTTTTTATCAATACTAATTGTTTTAATAGTTAAATTGATCGAATTGATATCTTGTCCGTTGGGACATTTCAAGTTTAGAATATGTGTATATTAATACCTGAAGCGTATTTGGAAAACTAATATTCACTGTAGAAGTGTAGGAAGCTAAAATTTTGAAACAGTATGCATTTTTAAGTACGTAGTTAAAAATTACAAAAAAAAAGATTATATAAAATTATAGGGTTCAGTATATTGGTTGCACATGTCATGGTACAAAAGTATATAAAAACACATCTCAAATTATACTGGTCAATGAAAAAAAAACAAGACATTCAAAATGGTTGAAGATCGACGATCTCTCATCATCATCAACAGCCTCTTACAGTCCACTGTTGTACATACGCCTCTCCTTAGAAAGGAGGTTTTTGCCTACTATACCACGTGGGCTGGACTGATTGGTATTGGGTTTGTTTCAAGTTTGCCTCTTTGCAGTGCTGTGGCGTGGTTTGCCCCCTTGGTCGGCTCGCGGGCGGGATGAATAGGGGTGGTGATACTCCTTATACTTAATCCGCCACTACACGATCATAAGATCTCTAGTAACATACAAAAACACATTAAAAAAATTGTGCATTTCAAATCGAAATCGTGTTGGCGATAAAATCTAAAAAGCATTGCAGAGATTTCGAAATACCGAATGATAATTCTCTGTATATTTTTCCTAATATTGTTTAACTCATATTCGTATTGTTAATAACAATTGGTGAGATCATAGTATATCTGCCTATCACTTCTGTATGACTGTCACATATAATGATGATGCACCAAGTATCGTTGTTTGAAGCACATTCACTGGTAATTGACCGAAATTATTTATTTATTTATTTAGATAAATTTACAATATTCTTACAGGAATACTCCCAAGACAATATTTCTAGCTTATAACTAATTATCTAAATGTCTAAAAATCTAAATCACATATCAATTAACATCGGTTATTCCTCACCAAGCCTCGTGGATGTTTAAAGACACTTGTGGATGCCAGACAATGCCGTACTCCGTACATTCACAGTAACATGCAGGTTTTTTTTCGTGCGGAATTCCCCTCGGATATATGCACCTCACGCAGAGCTAGCGCATAAATATGTAGATATTTACCGTCTTGTCTGACACTTAAAAATATATGTAAACTTAAAGCCAGTTTATATTTTTAGTCTACTAGCTGTTGCCAAAACCTCCTTTCTAAGGAGAGGATGATGATGATAGCTGTTGCCATCGGCTCCGCCCGCATATCGGTATATATGTCGGTTATCGCAGTAAAATGCATGTGATGATCTGATCTTCAACAATCATCGCCATATTGCATACAAATTATAAAACCTTAATAAATTATACACCCAAGCATTTCTCACTTCGTCCATTGACTAAAACGCCATGAACATCCGTTCGATACTTTTTGAGATGATCGTCCTCAGACAGACATACACGGCAATTGGACTTATTTCATATGTCGTGGTGATGAACTGTATTTCAATAATATCTATGTTTTTAGATACACTACTGGTTAATTCAATTCTTTCACACACACTTCGCACAGTTACTATATATCCATAACACTGATCGGCCGACTATGTGTATACTCGACTTCATTATATCCTTATGGAACACTTTATATATCTCAAAATTATGTCAACAACGACTAAGTTATTTATGTTACAGATGCTAATTTCATACAACCATAGAACCTATTGTAAACTATTTATTCAGCCTTATCCGGTTTATATTACCTGTGCAAGAGAGACCTTCCAACGGATGGTCTTCTAACACACTTCTGTTTGCATAAATTTTGAGCTATGTCTGATTTTGATAATGTGGTAGTAAGGTCTTGACACCGCCTAGATCAAATTATTATTCCATTTGAAACTTACTTACACAAAATTGCAGCAAAGCTTGCTTCATAAAACACAAATTATTTATAAACTTTAGATTTTAAAATCCGTGGATTGCAATCAAAGAACAGAGAAGACCTCCATCTAGTATATTTTCTAGTAATAAGATGGTCTGCGTATTATTTTTTTAATAGTAGGTAAGTTAGTTTTATTTTTTTATCCTTAAATTCTTAAATCTGTTATAATCGTTGTCCTCAGATGTCACCAAAGAAATGGTCAAAGAATACGTTCGGGTGGGCTCGCGCGGAAGTGTTGGGCGCACTAGTAAACGCAGTTTTCCTAGTCGCCTTGTGCTTCAGTATCACAGTCGAAGCTGTCAAGAGATTTGTGGAGAAAGAAAAAATCCACAACGCGAAGCTCCTGGTGGCGGTCGGCACACTAGGGTTGTTGTTGAACATCGTGGGGCTGTTCCTATTTCATGGTGAGAGTTGCAAACATACATTTTTTTTTAAGTTATTTGTAAATTGTAGTTAGTCCATCTAAATAATTTACGAAGAGATAAAAAAACGGCGTGAGGGGTCTATGGACGCCCGGTCAGAACGAAGTTTCGCAAGAACTATCGGCAAAAAGTCTAGATACACATTTTTCGGTCTCGCTTCCATCCGCTCATAGAGTGTAACGCGCGATGAGGAACTTAGTTCCAATAAATATCTACAGTAAAATAGAAGTTATATACTTATTTAGATAGAGATACTAAATAAATAGAAAATATACCTAGGTTCGGGCGTTAGGCTAATATTGTTTACGTTGAGTATAACCGTACCGCGTTGCTGAGAATGTTAAGTAGTTGATCACCTTGTAGTTGAGTTCAAGCTTATTTGTAAATAAATAAATGACGAAATTCACAACATAAATAGCTTTATTTCTGCTGTCGCGTTCTTTATATGATTATCTCTCTTTTTCTCCTTAGAGAGTCTAGAAATTGAATTGTTTTGTTTTGCAATCATATTTGTAAAGACTTGTTTATTTTTTTCCATAACCTTCAGTGCATGAGGACGTGACACTTTTCACATTTTATTCACCTCTTTATCAGGTGAAACAATTAGATAAAATAGTGTAATATTTGTGCAATGAATTAAAACCTGATGCCAGCCAACTTAAATATTTAATAAACTAACTGTGCATACACTAACCTTGCTTTGAATATACCTTACAAGTCATAAATATTTATTGCTTGATGTTAAAACATGTCCAAGACCTTGCTTTACAACTAATACGCGTATATCCAATGTGTGACTAAATACAGTGAGTAATGTGACAGTACTACCAACAATTTTCCTGATATGAAAAGTTGGTTTATTCCTAGTAGTTCCATATATCCAATTCCACGTGGAACTTATGCAACCCAGTAATTCCATACATGACATTCATATCCATAGCAGCATGAATACCGACTTTTCATATAAACTACAAATACTTGCTGCCCAGCTCCGTTGAGTAATAGCGTAATGTATGATGTATGTTATTATATGCGTAGATAGTCTTTTTTTTTTCTTACGTTCAATAGTTTTCCCAGACTTTCTTTTGTTAATGAATTGAATTAATGTCAGCTATAAAAGTAGTGTAAAATTATATGGAACAAATGGTACAAAAATCGGATTTTTAAGGTTACATCAGTACCATGTGGAACTGGCTTCATGGAACTGCTGATATTTCATAATGATACTAATCATTATGAAATACTAATCATACTAATCATTATGATAAAAATCATTATTGCATTTATTCTTATCATTATTATATTCTTATTCATCACTGCTGCATCCTTAGCGGAAACTTTGACAGAGAAAAGAGTGATGACCCCTAATGATTTTAACCCGTTGATAATAATGATTTCTATTGCGAATAATAATTTTTGCTCTTTCGGCGACTTTCTTTAATTCTCACGATTTTTGTATGGTCTTTGGATACGTTAGTGTTGATGAAAAATGGATAACTGGCAGAACTATGTTCTTGAAGGCGAACGGGCTCTGAACAAGATGAAAGTGGGGCAATGGGCAACCAAAGTAAAGTCTATATTTTTTTAGGATGTAGAGGTTAAAGATGTAAGTATTAAACACAGAAATCTATATCTATAAACTTATTTGCCCTGACTGATTCACTATTCTTGCTCCTGCCGCATCATATTTCTACATCACTTGAAGATTGGCTGTGAGAGAACGGTCCGGAACGGTCAAAATTAGTCCCGGATTGTCCCCGTGGTGGAACGGATAGTATAATCCATACTAATATTATAAATGCGAAACTGTGTCTGACTGTCTGTCTGTTACCTCTTCAAGCTTAAACCGCTGAACCGGTTTATATGAAATCTGGTAGAGAGATAATCCGAGTCCCATAAAAGGACATAGGGTAGTTTTTATCCCAGAAATCATCCCTTAAGTGGGTGAATGGGGGTGTGGAAGTTTGTATGGGGTATCAATAACCGCTGAACCGATTTAGATAAAATTAAGTATGGACATACTTTGATTCTTGTGGAAAGTCATAGGCTACTTTTTACCGCGATAACCGACATTTACGCGGGCGGGGCTGCGGGTATAAGCTAGTTATACCTACATGGATAAGTTTTTTAATCCATAAAAAAAAGCCTTTTCTACTAGCCGTAGTTTAAAAAGACGAGGAAAAATCGAAAAAATAAACAGTATAATATATATTTCTAAAAGTTGGTGCTGCGTTGGCAGGCTGATTTCTTCCAAGTGATCAAATCGGTTATTCGTATTTTGGCAACAGAAAAATATTAGTACAACTTGTGAGGTTACGTTAGTTACGGCCAAAATAATTCTGAATCTAATTATAAAGTGTATTGATAATAGCTGTCATAATAGTACGCGTTAAAGATGTCACATCTATACAAATAAATAAAATTGAAGTGACTGTTTGTAATGTCAAAATAATAGTTTTTTTTTCATGCTTACACGGTTATTTTCACGATACTTTTGCCTAAAAACCACTTTAAACCACTTTTAACCACTTTAATATTTTACTACCAAGTAGCTGTCTATATAAGGAGTAACTTAGGCTATTTTTTCTCTTAGAAAAACCCTATAAAATTTTGCCTGATCCGAACATCGAACGCTACAAGGCAGCGCTTTTCAAATTCGACGCGAACGAAGTCGCGGGCACCAGCTAGTTTTGTTTATATAATTTATTCCATTTGGCACAAATTGACGTTTTTATAAAATGTTTGACAATTTTTGTATGGATTTCTGTGTACTGTTATGTGCAAATAAAAGAAGAAGAAAAAATCACGTGAGAAGTTTAATATATTCGATGTCTTTAAAGAATAAGATAAACGATTCATCATATTAACAAATTCTATGATTATTTTAAAAGTGAGGCAAATGTGAAGTTATTATGTGACGTTAAAGCAAGTAAACCTTAGAGTTTTGCAATGACTACTACACTATAATTTATTATCTCTTAATAAAAAATATAGAATTTAAGGGTTGGCATGTGTATAACAATACGCTATTACCCATAGAAGCGGAGTAGTAAATCATATCTTACTTCATAAAGGAGATACAAACCTGAAATAGTCGACAAAACTACTGAATGTCGCTAATATTTATACAATAACATATAAAGAGCCGCTATTAAACAATACATTTCTAACTAGCTGAGACCCGCGGTGTTACCCGCGTTTGTTGTTATAACAGCGGGCAACGCCGCGGGGCGAAACTAGTCTAAAAAAGTAGCCTAAGTTACTCCTTATGTCATCAGCTATCTGCCAGTGAAAGTCCCGTCGAAATCGGTCCAGCCGTTCCAGAGATTACCCGGAACAAACAGACAGACAGACAAAAATTGTAAAAAATGATATTTTGGCATATGTACCGTGTAAACATACATATGCATTTAGTGTAAAGCGATTATTTTAATATTACAAACAGACACTCCAATTTTATTTATTTGTATAGATTACCTTGATAAAGAAACGACACGGCTGACCTAAGATGTAATTACGACACGGACGACGTGTTATTTTATCACTTTATCAGTAGATGAAAGCAATATTAACTTAATCTTTTTCTACAGCCGATAAAACTGTATACATATAGCTACTGTCGATACTTAATCGATTTTTTTAAATCGAAGTAAATCTCAAATTAATCCTAGTGTCAAAGAAACCTATGTACAATTAACAGACATAAGCTTACAGGGTACAGTTTATTACGTTTTAGACAACCCTAGAAGACATTTCTTGCCAAATTGGGTTGTAACCATTTTTAATAATAAATATAATAGTCCACCAGAGACTGATTAGTGTACATGCAGTGAAGTTTTAAAAATAGATTTGAGGAATGTTAATAAACAAAAATTAAAAACAAGTGCAGTGATATGCACGTATCACTGCACTTGTCCCAAACTAAGCGGAGCTGTACTATGGGTACTAGACAACTGATAAAAATACATATAAACTTTTTTTTTGTGAATAGATATACATATTATACATAGAAACACCTAGACCGAATCAAACATTAAAAGTTCATGCATACAAATGTTTGACTTAAGCGGGAATTGATCCCGCGACCTTTAGAATACAGTCAGTTATTTCCTACCTATTTATTTCCGTTATAACCTATTTATACCGTTATTTCCTACCTAAATTTATATATGTCACTGACGTCAACATAGAAAGAGGGAATTCTTCCATCTACTCGCTTTTCATTATATTTGTTTGGTATTGTGTAGGTTATGTCTCCAGACTGGTCCCATAAACTGTTGAATAACCAATGATAGTTATAAATAGAATGAATTACAAGAGACTACTTTAAATTTCACCTTTTAGCTTTAATGTTTTATAAACTACTTCATATCATGATACATTTTTAGTAAGGTACATGCCTCATCCTTTCATTTACTACTTAAAAGTAGTTTTTTTCAATACATGAACAGTGAACTTTCAGTACGACCAATCAATCAAAATATAATAATTGAAATCGTTTAACAAATGGTGAATATATTGTCCGTGTGGTGACGGATTAAGAATACGGAATGTCACCACCCCTATTCAGCCCGTGGGTATCGTAAGAGCCGACTAAGGGAACAAACTACGCAGGACAATAGCACTGCAAAGAGAAGGAAAACTTGAAACAAACCGTATACCAACCCGTCTGACCAGCGTGGTATAGTAGGCCAAACCCTCCTTTCTAAGGAGAGGCCTATGTCCAGCAGTGGACTGTTATAGGCTGTTGATGATGAATATATATCACACATCGAATAAAAAAATATATTCTGGTCACTTGAGAACCTGCTCTTTGTAGAGCTGGTAAAAAAAAAAATTATTCAGTATCTTTGTTTTGGTAAGATACAATGTGTCGGCATTGAAGAGTTTGTTTTTCTCCGCGTTATGGAATATTCTAAGAATGTTTGTTAGTAACTGTAGACAACAATGTTCATGTACCTATTGAAACATTTCTTTGTAGAATAGGTTTGTAAAATATATATTAGGTAAAGTAAGATTCAACCTATTAACGTTGAAGCTTTTCATTCCCGGTTTATTATGTACCCCAAATACATTACATAAGGACTAGTAATGAAACTAAAAACTTGAAAAGCTCAGCTGTCACATGCTTGTTTAGTACTTTAGTGTAGAAACATTATCAATAATGCCACTGTTCCCTAAACATACCTTTATTCTACAGAACACGGCAGTGGCCACGGTCATTCTCACGGAGGAGTTCCACCTCCATCTAATGTCCGCCACCTCACGGAAATAGTGAACAGCAACGCAGATATGGCTCTAGGTCATAACGCGACGGATCCAGAGGAAACAGATGAAATGGTTCCTCCTAAGCCTGATGCAAGGCCGAATAACAAGGCTCCCTGCAGAGCCCCGTCAGATCCAGGGCATATGAACATGAAAGGAGTGTTCCTGCATATATTGTCCGATGCTTTAGGTAAGTATCTTATCTATCTTTATCGTACTTAATTTAAATGTTTAAACTACGCAGCACAATAGCGCTGCAAAGAGAAGGATAACTTGACACAAACCCTATATCAACCCGTCTACCTAGCGTGGTATAGTAAGCCAAAACCTCCTTTCTAAAGAGAGGCTTATGTCCGGCAGCGGACTACGCAAGACTGTTGATGATGATGATTCTTTAAACGAAGTTCTTTGAAAAAATACAAAAACGTGATTGACGGTGCCTCCCACTCATATTTGAAAATTTGTAGAAGTCAAACCATGACATTAAATTTAAATTTAATATTTCATGCTTTAATAATCGTCCCCGGTGAACATGATCACGTAACACTTTCAGACGTAGCATGTAGAAATCAAGATTGTTACTATAATTTTGTAGTTTTATAGTATTTATCTATTTAAGTCTGCAAGTAGGCGGATCCACGCGCCACATAGCCATATAGTATAAAATGTTGCAAAAGAAACATTTATTTGAGTTTCCATATGGTAGATATACTTTGAATTTTAATTTGCTATAAATAGACGTGTTGCCACTGTTTACATGACACTATTTTCGTACGATTTTGATCATGGTGTATAAAAGCTAGCAGTGGTAATATTGAATGTGAAGGTAATAATTTTCCACCTAGCCAGGAGGCGTCCGTCCTACCGTTCGTTTGCCGATTCGCGTTCCTCACTCTAAGACACGTTTACTCCACCGTCTGTAGATGTGGTCAGCCCATGATAATGAACTTCTTATGAATTTTATCCTTCAAAGAAACTATCTCGCTGCCATTTACCATACTCGTACCGTCCATTTACCGTACTCATGGGATCTTAGTCGTTGTCACAGAGGCGTGTTTTATGATAACAATACTACATACATTCTCACTTACGAAACTACACACTTACAGATTTTACATTTCTGTTTTAATTTTGTAACGGAAGCCGTTTGCGATAAACGATTTAGTGAAAAACGCTTGACGTTTTGTGTTTTGATAACACATTCACCACAGCCGAAGCTTCATTACTAGGTACTTGCCAAAATATATTATGAGGTCCAAAGTCTTGTCTTTGTAACTTACCGTATAGTTAAACATTGATTTACCAAGCATAGCTTTTTGAGAAAAAGCGTTAATGAATAGCGCTGATTGTTTCGGCACCCAACTATAACAACAAGGAGTTACGTCATGAAATCCCATTGTGTTTGCGGTGTGAAAAGAATGAAATTTGATGTCCCGACAAAGTTCAGCTGCATATATACTATAGCCGTTAAACTGTTTCATCACCTTGTTTAACGCATGCCTGATTGCTGCTGTAGTTGAATAAAATTAACCCATGTATCACTCATTCTAATTTAGGAACGGAGGTAGAACTTAAGTAGTTAAACAAGCATGAGATGTTTAAATGACGTTATAAGTAACTGTTATTGATTCTTGGAAAGCGGTATTTGATTCAAAATATGACATCACGTTAATAACTCCGCGACCTGTATTCTGGAGAGTGTAATTATGCAAAAAAGTACAAAATATATAATTTATTTAGAAGTACAGAGTTAACTTTAGATTTCAGTTATTAATTCAAGGCGATCATAATAATTTAATTTTAACGATGTCTTCATATGTATTATTTATAAGGCGGTCCTTTCAATATCCTTATTTAATGATCTAAAAGAAACTCCACGTAGAGTACAAAACAATAATAAACAATAATAATTTATGATACACATCATAGAAAACAATGAACAATATTATGCAAAACAAACAGCCGTCTTTGCGCTATCGAGTTTTCTTGCAGACCGCATGCTAGATATTTTTATGTGTCAGTTCCATACACACAAATTTGAAGTTACTATCTATCTCGAAACCGAAAACAGTCTTAAGCCCATTAAGTTCGGCTAATTTTTTCAAAGTTTACAAATACAATTTCATGTAAAAGACTCAAAAACTTGATAATAGCAAAATACTCTTTAGTTTTTCTCTTCCCTCTTCTCTGTAGTCTTCACGATTGTTTTCAATAACATTTAGGTAAACGTTCAGAATTACGTTATCCTCTGTTTATATGATTAGGTAAACAGCTGTAGGTTTAGTATCTACTCTACGACAGTTTACACAATCAATCTAGGCTTCCCTCAATTTGTATACGTATTCATATCAGGTATACTTCTCTTATTAGTGCTAATTATAAATAAACTTTAGGCAAACTGTACAAATTACCATAGTAATACGATTCAGAGTTCAAGAAATACGATTTTTAACTTGTAATAGAATGGTTTGTAAATAAACAAAAACTCATCTTTATAATTGGTAATTTAGGTTACATGCAGCCTATTGTGATAGCCGTACTGACACACGTCGGACTCAGCTCGCAAAATAAATTAGTGCAATACGAACGTTTACAAATGACAATATTCAAATTACACTTTTTTGTTAGCATTAATTTATAGTGAAACTTAGCAATTGTGCATTAAGATGCTCAAAAAAAGTGAATTAAACTATAATTATTTACATTATGCTTATTTAATTTATTTATTATTTATTTTCGGTTTACAATTATGGTAATAATTGATGTAAATGACGTTAGACGAAACAAAAGACAACGAAAGTGTATCATAATAATTTCTTTGAACTTAAATTTCTTCTACGTTCTTGCTAAAATCATAAAATATATTTTTTTATTACTTCATTGCAATCATATATTTAAAGAACTTTTGTTCACAGCAAAAGGTAGGGTCAAAATAAAAATAATCTTTACCACGAAGTATTTGCGGTTAATAAGTTTCATATTAAATCATTAATAGGTAGGTACCTAAATACCATATTGTTTACTAGGCAATATTTCTCACGCAAAACAATTTTATTATGATACGAGGAGGACCAGTGCTTTATGTTGAATGGTCACACCATTTCAACCAATGCATTCCACTTCAACCAATTTAAGTAGGCCCAAGCTCTAATGAAAGAGCTGGTTCTAACGAGTGTATTTAGACTAAAACGATCTTCAGTAGAACTGGATCTATAGAAAGTGAAACCCCTGAAAACGGAATTCGTGTTGGTGTTTCTTTTGTACTTGGAGATTCTCCAAAAATGGATAATAATAACTTATGTTTTGAAACAGTGACTTAAAACTTTAGTGTAGCTCAATCAAATTTTTGTAGGTTACACTTGACTTGGTCATATTTATAGGATAATTTCCATCTGTGTGTAAGATTTTTATTTTATAAACCGAGTAGGAAAGTTGGTGTTTATTTAATTCAACTGAATATATCGAAGTGCATTTGACTACGGTAAAAATTTAAACTTGACACTCGTTGAAGCAATCCTCATAAATATACATATACATATTTATATTCAGTTAATGTTTTTAGCTAGGTACTAAGGTCACTGCGTAAGTTCGTCGAAATACGGGCTTTTAAAACGCCTCTATAGTATAATATCTATAGTGTATAATATCTATAGTGTATAATATCTATAGTGTATAATATATATGTGTATAATATATACATGTGTATAATATATACATGTGTATAATATATATAGTGTAATATCTCTATATAGTAAGACCACGGGTATTTACCGAAGCACGCGTAACTTGAATACTTCTTTGAACTACCTTTAACTTCTGCGTAATTATATTATAAACGCCTTGTTTTAATCTTTATAAACAATATATTCTCGTAAACCAGTACTGGGAGGTAATTTTACGTTTACGCAAACGGTAATGACGTCACTAGATTGCATACTTCTGCATTCACCGATACTGTTAGCAGCACCAAGGTTTTTGTAGGTTACCACAACCTTGAGTAACTCGCTTACCTTGACATTGGCGAAATACTATCGATAAGGAAATGCTGTAACCGTAACTATGACGAATGATTTAATCATTTGTAAAATAATTAAAGAAGAGGTGGGATTTTGTATAGTCCTAATGAGTCAGTTTTTCTCAGTAATACTGGTCCTTTATGTATATATCAAGAAACAATCGCGTCATATCAAAATGACTCATTGTCGATTTATACCCACGCATTCCTTTTAATCCCTATTCACTTCTCGCTTAATGTGATTTTTTCCAACTGGGACTTCAATATGTAACGATCTGAATCCCCTTTTTTAAATATTTCGTGTCTGATCCCTCTGATGAGATGAGCCCTTTTAAAAAAAGGCGAAATTTTTAAAAGTATATTATTATGTTCAGATACTATATAGTGCAGTAACAATAATTATTCACCAATCTAACATTCGTACCAATTAACCCGTTCTTATTATGGATGGTGCTATTAATAAATACCTTTAATCGGGTATCTCGAAATGCTCGTTAGTAGTATAAACAATACTTTCTGTTCGTAGCTATGTTAGACACGTGTAACGCATTAGTTCCATAGATTTGATCGTCTATCGTAAAATGAACTCGCTACAAATTGAAAATTTCAAAGGGGTACAGGATAATATGTAGTTGTACCCTATTGTATAAGTACTTGTATAGGTTAAAGTTGCGTTGTTCTTCAGCGGATAAATGTGGTCAAATATGAGTTTGAGGAATAATGTAAATTGCTTTGCTTTCATTTGTGTATTAGAGTTTTTGTTAAACAATTCAAATTAACAAATAAGAACAGTATTTATCTGGGTGAAAAGTATAAGTCTATATTCTTTCTGTTTCTGACAAGGTCATGATTTTTTTCATTATGACCAGTTAAAGCGTGAAAGCATAACAAACATACAGACTTACATCGGCATATTATTTAAATTACAAGTTCTTTATTTAAAGTTTTCTAGGTAAAATACAAAGACATCTCTAGCACTAACTTCTTCGTGTAGCACACCCAGACTTAAGATAAGAAAACTGCTTGTAGTTGACTTAACTTCTCATTCATAAATTAGTGTAAGTGCTGCTTATACAAAGTGGCACTTATTTAAACGACATTGTATTCTAATTTATGGCTCGATCGATTGCATATCAGATAAGTGTACACTTCCAAGTATACATTTCAGAGAATTTCATTGCCAGCTAAATCTTTAGTCACATTTTTATTTCCTTAAGTTCTTTTTATTATAAACTAGCTTTTGCCCGCGGCTTCGCCAGCGTGTGTGTCGGTTATCGCGGTAAAAAGTAGCATATGTTACTCGCTGATAATGTAGCCTTAATCGGTTTAGTGGTTTAGGCGTAAGTGGAACAAACAAACAAACAAACACACTTTCACATTTATAATAACATATATTGTAATCTAAAAGACATACTTTTCAATTTAGAACCCATACCTCAGATTTAGCCACTTGTAAATATTTGACACTTAGTGACATTGTAAAGTAATCGTGGTTGTTTTAATGTTCATATCCACAAAAATATAGTTACGTCACAATTGTACACATTTCTAGCCGTAACATTTCAAGCTTATAGTAAGGTGACCGATTGTTAATTATAATCTACACCCGTGCGAGCGTCAGTCGCTGTCATTGACATTATTTTTGATACGAAACAAATACGCGAAACACTAGCAACCTTGGTCTGATTTCACAAAATACTCTTATCACTAAACATTAGTGTGATCAAGTAGTTTAGGTTGATCACCGCTTCACTTATCACTACTAACTCCAAGGTTAATGACAGTTCTGTAATCATCTAATCAATGTTTGAATTTACTAAATTCCTGTGACTAAACATATCAATATTGTGTGCATGTATAAAGATCTTATATTTTTCGATAAAGGGAGATGTTGACACTAATTACAACTTTATGTAACATTGTTATTATATGAATGAATAATTGTCATGTGTGTAAACCTAAAATCCTATCTTTTTAGGGTTCCACACGTCAAAGTGTAAAAATGGAACCCTTATAGGATCACTTTGTTGTCCATCTGTCTGTCTGTCAAGATCCTTTATCTCGGGAACGCAATAAGGTATCGAGTTGAAATCAAAACCATATACTCAGGTCTACAGACCCTTAAAGCTGTGAAAAATCTTCTAAAACAAAGATGCGGCTGTTTATGCCGCAAAAAACGCATATTTCGACACTCAAGGGATTCAAATTTATAGGGTACTGTCCGTTGACCTAGAACTATGAAAGGAGAACGGCAGATCCTGTACCGCTAGTAATATATGATGGATGGTTGAGATGTGTACCGTTTATAAAGGAATCATCCTATTTTCATGTAATTATTATATGTTTAGAACTTTGCTACAAGAACATAAATTCTTCTCAAAAAATTGTTACAACTGCAATAACTAAACATTCAAGTGTTGATAACAAAACGCATTCCTACGTTTTCTAAACTTGCAATGAAGAAAATATAAATTACTTAAAAAAACGATATGTTTACTGAATCATAGATTATTTAATGAGCTCACTAGTGTATTTAGCAGTTAAAACATTTCTTTATTGAGTATACAGATTATACGAAATAATAAAGAAATGAATATTTTAAATATTAATTTGCTAAGTTATTAGTACCTTTTCTTAAATTAATTGAATATAAGGAAAGGTACTAATAAGTTTTATTTAAATCGATTAGATTACTCGTGAACATTATGTAAAAAATGTAATTAAACTGATTTGACACAGCAACATTTTATTGACGGTTAACGGTTAACTTGTTGACAGCAATGGCAGTTTATTTGTGACAGCCAGCCATGTTGGTATCCACTTCAGTACAGCCAATATGCAAACTACAAACTAAAACAACTTTTGAACGCAAAGTTATAAATTAAAACTGTAATTATTGATGATATTGCCAGCCAAATAAATACAACAATAATGCCTACCATAAGATACACAAGGCGGTACAAAAGTCCCATACATGTCTGCCATTATCCCTTGGCAAGTAACATCATCTTATAGAAAATATCTAAAAACTACACATCTTGTAATCAAATCATGAAAAATATAGTCTATTTAACGTATGTAATCAATCATAGAGGTACAATTTCACTTATCTTATATATAAAATTCTCGTGTCACAATGTTAGTTACCATACTCCTCTGAAACGGCTGGACCGATTTTTATGAAATTTTGTTTGCACATCGGGTAGGTCTTAGAATCGGCCAACATCTATTTTTCATACCTACCCCTAAATGACAAGGGTGAACCACTCCTAATTTTTTTTTTCAATATTTCCTAGAAATAATGTATATGGCAAAACAACGTTTGCCGGGTCACCTAGTAATTATAAAAGTAATTATAAGTTTTAAGGCCGGCTCGATCGGAGGTATACCACGGCCTCACAAACAAACCGGTGTTAAACAAATTCTTACTTTGCTTTATATTTATTATATTATAGTCGATTTGTCCATCCAAAGATTGCCTGTAAGAGATTGCTTTTAGCAATCATCATCATCATCATCAACAGCCTGTAATAGTCCACTGCTGGACATAGGCCTAGCAATAAGACCGCCCATTGTACATATCCGTCTGTAATATTCATAAAACTAATTGTTATTGGTGTACAATAAAGCATATTCTATTCTATTGTTTATGATCACACATGGCATATTTTTTACTACGGTAAAATAAGACTACAAATATAATTTTTTTGTTCTAGGTTCGTTGATCGTTGTAGGATCAGCGCTAGTAGTTTGGCTGACGGACTGGAAGTACAAAGAGTATATAGACCCTGCGCTTAGTATAGTTTTAGTTATTTTAATACTTGCCTCGGTGTGGCCGCTACTAAGAGAGTCTTCACTTATCCTGCTGCAAACCGTTCCTACACATATTCAGGTAAGCACGCCGACCATACTTTTAAATAGGAAAATACCGATTATATATATAATAAAACGATTAATCTTGGTTCAGATTTTCCCCTGAAAAAAAAAGAATAAAAAAAAAATAGAATAAATAAGTCTTTTCAGATGATAGCCTCAATCTCCGATCGCGTTAAGGTCACGGGATGCTCGTTACATATCAGGCTATCTAAATCATTTTCAAACAGAGTATCCTACCAACAAAGGTCGTAAAACTTAGATTTTTTCTCAAACTTAAAGAAATATACAAATTGGAACCACTTTTTGTAATAATACCTGACCAAATCCTTGAATTGACACACTGTCGATTCAGTATTGTTATATCAAAAGCGGAAATCCTATTTCAAGCCAGAACCATGTATCCTTAACTTAATAAACAATACTATAACGAATTAACAATGTTCTTTTACAAATATGTAATGTAGCGTGATGCCTTGTTGCCCATATTATTTCTCGATAAGTATTCTATAAAGTACCTACAGAAAGGAGAATTGACATCTGACAGATATTTCCTGAGATTATCGCGATTAAACATATAAACAATAAACTGTACCTTTATCATATTAGTGTAGATATATTTTTGTTATTATTTCATTATAATAACAAAAATATATATATGTATATATTTAATTTTTTTCTAAATGGCATATTATTGTCTCTTAACTCGTTGATTTAACGTGAACAATTATTAGGTAGTTTAGTTGTGTTTAAATCCTGTAATTGCGACTGTTCGATGAAAATCGCCCTCTTAAACGAATGATATAATCCCTACACAAGAGATAACTGTCATCGTGTATTATCATTCTAGTCTAGATATTGTTAAGTGAAAAGTAATCACTGTAAGTATAAAGTCAAATATAACCGAAGGCCCACATGTCGATTAAATAATTTCCTCGTCCTGATCCTATTCTATTATTATCTCTCTAACCTACAGTTAATACCTAATTAAATATAAAAAATTAATTGTAACGGAGTGTCGGATTAAGAATACGGAATGTCACTACCCCAATTCATCCTGTGGGTGTCGTAAGAGCCGACTAAGGGCACAAACCAACGCAGGACACCAGCACTGCAAAAAGAAGAAAACTTGACACAAACCCAATACCACCCGTCTGGCCAGCGTGGCCAGTAGTAAGCCAAAACCTAATTTTTAAGGAGAGGCCTATGTCCAGCAGTAGACTATTAAAGGCTGTTGATGTAATGTGAAGTAGATATTTCTACCAACTGTTACCGAGCCCTAGTTTAAATGTGTTACGTGAAGCGTATTTCATAGTAAGATAGACTAGACAGCAAGGGAAGATTTTGATCATAGAAAAACATAAAAATTAACGCCTCGGTATTTATACGAAAATATTTTCAATCTTCTACTTTAATAGGTAATCATAATTTTCAGGATAAACATAGATGTTACGATTTATGATATTCCATGGTCGATTCTGACTTGACCAAGTAAACTAAATCCTGTATATATATATATTTATAATTTTATCTCCAGGAATTACAGATATCACAAAAATCACGCTAATACTCAAAGGAAGTTCATATTGCGCATGTTTTATGTGGTTCCAACATTTTAATGTTTCTGCGTGTTGATAAATAACACAGTGGTCAAACTTTGTTCGTTATAAACATCATAGGTTTGGTTTACTTCACACGCATGCAAATAACCTTGTTCCAATACACGTCAATATGGTGTTGGTTTATTGATAAGAACGATATTCTGACTTTGTTTATTTGCTCAGGTGGACGCGATACAGCAGCGCTTGCTAGAGAAAGTCGACGGTGTGCTCGCCGTTCACGAGTTCCACGTTTGGCAGCTGGCCGGTGATAGAATTATTGCAAGTGCTCATATTAGGTGAGTAGTAATACATTTATCTTTTCATCAAACAATTTCAAGACGAAGGACATACTTTTATTATATACATACTAGCTGAGACCCGCGGTGTTACCCGCGTTTGATATTGAATTGTAGCTTATATGACACGTTTGTCGGTTTACCATAGCAGTGCCATCTATTTATTACTTACTCAATCCAGTCAAAAAGTATCGACATCTGTTAGAATCTTTTGGAGTTAACAGATAATTGTGACTGTCAATTAATTATAGACCAATAATTTGCAATAAAATAAAATTGCGACTATAATTAAAGATCTAAGCTATCCTATCTCTTAAGTTGGACCAGGCTGCTCACGGTGTGCCAATTTAATTTAAAATCGGTTAAGTAGTTTAGAAGTCCATCGCGGACATACATCGTGACAGGAGATTTATATATATATAAGATGATACTGACCTGACCGGACTGCACGGATGGCGTAGTGGTGTAAGCGGTCACCTGCTGCGCTGAGTGTTGTGGGTCCGATCACACTTTGTGTGATTCACAAATTGTTGTTCTGAGTCTGGGTATTCTTTGTGTTCGTTTGATGTATGTTTGTAAAGTCCCCCGCGACACAGGATATATACCTAGTTCTGGAGTTTTCTTTTAAAAAAGAAAGAAGAACTTAAATCTTCGGCAATTGTAATCAGATTTTATTGATTAGTTTTTATAGGATGAGGTAGCCTCCAGTAGTACCAAACCTTGACATCGTAATGTTATTAAAATAGGTCATAAAATTGTCGTGTGAGAATGTTTCTATACTGAAAGCTGTGAAAAGAAAATGAACTTGAGACATTCATTCCGATCAATCTTTTGTCACGATGTTTGAATACACTTTATGATTATAATAGTACACTTGATATTAGTGATGTGCCGGATATCCGTATCCGTATCCGTATCCGCGGATATCCAAGGCAGAAGAGAGATCCGTAACCGTATCCGTATCCGTGACTTTTTTGGCGGATCTTTCAACACATATTACATAGATGAAATTCTATGTAGGTGATTTTGTATTCACTGTAAAACTCTTAGGTATGTGTTTGTAACACTATAAACAGCAACTTTTTTTCTGGCCATGGTCAAAATGAAAAAAAATTGGTCCTCCATTCAAATGACCAATCAAATGTTGTTAGTTTGTATGGAGAAACACTTTCTTTTCTTTCGTTTTCGGTGTTAGTCCAGAAGAAAATTTGTTGTTTATAATGTTACTAATATGCACTTCAGAGGTTTTCAGTAAATTTAAAATAACCCTGAATAATGGTTATTAGGTAGCTATGAAAAACTATTGAATTCTGTTCAGATTACTTTTTATTTCTTAAAACAAATATTTGGCACCTTTGTATTGCAATCATTTATCGTACTACACTAAATCAACTAGGCAGGTCGTAGGCACTGAAAGAGCTATCTTTATAATGAGATCAATCAAACATCTTTGTATTAGCTTATTAAAATAATGAAACATTTAAATATCAACGGCAAAGCGTCAAGTGGCGACAACTATCAAGGTCACGGGCTCCGATTGAGTAAGAAACTTAAGATCCGTATCCGTATCCGCGGATCTTGACACCAAATATCCGTATTCGGATCCGTATCCGCGGATATACTTTGTTAACGATCCGGCACATCACTACTTGATATGTAGATAGAGAGATAAAAAAAACTGTCTCATTTAGTCAGTAAAATCATAATTTGTATGTTCCGTTTCAGTAATTCCATATTGTCTAATTAAAGTTCAAAACTCAGCACTTTACTAGTAAGAAAGGACGTTCTGTATTTTACGTTCAACACGTTCCACAAATGTTTCCCTTGAAGCGGCCGAATTATTTTAAGAGGTCGTTTAGCTTTTCACACTCTTTGTGATTAACGATCCTAAATATAGAATACTATGTTTTCTTTGTACTCTCTGTACTTGTACGCATGCAGTCTGCAGTTCCGCATTGCCTTTGTTAGAGAACATTTATTATTTTGGCGGCCTTTGGATTGAATGAGTTTGAGATTAATCCTTATTTCGCTTTCTGTGGCCCTTCGTTACAAAATTATTATTGAATCTTACCCTACAAAATTGCTGTTTTGAATTCAGGCATTCAATTTCCATTTAAAAGATCGACTAAGTTTTTTTAAACCGGTTTACATTTGATTTTTGTATGAGAATGGAAACTCGAAATCGCGCCTATTTTTCGAATACAATTTCCGTCATGGCACCGACATTGACAGAACGCATAGTAGCCACGTATTCTATGTAAGTAGTTCAAAGTTGTGTTTTATAGTTGTTTTTTTACGTTCGGCAATAAATATCAAAATTTAAAATCCTAACTAGAACAATTGGCTTAGTTGGAGCGCATAATACTTATCACAGTATATCTAACCTTTAAAATCATATTGCATGTCATGTAAATTATTGAATAAAATGTTAATACTCTTCTGTTACTGCTTATTACAGTAATTTATTACCTACTTTCTGTACAAGGAAACGGCTCCTAAAAATAGGCTACATGCTACAGAAGCATTACCTGGTTCTGAAAAATAAGTAGTACGATAATTACTTACCGTGTAAGTATTTCATGTCGTGTAAGTATTATTGTAAGTATTTCAAAAAGTAGGCAAAGGCCGCTAAGTTAGTTTAAAAAGAAATATTTTTCGAAGCTACGACACAAAATACTTTGCAATCTAGTTTCTGCATCGTAGGATAGTTGGGAATTAAAGTGTAGTGGAATGCACCGAAATTAATGCATACCTTTATAAATAACGCCTTCTCTTTAAATTAACTCTTGCGTTCTTTTATATGTAACTTTCCTATAACACTGATAACGTGCCTTTATAGTCATTATGCGCTAAACTTTAAATATAATTGTATCAATGACAAAAAGAGTGTTATATAAAGTAAATTAATATCACTCACCATACGAAACAGTGATAAAGTTTTGCGGACATAACTCATTCCGAAATTAACTACCGCATGTAATTTTAGTCCGACCTAAAGGTAATTACGTAGATATTTATTAAAATATTATCAATTTGAAAAAAAAAACTACATTATATTCCAGCTCACCCGGTAATATTTGTTTTTGAAAAACGTTTCTGAAATATTACTTCTGGCACATTCCCAATGTAAACTAGTAGTCCTTGTCCCAGAATCAATGTCAATGAACCACTACACTCCTCACTTTTATTTTTTTCTCATATGAACAGCCTTATTAAATCATATAATAAAACAACATAACACTTAATGCATCACCGTAGCGTGAGTTGCGATTCGATTTGAAAAATAAATCACTACAGGCATAAGTCCGAATTAGATTTATTGCATTACTAATAAAAGAATTCGTATTTTTGGACGTGGTTAAAGTAATCGTTTCTTCTACCAAGTAATATTTTTGTAGTATACACAGTTAGTGTAGTAGTAATGACTACTACAGCAGTGAACAGAACTGTAGCAATCGTTACCCGTTAGCCAGTTATGAAAATTAAATAGGTTATGATTACTCTTTACCTTTTTGAACTTTGTACGTAAACGCTTCAGAAGTATTTTTACTACTACAAATCAGGATCATTAAGCAGCCTCTCAAAAATCGCGGTGATAAAACAATCCGGAGATAATGAACCCTATCGCTCTCTCGCCACTTCTTCAGTACCGGAGAAAAGAGCAGACCAAATATGGAAAAGAGAAGCGTTCCTGCTTCCCTTGACCTGATTGCAACACAAAGAGTCATAGTAAATCCAGTACCCAGTAGTACAAATATCGCGTACAGTTCGATATTTTTTGTAGGAGAGAATGTGTGATACATAATTTAAACAAGTTACCATTGTCTATTTTTAATGCGAAGTATTGCGGCGCTTGAAATAACAATGAATGATAAATGTATCTTTGTTTTGAAATACCGTTAAATAGCACGTTGTAAAACAAATAGCAGCCAAGACAAAGGTGTAGGTGAAGGTTTCTAATTTGATACCGCTCCTTTGTACGCACATGTGGTGTTTTTAATAAATAAAATTCAGTTTCCCGAAATGTTTTATAATATTTTTATTCTTAGTTAAAAAAGTGGACAGCATTAATACTTGTGTATAAATATCTCTTTATCGAATACCCATGTTGAAGATATCTGTGGGAATAATAGAATCCCATGAGCTACTTTCTCGTATGTGAAGAACCGTTGAAGAAGAAAATGAATTTTAATTTAGCTGAATGATTATTTGTAATTTAAATCTTTCGGAAAGCTCGTCAACTAGCAAGTTTTCCTAACATGACAATTTTTTTACACTAAAAACATCTGAATCGAATAGTTTAAAGATTCACAATTATTTCGGTTAGCGAGTTTCGCACAGCATTAGCAAGCACGACTCCCAAAATGAATTCTGTAACCAAATACTACTTTACCTGAGTAAAAAAGAGTGACTCGTGCGTATTTAGTAATCATTCACCACCTTAAAATGTTATTTTTCTTTCTAGGTGTAGAAACTTGTCCGAATACATGAAGATTGCGGAAAAAGTGAAAGAGTTCTTCCACAATGAAGGCATTCATTCGACGACTATACAGCCAGAGTTTGTCGAATTACCATTAGGAGGAAGCGAGGTAAGCTTCTAACAAAAATCTTAATTTTATTCATGTTTCTTGCTAACAACTGCTTAGTATGAAATTTTTATTGCAATGCCCTAAAAAGGGGGTAAGGGGGTCCTGAATTACTTTAAAAAGCAGTACAAAAAGTTTTCTTATTAATACTAAATATATGTTAAATCGTCCGTGTGGTGACGGATTAAGAATACAATGTCACCACCCCTATTCATCCCGTGGGTGTCGTAAGAGCCGACTAAGGGAGCAAACTGCGCAGGACAACAGCACTGAAAACAGACGGAAAACTTGAAACAAAACTCTATACCAACCCGTCTGGCCAGCGTGGTATAGTAGGCCAGAACCTCCTTTCTAAGGAGATGCCTATGTCCAGCAGTGGACTAGTAAAGGCCGTTGATGATATGTTAAATCATGGATTCGATCAGAAGAAGAGTTGATTCTTTGGAAATAATTCAGTTTTGCCCCCACTATGAAATATATGTTATGTTTATATGCGACACTGTGTGGTATAAATAAGTATATAGAAAATATCTTATTGGGTTGAATAGTAAATGTTACACACATTAGTACAGTTTACCGTATCACAGACAGAGGAACAATGACCGACGAACTAGAATGGCCATAGTGCAATCCATGATAGTGACGCGACATAATAATAAAATAAATGATATTACGAGAAGATAGTGATGTTACAACAATAATTAAAATACACTTTCGCAAAAAAACTATTATTACATTAAATCTACTTAGATGCATATAGGCCTACAGTCCATGGTCTGCTAACACATCCCATACACTCACGCTTATATCTCTGAATGGATAAGCAGAGGTATATTATACATTAATGGGGGCACAATCCTGTCGGTATCAACAGGGTACTTTAGTGATTGGAAAGGATGATTGATACGGAAAGGTAGATGACTGCACGGATGGCGTAGTGGGTTAAGCGGTCGCCACGCCGCTTCCTACTGCGCCGAGTGTTGTGGATTCAAACCCTACTTGGGACGACGCTTTGTGTGATCCACAAATTGTTGTTCTGAGTCTGGGTGTTCTTTGTGTCCGTTTCATGTATGTTTGTAAAGTCCCCCGCGACACAGGATATATTCCTAATGCGGGCGTTGTCTTTTAAGACAAAAAAAAAAGAGCTTAAGACAACGGTAGCAAATGGATATTGCTGGTGAGAGTTGCATACTTATAGCTTATCAAATTTACCAATAGATTTCAAAATAATTTGTTGGAGAAGAAATACCACAACACTGATATAGAAAACGATATGCGAAAGTATGAATAGATATGTAAATAAAAGTGAATATATCGGCATTGTGTAGCGTCATACTACATTACAATGTGTGTTTACATTAACGAGTGAGTACCACATCAATTAAATAACCCACTTATTGAAAGCAGAAGGTTGGAATTACAATACAGCCATAAGATGATAATACAATCGCTGTCCACGAATCAAACCATATTAACTATTAATTATTACCTGTTAATTTGTTGTCCAAAGCCGCGTGCTTATTAGCGAAGTGGGTTCAGTTTTATCTAGAATTATTATATGTACTTATATATTTCTTGTTTGGATACTTAGCCTTCTACAAATCACACTCATAGAAAAAACTGTGCCCTTTACCATAAAAAAACCGTGTGCATCTCGACTGAGACTTGTGCCTTAAAATAAAACGTGTACATACATGTAAAACTTTTTTTTTGTACTCATGGCAACCTCCTCGAGCCGTCGCACCACCGGGATTTTAGTTGGGTATATATTTTGTGGCCGTGGTGCTTTCCTGTTTAAAAGGGTGTATGGCTATTTTACTTCATTCATTTTCTTTATTTTACTTCTTGCTAAGGAGAGAAATGGATTTATTATATTTCCAACTCCTCCAATTTTCTACTCATTAATTTCGTTGCGGGTTCCAAGACAGTTTTTTTTCTGGGTCTTCCCGAGTGCTATTAACTCGGCGTGTTCGTTGATTGCTGCTGTTGATCCTGATGTACAGGAGTTACAGTGATGGACGTGTGAGAGGGATAAGTCCCGTTAAAAAAAAAACAGTATTTCTACAGAAATTTGATATCACCTACAATCGCCTACTACTTTTGTTGTGAAGGTCTAATGCCAGTCACTCCCCATAAAAAGTCGAAGTTCATCCTTATCGTAGCGGACTTAAAGCCGACCCCAACCTAGTTTGGGAAAAAAAGCTAAGAGGAATGATATATCGGAGGCAAATCGACTAAAACCACACGGAGTACCAAACTGAGTCTAACATAGAATTTCATGTAAAACATACACTAACAATATGTGCAGGCAGTAAATTGAGATAAGGAAACATGGTTGTATCGATTATAACTATTTGCAACTTTTATCTTATCGAATAGTTACAGTATAACAAAGAGATTATGCTCTAGTGTCGTACCGTATTCGTTTCAATAGGAAACTCCAATTGTGATATTTGTTGAATTGGCTCACCAACACATGTATGTTGATGATAATGGATGTCACTTGTTGTACTGTAAATAAAAAAGATTTTCTATTAATATTAATGGAAATGGTGCCAATTCTCTTGTTCGAAAACTCTCTAAACTTTAGTTTTATTTTAGTTTATTATTTTTAGTGATTTTTAGTTTAGTTTAGAGTCTAAACTAAACTAAAAATCACTAAAAAAAATTGACCTGTCAAATATTACGTTTTCAAAATAGGAAACGTTGTTTGACAGAACTAAACAATTTTTTTATCATACTAATTGTATGTAAAATAATAATGTAAAATTGACTATTTGTTTCTTTCAACACGCTCGTTTCGAGCCTGGAGCTGCCAGACGGATTCGATTCGAAAATTATTTTTATATTAGAAAAAGTATTAATGAAAGAACATTATTACTACGTTAGGTTAGGTTACGTTAGCAATATCTCGTTGCGATAAATAGAAACGTAGCAGTGCCCATAATCGCCAATGCAATCGCGGATGGCGGTTAGTGTCTTAAAAAAAAACATTATTTTACTTTTCATATCACTATGTCGACGACCAAGACGTCAGGAGGGCTCTGATGCATCTAAACTATCGTAATTATTATTATTATTTATAATATCTTTAAAAGTTATTTATTAAATAAATATAATAATTTTTGAGCCTATATAACCTCTATATATTTATAACCTCTCATTTAGTATTAGGGATGTTGAGAGCATTTGAAAGTATCGTGAACTACGACCAAGAGTGATTAAAATACCTACTATATGATCGATAATAGAGAATCGATAATTTACAACTCATAACAAACACTGATAACACCAAAAATGATAGAATAGAACCACAGGTACTATTAAAGATAATCTTTATGTACCACGACACATCAAACAATGGTATAGTAATTACGTAAAAAACAAAATTTAAATAATAAAAATACACGAAATTTATTGGCTGACTGGAAAATCAATTTTCTTCCTTTCATATATTTACAACGTGACTTTCAATCATTTTCATGTAGTCAGTATCAACTGAATGAAGCTATCGTCTGAGGCACTGATAGCCTCAATGCGTAGTAGGTACTTAAGGCTGTACTTAAAGGTAACATTTTCGACAAGACATAAAACATATAGTTGTTAAGTTGTGTGATTAAAATTTCATTAGCCTGGTGTTAGCACGAGGCGCAGGGTTATACTGCATGCACCAGGGACTTCCTTTCTAGGGTATACCTGGTTCCCCGGCTATTAGTACCCGAGACGGCGTGCGGTTTTTGTCGGTTCGGGTACGACATGCCACCGACAGGTGGTATCCGAGGGGATTTCCGCACGGAAAAAAAAAGGGTTATACTCCATAATTCCTCCACGCTTTTTCCAATTGTACGCGAGCGCAATCACATTTCGTTACGTTTCTCACTTTCCATATTATTGAATAAAAAATAAATAACTAAAGTTCGTGACTATTTCCGTGATTATCACATCGGTCATAAGGACGGCTACTACTGATACTGAACCAGAACTTTGCCTTAAGTCTGTCGCATTGGCAAGGTTCGTTAGTGTGAAAAGGACGTATTCGTGTGGCATCACAGAAACATGCTTAAAAGTAGCTTTCCATCATTGAAAGAATTTCTAAATCGGTTTTGTGTTGTGGACGTGAAAGCGTAACTAACCACTTTCACACTTACAATATAAGTATGGATATGCGCCAGGAAACTCTCACGACTTTATATTTTGTAAAAGGTGCTCTCGAACCCCACAGCAGACCTTGGCCGCCTATCAAACAGCAAATCGCTCGTAAACAATCATATACTTGACCCAAATACGATAAAAATATTTACTAACAAACGGATTATCAGATAAATATTATCTTTAAATTTTCATTAACTTTTTAATTTTCGACATAGATTAAGGTTTACGTCTGCGTCTGTCATAAAGAATAAATTTTCCCATTTTTTCCAACATTTTTCATTGATTTCTCGGCTTGGCTCCTATTGGTCTTGAGCCTGTTTGTTATATAGCCTTCCTCGATAAATGGGCTATTCAAAACTGAAATATTTTTTCAATTCGAACCATTAGTTCCTGAGATTAGCGCGTTCAATCAAACAACATTCCATCAGTTGACCCGTCTGCCCGGTTGCCCCCTATATCATAAAAACACAAACAAACAAACTGTTCTGCTTTATAATATTGGCATTAGTGTAGATAATTAGTTAATAGCTACTTGTAATTATCTCTTGTTAACTTCATATAACTATATATTTTTTTAACACAGATAATCAGTGGCGCGTCAGCAGAAGCCCCCTGCGCTCTTCACTGTCCACCGAACGACCTCTGTCACAACGCGACGTGCTGCGGGCCCAACCAACAGGTGGGCCTTTTAACTGAAGTCATATAGTACTAAATTATAGCATGTATATTATACTGTATACTAACATAAACACCAAGGTTACGGAGCACAATCAGTTCCCTGACCCCTTATTCACTATGACCACGTCAGATATAACAAGCTACAAGATCTTTATATGTAAATGTACTTTGGAAAACAAAACGACAGCCACATGTAAATAATATTTGGACATTCGAAGACCCGTTTCGTAAATTAAAAATAATTATAAAAAACGTAATTTGAAGTTAAATAAACTATATACAACATTCTATAGAGGGCCTCGTACAGTTCGAAAACAAAAACTGCCTGTGAAGCATTTACTGTGGTTTTGCATTAATCGTTTGTTCTTTTTTTATGACAGACCAATGAGTTTGAGTTTAATTAACTAACTTGATTATTGCTTAAATTTGATTGTTGTGTAGATCTCATTTTGGTTGAACGTGTGGGTTTAGGACATTCTTTCCACCCGTTGAGAAAGAATTATCCAAACCCATGGTTTTGGAAATTCTCTTCTACTGGTATGGAATTGCAAGAATTCAAATTAATATCGATAAGTATACAATAAATCATGAATTATTATTTAATCGATTTAAGACTTTCTGACAATAGTGTGACATCATTCTAATATATTTGAAATGTGTTGATGATGTTGCTGGCGACAGATTCTATTTATCAGCCTGTGCTTTGTGATCTGGTCATAGCGAAATATTATTTATAATCGCTTTAACTTAGTCGGTTAAGCTTTGTATATACAACTAATTCCTATACTGCACATTCGACCATTAGTCGCACTATTCGTGTGATAGAGAGCGGGTTCCAACATTTAATCGTAATATATCTGTTTCTAGGTTTTGAATGTATTCTTATGAAGGTTTTTAAACACTCAAACAAACCAATAAACACATCTATTACTTACTGACCTAAAGATTTATTATTTTTTCCTAACCACTAATATTAAATAATCGGCTAATAAAAAGATTGAGAAAAGATGAGGAGAATTATTAGAGTGGAGTGTTAAAAGGATAGATAATGATGGTATTTCTTTTTCATCACACACTAATAAAAACTGTATTTTAGACGTAATTTATACATTATCTGACTAAACGTATACAGGGTTATAATGCAAACAATGTTACATTTAAAATATTAAATTGAAACTGAACCTGTCTATCAAAAATAAAAAGCTAATATTAAAATTCATAAATTTTATATTAAGAAATAACAAAGAGAGAAAAGAGAAATAACTGATCTAAAGTTTTCATTTGTATTTATTTTATACAACAACTAGCTGACCCGGCAAACGTTGTTTTGCCATATACCTACATTATTTCTAGGAAACATTGAAAAAAAAATTTAGGGGTGGGTCACCATTGTCATTTAGGGGTACAAAAAATAGACGTTGGCCGATTCTCAGACCTACCCGATGTGCACACAAAATTTCATAAAAATCGGTCTAGCCGTTTCGGAGGAGTATGGTAACTAACATTGTGACACGAGAATTTTATATATAAGATATTCGTAACCGTTTGCTAAACTTACTGTTTTTATAACGCTTTAAATCGACAATGTTCTTATGATATAAAGTAAATAATCCTTACTAATAAAACTGTGTTTGTTGGTTTGTTTCTTATTATCACAAACGATCAATTTTTATAAAACATATTATATCAAAATAACGCGCTGTCTATCATTTCAATATTGAGTATTAATAAAAGGTTAGTTTAATTACCTATCGCCTGTGATCTATATCAGAATATACTTGGCATAGTATTAGAGGTATATAAGGGTAGCACTATCGTTACATGCTATTTCGGATTGTATAATTCTCTACATTAGTATGAATAGAAATCAAATTAATTTAAGGTTGACCATGTTTATACCTAGGACATATACGTATACGTATACGTCCTAGGACGTATCTACGTAGATTAAGTTTACGTATTCGTAGAGTACGTATGCGTATTCGTAGTTTATGTATGCGTACTGTACTGTCGTATACGGTACGAGCAGTTTTGGTTACCAGTTTATCCTTAGTTCATGACTGCTCGACTTGTATATACATGAATCAACCTTTGTTATTTTAGATTGACGTAATGTAAATATTCTACATATAAAAAGTTATTGTAGTTTTTAAGTTAGTGTACATTAGTTGGTAAGATCGGGGAAGGGTACTGAAAACTATGATAAATTCGATTAGTAATAATAACTGTAGATATATACAACTATAGACATCCTATTATTGTATTACAAGTATAGTCTGTGACTACAGGTGGCCTGTAACTATGAAGCATAAACAAATAGGTGTCTAACAGATAATGTTTTAAAGGCCCTTCTTTTGATTCACTATTAAAATGTTCCTCTGCATTATGTGTGCATGTGATGCATGGTGAGATCTTCATTACAATATAATTTAAATTGAGAAACTGATACCTTTAATATTTTTTTATTACGACAAAAACAGATACCTCTTGGTTTATGCTTTTTTAGTGACACCTCAAACAGTTTAAAGTTCTGACTCTTATCACCACGGCAAAAGTAGCATATTGGATCACACTTGTGTTTGTTATTTGAGTAAAATTCAGTACAAGCATAACGAGTATACGTATACGTACAAGTATACGACGTACCGTAGTACTGAGCTGAATTTAGAGCCCATCTAATAGAACAGTCTACTTATTTAAAGTTTGAAAAGTAATAAAAACGAAACCTGTGTAAAGAATTACCAGGTGCAGTCATGGGACTTGCTGATTTTTGTGTCCTCTCCCTTTCCTCTTTGTTCTGGGGGAGGGGGGGGGCAACTCTAAGGGTGGCAACGCACTTGTGACTTTTGAGTTGCAGGTGTGCAGTCATGGGATGTGCTGATTCTTGAGTGTGTGTCCCCATTCCCTTATGGTTCTAAGGGGGGTGGGGGGGTACTCGTGGCCAGCCTTAGTTACTAACCATGTGACCCGTCTGCTAAAGTTTGATAGGCATCGGAAGCAATTAATGGTAATAGGGACAGATGCGGTAAACATTATCTCCATAAAATATCAAAAGAATGACGAAAGGTATTCGAAATTAGAATCCATTAAATAGAACGGAAGTCGTCTGCATTCTATGATGTTTTTATCTAACTATCACTCGATTTACAGCCATAAGTGTGATTATACGTTCTAGTATCTAATTCGAAACTTGGTATCATCAGCCTTGTGAGTTGATCTAACCAATCTGTCCAAAAATCATCTCAGCAAGTTGAGAATTCCAAGGTGGAACTAGCTAAGCCTTTACATATTAAATAATCAATTAATTTAATAATTTATCAGACATGTTATTTTTATCGAGGTTTTAAGAGTCAGAATCTTGTTGTCAACAACCTCAAATGCATCATTTGCGTATAACTTTGTATTGTTAGAGGTTTTTTTTAAATGTACTCGAGAAATATGATTACAGATAAGTTCTAATATTTATAATTATTTTATTGAACACCGTTTTATATACCTCTGATTGTAAAAGGGTATACACAAATGATAAATAAATTACACCCCGAATTACAACCCGATTTTTTTTTGTTATTCCATTCAAGCAGGCTATATATATGATATGGCTATGTATGTTAGATGAAGAATAAAGTGTATTTATTAACGAATGAACAGCCAGACAAGTGACGTGTGATGTAAGTGTGAAAATCGTAATTTAAAAAAATACAGTAAATGTCAAATTTAATAAACATACTTCTTGCAATCATGATTTCGTTATGCAAATCAAACATTTATGACTTCGTACATATTTCAAGAAAGAAATTTATGTAGATATGAAAATCTAGTAGCAATCCTTATTTATACCCATTTTCCTCTTTTTCTGAGTTTTAAGTGAAAGCTATTTATTTCTACTGCTACCCATTTTTTTCTAATTTTTTTTTTGCAATTCTTAGCAGCATTATATGTATCTTTACAGTTTATCAGTTTAGAAACGATAAGGGTTCGATAATCTTTTTCAAGGAGACGCTAAAGTTGAAAGTGGACGAATCAAAAAACTCCACGGTCCTGTCGAAGTCTAGGCCTTTGAAGATTTTTCCTGATACCTGTTAATATTAATTATATTTTATTATAAATTATGTATAAATGATATATTTGTATGACAGTTGTTGAAATCATAGTTGTATTATTAATACAGATTTATTAAATTATAAGTGATTTTTGTATTAATGCCAAATGTTTGTTAACGAGGCTGTGTTCATTTGTTGTAAAAGATTTATAAAATAGTAAAATATTTACAATTTATTTGGCTTTGATTTCTGTTTACTAGTTAACCTAACTAACCAACCTCAGTTGGTATACACAATCTAACTAAAATGCATTATGCTACGCATTATAATATATCTACACTACACTAACACTGAAAACAATTCACTGACTGTAAATAATAATGGTGGCAGAAATAAATAACACAGAGTAGTATATAGAAGGGCACTTAACTCATGGAATGGATAGTTCTGGAATACCTAACGCAAATCCTACCCACCTGTTCACATACTGAACAAAAGTAAAACACCGCACACGACACTTTTAAAATTATTACATGAGTATATATTTAACGATAAGGACTGGATACAAATTATAATATATTGTGTCTTATCTAATACCGTTTCGCATATAACAGTGTACTTGAGGTAATTGTCGTGGCGTACTTTATTAATCAATTGTGAAACAGTTGGCGACGTTGATATTAGATCGATATAGATGCTTGCATACTTTGTCAGGGACACGTAATTGTAACGAGTGACCTATATCGACCATGGCCGATAATAATTTACTCTGAAGTAAGGTAACCTGACAATTGAAGTTGGTAGTATTTGAGTATGATAGTTATTTGCCTTAAGGTTGTCAAAATTGGTGTAGATTATTGTTAATTTATAAACTGAGCCTGTAGACTAGATGGTACTTAATTTTCATTGAACCTTTTGTTTTCATCTAGAGTCCAGACTACTTATTTGAAGAGGTGTAAACAAGTAGTGGTAAATTAAAATCTACATATATTGAAGTGTTTTATTCTATTTAATACCTAATTAACTTATAAAAAAAAAAGAAACAATAGTGTTATTAACGCTTGTATTAAGCTTATTCATTGTAATTCCTTTCCTTGAATTTATCGTTCGAAACTATGTTATAAATTCTCGTAACTAGTTTAGAAGTCAGTATTATGCCATCAATTATCTATTGTTGTATCTAGTAGAGAAATAATGTCATGTTTTTAATGTACACGTATTTTGAAAATGATAAAACAAACTGATAAATATGTTAGTATGTTTACACGAATTTTCCACGAGGTAATTTAGGCTACTTTAAATAAAATTAAGATTGAATGCTTACAAAACTGTATAGTCGGTTTATTAATATTACAGGAACAAAGTACGCCTTCTCCAACAGTCACACCGTATTTATGCAGACAAAGGAGCATGGGCTCTAGAACTGAATCAATGTGTTCGAACAACGCCGCGGGCCAACAAGGCCGCGCTACAACGTGGAACTTAGAAGCTTTAGAGTGCGGGTTAGTACAGCAATGAAGAATAAGGACCAATTTGTTTGTAGTTATTAAAACACGATTATATGATTGCTCGTTTTATATCAAATACTCTATTACAACACCAAGATATGTGGCAATATTTTGGTCTTTTCTATCCGACCTGTAATATTACAAGTATTCTCGCATTTATAAATAAGATCTGGTCACAATTGGTCACAAAATTTGTCACATATTCTTCTTATCTGTATAAAGAAAATGTTAGTCTTTCTACACAGCCCAAAGAGTACAATTTCTCTCATTGTTAAACATATATTTTCCAAACGCCAGAGGCTAGAATGAATAAAAGTATTAATTTTCACTTATTTATATACGTCACTAATAATTTCTTTTGTATCAATAGACAGTATTGTTATAAACACTGAAGTACAATTAAAAAGCATTATATATTGGATGTCATCAAATTTATATAAATATGGTCTTTCTTAATTATATATAATTTTAAGTGATTAATTATTTACAAAAATGCATGTACTACGTTTGTCAGCACTACATAAATATGTAGAACAGGTATATACATCTTAAGATCAAATATGACTTAAAAATTGATATTTTTTTAAAGATACTGACGATAAAGAAGAAAGTTTAATAAAAGTATTTTTTTTAGTTCCCTGCTCCCGTCGCCTATGCTGGACGGCCGGCTCGCAGTCTGACAGCCGGCCGGACCCGACCGCGCTGTCATGGACTAACCTCATTTTCGCTAGAAAAAATGACTGTGAAATATTTGGCTTCATTGTTAGCGACATAACTATGTTGATTTATTTCGTCACGGACCCGTGATTATCACCCAATGACACCACTGGTAGTGTCAAGGGTCTTATTTAATCCCCATGACACCACCGGTGGTGTCAAGGGGTGGTATTCTATATACATTGACGGACACATAAACTGCATCAAATTTCAGGATTGCTTTCGAATTAATATTTTTATTGAAATGAATTAATATTAGTAGTAGTAGTAGTAGTACGCATTTTTAAGTGGATACTGTCCATTAATCATTTCAAAAGCATGAGGATTGAATAATACCTTAGAAACTACCGGTGGTGTCATGGGGATTGAAAAATACCCTTGACACTACCGGTGGTGTCATTGGGTGGTATCACGGATCCGTGGCGATTTATTTGATGTGGCGATATTTTTATGCATTTTTTGCAGAACATTTTGGACTTGATATCATAGTACTAAGGCTTAAGTAAAAAGAAAGCAGATCGCTTCATCCCTACATAAAGGCTCTCATCCCGTCTGATTTTTTTCGGTCTACCCGTAATACACGTAAGTAATTAAATCTCTGGTGAAAGATTTTATAATTTGTTTAAAACTAAATGAAATTAACTGTTATCTACATAAACACTTGTTCTTATATATATAACATAAATATTTTAACAAAGGTAGATACGATACAAAGCGTTGATGTAAATCATCAAAACTTCGTCATTCAAACATGTTACTCTTTTCAACAAATACATGCCAAATAAGGTCTGCCTTAAGCCTTTATGCCGAGAACTAAACCTTCCATACTTTATATAATTTCCCTACATATAGTTGTTACATTGTTACTCAAACAAACCAAAACTGCGTATATTAAAATTTACAATTTAAGTTGGTGTATGAAATAAAATATAAGTTAGTACTTTCACATCAATTGTAAGAAATTAAACCTTTAGCGATATGCAAACTATAAAATCATACTTGGGAACCCTTTTTAGTCATGCCTTTAAGAAAATATATGTAGTTAACGTAAACTCACCTCATGGCTAAATAGTATTTAGTAGATTTCATAAACTCATTAAATTACTGGTTCTTTTATAATCATTACAATAAAATTAAGTACTTATTTTAAGTGATTACAAAGTCATAAATTTTATATTTTATTAAAATTAATAATTAATACGAAATCCACTGTGTGGTAGTAATGAACTCGGCAGTAGGTTTAGAAACGTGGAAGGTTATGTAGATATTTCTATGAACTTGCAAACAATTTTGAACTGATTAGCATCTATTAAAGTACGTTATCTTATTAATTTATTCGTTTAACGCTAGTTAAATTAATATTAGGCATTTAATTAATATAAGTATCATTAATAATGATGAATCTGGTGTAAACAGGTTCGAGCTAGCTTTAATTTCACCAACCACCTTTAGTAAAGTTATTAGGATTAAAGGGTCACTGTGATGTTAAATGTGTGATGATAAATAATAATGATGTACCTTTCTTCTTACTGAACCAGAGGACAAATAACTCTGTAGTATCTGGTAATGTGAAAATAACCTTGTGTTTGAAATACCTGCCGCGGTTCTTTTCGGCACTTTTCGCTGTTGACAGCGAAATAAAACAAAAAAGTAAATATAACAGGTTTAGTCTATTGTTACAATATTGTCAACATTTTTTTGTAAATTGTGACTCATAATTCGTTAAATCATTAATTTTATTTACGAATACCTAACTGGTATTCCATTCATTCACTGAATAAAATAATTTATGCGAGTTTGTCACATTGTTTCATTATTTTAGGAATAAAATAGGGATTGATAAATTTTAATGTTAATCTTAGTTTAAAATCATAAACAATGATATAATTGATTAAGCATCTCCGCTCCTGCTCTGGATAATTCTCTTTCAAACCAAATTTAAAAATTTAGTTCTCAGAAAAGTTAGTAAAATAAAATATAGCAATGTTATGGGTCCAAATATCTCAACTATTGCTTTATAAACCAACTAGTTTCTTTTAATGGGTCGAAAATATTTATAATAATTTGTTTTAACATGTATAATAAAGCTAGTTTTGTTTGTAAAAACTAGCTTTATTTAAAATCTTATAGTAGATTAAAATATTTCTTCAAAAGTAAAATACTCTGAAAAACTACATAATATGTTTTCGTCTACTGTCTTTTAAAGAATAAAGGGATGTTTTTATCATCTTACGAATCCTAAACCAAGTCAGCACATACATTTCGATTGGACCAAAGACACTCCGTACTACATATTTACTAAGAATTTAGCAGTGCAAGTACTTTCAATTCAGAAATCAGACTATCGCAATTCATAAATCTAATCTTTGACGCCAAATTATACAATGTGACTAAACTGTAGTCACATATTTTATATTCGTGATTATATAACAATATTACTGATAATTATCGCAAGATATTTTTTCAAGAACGTGCATTATTGTTAGTGTGATTTCTAAGTCAACAATATAATAACAAACTGTAATGGTGCGGCGTCAGTAGTACATTCTAGTGATGTGCAGAATCGTTAAAATACGTATATGCCGCCGTGTATCCATATCGCCGTATGTATACGCCGATATGGGTACACATAGGGATTATTAGTTCGTTACTTCTCAATGAATTAGAATAAGCGTGACCGTGAAACGGAGTTCTGGACTAAATAACACGAAATGTTACGATTTGCACAACCAGGCGCTGGAGAGGGCAGAACGATCTACGACCTAAATGAGCGCTGGTCTGAGGGTAATGGTGAGGCCTGAGACCGTGGTGCGACGTGTTCCGCGCGCGCCTCTCTAAACTTTAAGGAGGGCAAGGCCCTCTACATTCTGCCAGGGTTCTTGAGGACTTCCTTTCAAAGGTACATCCGAGTTCCTTGCAATAGACTTAGATTTGCGGAACACCGTGTGGTTTTACTCAGTTCGATTCCGACATACAACTTCACCGTGAGTACCGGTGAGGTGATAGACGACCCCGTGGACCCCCACGGGGTTCTACACAAAAAAAAAACGACGAACTGATTTTTTTATAATAATTATTTATTGTAATACATGTGATAACATGTATTATTAAAATAATTAATACAAAAAAACCCATTGTCATTTTCCTGACCTTTTCTAATGTTATATCTGACGTAGCACTTTGTAACACAGCGAAGTCTTTGGCTTTCTTTTATAGCCAGTCGTTTGCCTCACGCCAGCACTCCTTGGGAATGTTATTGTTTCTAGACAGAACAAAGGAAGTAGGTAAATTGGGGTTAAGCCGCCAAAGGGTATGTGATAACGCAACCAGATGGGAAATCCGATGAAACTGTAGTAACTAAAAGAGGCCGGGATCGCATACCAAAATAGTCAGTTCAGTGATTGGAAACGCAACTAGGACAGGAACATCAGGCTACAGGCTACCTTTATTATCAGCGGATATGCGACTAGTCCGGGTATATGAATGTATGCACTTAGAAAAGAAATAGACCTAAATTTGTTTAGCCATGTTCTCGAACCGTAGTTGTAATATGTTTCATAAGATGTTGTTTAAATGCTAACTGAACAGTCTTTGTTCTGTTAAAAACTTTTGCATTGGGGTAAAATCTTACTAAACAATAATTTCAACAAAAAAGTACAGTTGGCTTCAGATATGCACGGAAATTGTGAAACGAAAATAGTGAAAACCGAAACTCGTTATCTAGTGGCATCTTCATTTACTCATAGAAGTTGTACATGCACCATTTTAGTCCTACTAGATGACGTTGCACTAATTAAATATCACTTAAATAACTTCGAGTTTTAATTTGCATACTTAATCGATTGAGTTTTATTTTTTAACACATGCATTACTTATAATAATTTTGAAAATACAAATTTACCACAAAAATGTTATATTATTACTTTCCTTCAAACACAACATACACAAAAAACGTAACATTGATTTGAGTATTAGAGCACAAATAACTGCTTTGCATAATTAAGGTAAAAACTTAGCGAAAATTGCGCGAGAGGCTGGTGTAAACGTGAGAAAGAAAAACCACTACGCCATCTAATATATTTTTTATAAACTTGATTCAAGTGTTGACGGGATTATAGGCTTTAAGCTATCTATCTAATCATCATAATCATCAACACCTTTTAATAGTGCACTGCTAAATTTAGGCCTCTCCTTAGAAAGGAGGTTTTGGCTTACTATACCACGTTAGCCAGACGGGTTGGTATAGGGTTTGTTTCAAGTTTCCTTCTCTTTGTAATGCTGGTGTCCTCCATAGTTTGCTTCTTTAATGGGCTCTTACGACACCCATGGAATGATTAGGGGTGGTGACACTCCGTAATCTTAATCCGTCACTACACGGGATATAATACGAAACATAATTGTACAAGACGTAGTAAGAAGTACACAGATAATGTACCTACTTTTACTCTTATCAGTACTAAACGTGGCATATAAATGAGGTCAATCACCTCATGCATGTTCACGTGGATGATGCAATGAAAATGAAGCAATTAAGACAATCTTATCTATTAATTATCTGTGTTCGTGTTTATTGATAATTATGACAACTATAGTCTAGTCTTCTTGTAGTGGAATCTATTTTGGTGAAGTACACTCAAATATGCATATACCTACATATGTTGTAAAAACCTCTACTGTGTTTACAGTTTAACTTAGTTTTAGGTCAGTCAGTCGGTATTCATGACGTTAAAATATGCAGTAAAAAAAGTCGGCTGATAAATTGTCTAAAGCAGACCTCGGCTGTTTTCAAAGGGGCCACAATGAGTGTAATAGTGGTCCTGATACATTATTTATTTGCATGATACAAAATCGTAACAAAAATCGTTGCTGCTTTTACTTCGAGTTGGACGAGATTTGTAACTACAGACCTCGTCCTGGGTCTCGGGCCAAGGAGTAGGTTTTCTTGAAGGTTTGGAGTTCATATCGGATCGGTAATCCCGCAGGCTACTATTTGTTCAACAGATTGGTTGTATGAGGTAAAAGTTTGTTAAAAGCCACATAGTAATGCAGTGCCAATTATCAAAAATGATAAGATTGAATGGTTTGCCGCATGGAACTGTTACGCGTGCCGATTTTGATGAGGTTTAAAAAATAATCCATGTAGAAATTAAAAAATATTGAACATCAGAGATTTAATTGGCACACGCATAATATATTAGGACGAGTACACGCGACGGCAGATGGATGCGGACTAAGGAGCGCGGACATAGGACTGGTGCATTAAAAAAAGTACTAACACGTCATCTTGGGGCTGCACCATCCATTCACAGGAATAGGGGGTGGCCTATATACTTTTAGGAACAGTAGTTTTACGTAACAGCGACGACGGAAAGTTACAGCTGTTAATCCGGTTTAAGGCTTAAGCATAAGCATGCGGTTTAAGCATAAGTTCGTATTGCATACCTACGTTTTTTTATAGTATAGGGGGCCAAACGGGACAGACGGGTCACTTAAGTAACTAAACCACCTGTGGACGCCTGCACCTCAAGAATCACAAGTGCGTTCTACCCTTTCGGTCCCTCCCCCAGAGCCAGGGGGATTGGGAAGGGTTTTGGCTCTGGTAACCTTACTCACACGGTGAAAGAACGAAAGTACTGGTTTCCTGTGAGGCTGTGGTATCACTCCAGTCGAGCCTGGCCCGTATGTGCCCAAACGAAGACCCTGGTAAGGCAATAGATTTGTTTCTAATGTTATTGGACTGGATTAATTCTAAAAAAATACAGTTCTAGTTAAAAACTATTAAATACTGCAAATTATGATTCGTAGTCTCCATATTAAAAAAATAATAGGTAATAATAAGGTTTCATTGATTTTTTATCATAACCAACTTGTGTAATGTTGGTAGAAAAGTGTTATTATTTGTATCTACTATCAATTCCTGAACAAGGAAATATATCGTCATGGTCTCGTTATCTGTGGTTACTATAATTATGGTCTACATGTAGGTATAAGTAAAATTGGAAACTTACTGCGCCCAGCGACACGATACGCAAATTTAGGTGTTCATAAAGCAATATTAATAGTTATTTAAAGTGTACAAAAAAAGACGTGTGGCACTCGGGGACTGCCGCGGTAAGGCTATTGCATAGCATTTTTTATCAACTTATGCATTTATAATTATTTTTTTATTTTATTCATGCAGTATTTTTTTTCCTTTGTTTTTTTTCTTTGAAATTAATTGGATTGCGAGGCGAAGAGGGGGATTACGCATGCGCAGTAACGCCGATACAACCAATGCCACCTAGAGACGAGTTGCTGAACTAAAGAAACAAGCGTGATATTTCAAAAAAGTCATTAAAAGTTCTGCTATTCATCGATAGATGGCAAAACTAAAAAGTATCACATGGGGTGTGTTAGGTTATTTTCGTTACGGAATTTCTGGATTCGGTCTCCACGCTCAAGGCCCGCGATAGAAGCTATGCAATAGCTTAAAAAAGTATCATTTTTATTTCGTACAGTTTATGCACAAAATACACAATAGCGCACTTAATGCCGTAGGCAGGTATGCTCGACAAGTTTTTAATACCACGCATTAGCTGGCTAAATCGATTAGGGAAAACTGATACATTCTTGCAGGTACAAATTTATTCATAGTATTCTCAGCTATTCTTGTTCTTAGCTCAGTACATTGTTAAAGTTTAATTATCTTATCTATTCTCTGTATTTTCCAAGTAATGATAAAAGATTAAGTACAGTCACCTAAATGCAGTGTGATTTGAACAATGTCATGGAAAGGGCAAGACAGACAGTCAGTAGGTATCAATAAATAGTTTCTTAGTGTCACCAGGTTATTTGTTCTAAAACCAAAAAACTGGAAAATAGTCTTAAAGATTTGTGTTAAATAGTTTCTTAATTTGATAATAATCGTAGAAAAGAATGTAATTGTTAAACAAGTATCCACACATTGTAAAACATTACAAGAGTTTGTAGTCTGTACAAAACTTTTACGTCTATGGATGTCGCCTGTGTGCGTTTTAAGTCGATTCATGTCATTCTGTGTCTGTATAATAACATTATGCATTCATAACGTTTTTAGACGACTCGAGGCGATACCTACATTTAATTGGACTAAACTTATCGCCATCATTGGGTTTTTATATATATATTTTATTACTTTATCTACACTCAATTAAGTGGGTAGGTAGGTATTTTATGTCAAAATATATTAAATATATTAAAATTCCTTGCTAGATCACGTCGTCGATCAAATCGGGTTTCAAATATTATGTAACTAGCAAATAACTTTAATATTTAATTTTAATACCGTAGTGACTCACTACTATTGGTACTTAAAACTTGGAGTTCATTGACCGAGACACCTCAATCCCGTATGTAGTGCCTTTCAATACCTACAAGAGATCTTATGAAAATTGCAACACTTGACTGATGCAAAGGGAGTTAGTTACTGTTACCATCATCGCAACATGACCCGTTTTTATTTTTAAGATTACTTGCAGGAACACAACAAAGTTACAATGTACAAACAGCGAACTTTTTGAAGGTGTTACTAGTCTTTTTTATTGTCATATAACAGAATAAAAAATACTTGCATACTGGAGCCATATTTATTACTAATGACAAATTAAAAAAAAAAAGATTGAGTATCCTTTTAAATCTCCTATTCACTGACCTCGAATCTGCAACCTAAGCCTAACATATCATCTAATATTGATAAAAGAAGGTTTAATGATGATGATAAAAATGAATAATGGCAAAGAAACGCAAAATTGATTTAAAGTTTTAATAAGTTTTGCCCTTTAAACTATTGTGCAATGTGCTTAATAAGTGCTGTTATCACATTATTGCTTAGTAATACTTCACATATACATAAACAAGTCAAGTAGGTAATAAAATTAGTAATATCAGATATTTTCCACGAGCTTATCATTAATATAGCTAGAATATAGAACAGAAGGCCAAGTTTTCGTAATATAAGTTCGTTTCTTGCGTACCTTCAGATAGTTGCGAGATCGAGAGTGGATCGGACTTCATTTTGACAGAACTTTTATCACAACGCCAATTCTGAACTGCCATAAACAAAGTCTTTATGCTAAGAAGTAGACATGGAAATTATTGCTACTTTTAAATCATATTCTTTTGATGAAAAGATTAGTTTTGGTCTCTGTGATTTCACCTGCGATAAATCACTACTTAGCCATCAAAATCAACCAAACCAACCGTTTTTTTTTAATTTAGACCTTTAAAATTTAGCGTGTCTGGCGCTAGCGTAATAATAATAATTAGTCGCAGTGATGTAGGTGAGTCACAGGTGTGATGAAATAAATTTAGTCTTCATTAATCATTCAATAATCACAGGTGATTGCGATTTTATCCCATGCCTACTGAGAAGTGAGGAATTAAGTAGTGTGACAAAGATCTTTTGGCGCGAAAATGTAGTAAATAGGATCATTTTAACTTATGGATAAAGGATTTCATGTCATAATTTTTTTACTTAAAATTAGGACAGTTACAGTAAGTATTTTTAGGAGGATTTGCCTGAAAATTAGACTTGCAACGAATAGTATATTCGGCAGTATACCGAATACCGAATATTCGGCGAGGCCCCTGACCGAATAGCCGAATATTAGGCAAAAGTATTCGGCTGGATTTTAGCGCCAAAAACTTGTACAGACGTGAATTAAATTATGTAACTGTTTTATGTACCAATGACTACTTAATAAATGATTATAAAAGAAATGAGAACATTACCCTTCTAAATTTTGATTACCACAATAATTCAAATACATAGAATCCTCCATTTTTCCAATTCAGAAGATGATTATGTACCTGTGTTATGCACCAATGACTACTTAAATGATTATAACAGAAATGAAAATATGAATATATACGTAATCAATCGATTTTAATTTTTCATTTTACCAATTATTTCTCAATGACAAAATATATTATTTAAGTATTCGGTATTCGGCCGAATAATATGTAGATATTCGGTATTCGGCCGAATATAATAAAAGCAGCCGAATAGGCCGAATACCGAATAGTAACCGAATATTCGTTGCAAGTCTACTGAAAATCCTTTTTATTTTAAACGTTCGCAAAATGATTCTTGCCTCCTGCTGCTGAATGCTGCTTACTAGAAATGATAATTTATGTATGATCCTACGAGCAGCATGACCTACTTACATCCGCGCGCCAAAAAGTCACTGTCGTTTAGTATAACATTCGCCATTTTGTAATTATTTATTTTTAGAGAACCTATTTGACAGATCGATACAGGAATGATGAAGGCGCTCGAACAGGTATAAGTTTTTTGTCGCCGTTGCCGGACTCAATCACATAGTACTCTCTGCCGTTGATTATTTGGGGTCGTGTATTTTCAAAGTTGATTTTCGATTTCTTCCCGAAAAGCGAATCATAAGGTGGAGGTCTTGTGTCATCGTGTGTCCACGCTGTCTTTGAGGATTTCGACGTCTTCTTTCCCTTCTTACCCTTGCGTATCTTTACAGATATGTAACGCTTGAATAGCATCTAAAAAAATTCAATTGGTACATAATATTGCTGCGTACAATTTTTTGTTTACCTAATAATAATGTATACCTAGTAACCTCAGTAGTCACAATCGTTGTTAAATAAAAATGTTCTATTGTACATCTTATAGTGTTATATTCAGAAGCCCCAAAAATGTGCCTTTCTCCCATCTCAGTAGGAATTTTTTCGGCTGTATTTAAATATATTTACGTGTAGGTACTGTGTATAATATTAACTTTTATTTTTATATTTTTTTATATTTATTATTACGGACTTGTAACGTAGTTTGCTAATTTTTAGCATATTGTACAGTAAATGACAGCAGTTGGATATTATCTATCATCCTATACAAATAAAGTTTGTGGTTAATGCAAAAAGTTAGAGATGTGTACCTCGGCGGCGAACACAGCTAAGGCGACTCCAGATCCAACACCCATCACCATGTAAGTCATTATAAGGTCACTGTTTCTAAGTTTGCGATCTTTAGACTGCAAGTCCAGAGGGCAGATTTTTGTACTTGGCAAGTCTACGTCTTTGAGGAATTTCATTATACCAGATTCAAATATCTTCGTTAATCTATAAAAAAAAAAATGTTCTGCATCTATTGATTTACATATAGTATTTGTTCGTCCTTTACTTAGCAATGATTAATAATAGGTACCTACACAGGATCAAACAACGTCTTCAGAGGACTGCCGATGGGATATGCGAACGATCTCTGTCTCCTTGTGAATGAGTTGGGGGCGACCACGTAAGTACACTTTTCGCTTTCTTCAACATCCTTCTTCGATATGTAGTCATTGTACATAAGATGATCTATAACTGTTTGTTCCTTTACCAAAACTGTATCCTTTTTTACCGATTCCAGCAACTCTTTGTTATTTCTCACTGAGACAAACCGTGCCCGACCGCTGTTGACCATCACACTGAGATAGGATAGTTCTTCGCCCTCCTAATGGTACATGAATAATAATTGGTCAATGATAAGGTGTTTTTTATGGGATAGGGGGCAAACGAGCAGACGGGTCACCTGATGGAAAGCAACTACCGCCGCCCATGAACGCCTGCAACTCAGGAGTCACAAGCGCGTTGCCAGCCTTTGAGGAAAGGGTACGCTCTTTTCTTGAAGGTTTGAAAGTCGTATCGGTCCGGAAATACCGCAGGCGATAACTTGTTCTTCAGGTTGGTAGTGCAAAAAGCAAAAGCGGCAATTAATTAGACAAGGGATACTGTACAGATTTACTAGAATCTGAAGACACGCAATAAAAATTATTTTCATATGAATATATGAGCTATCACTAGTTATATCAAATTAGAAAATTTGTCAACCGCTGCTGAGGTTCTTTGATTTCTTCTTAAAAGAAGTTACTTTAATGAAGATTTCGAAAAAAACACTTGGTTTAAGTTTCTATGTATTTCTATTCGCATATCTGTAAATGTACTCGTAAATAGAAATTGAGAACTAGAAAATTATCAAGTGGTCTGAGCTGTTCTAGAATCTTTTGTTCACGAGTTCACGTAAACTGATGTAAAATTGTAATTCTAAATGTACTGTACGTATTTACTGTCGTTACTTACAATTTGAACAAAATGTTCCACTGAACTACCGGCTGCGGAAATCCATCGATAGTTTTTGAGGAGTAAATCTTCAGGGTTTTCGATAGCGAGTGTAAACTTCGAGAGAGTAAGAAAAGCAGTTAAATTTGCAGTGTAAAATGCTGACAGGAGAATCATGAAAAGCCACCAAGTCACGAAGAGAACTCGGGTTGTATCTAAAAAATAAATATCGAAGTCTTTAAGCTATGCTTCGTTGTTGTTTTATAATTTTAAACCAGTTATCCCAGCACTAATAATTTGTTATAAATAACATAGATGCGGTGTTTCAGACGTCAGACCTAATGCCGAGACAGAATACAGAAACCGTTTGATTAATAACAGCTGCTTTCGGATCCCTCCTAGAAAGTGGCACACCATGTGGTTTTAATCAGTTTGATTCCGACACACCTCCCACCCCTTTTTTATTGCTATCAGTATTAATTTTTTTTTATCATTAGCAATATAATTTTTGAAATACGATCAGTAACTCTGTACACCCGAAGGCCAATTCTCGATCTTCCAACTGTCATAAAAGGTATTTTTTTGTAATAAAATAGTCAAGCTAAGCAGATTACCAATTCAATTTTCGCTTCCACCTATCCTTTTATGTTTGCGGGTTTCCATACCTTAAATATAAAGTGTTGTAATCTTAACACAATAGTTACAAAACTTACTCGAAATAGCATAGCCTAAATGTAGGTACATAAATTGTTAAATACCTATGTAGATACCTAAGTACATTAGTGTGAAAGATCAAAGCTCATTTTTCATATACCAGGTATAATGACTGTAATCACTACAAACACAAATATTTTGATAAATTATCAAAACCCATTTTCATTTCTCATTACATCCATAGGAAAATGTTCGAAAGGTGTGACAACAAGTGATAGATTATATAAACCATTAACGGCGATACGATCGAAAATCTTTCCATTGACCGCTGGTGTACAACCAATGCATAAAAGGGCGCATTTTGATTTGACCATAGACTATATTTATCTTTATTATCTATATGTTTGGTCAACATTACACCATCAACGCTAATGGTTTTCCATCAGCGTTCCACTACTAGATTCTACTGACATATTGATAAATTATTAATTTGTAAATGTTTCCGAAGATATTGTATTAAATATTTCTAACTTTAATTTTATAAAGTAATTAATCGGTCCTAAATGCTAACGCTAACAGCTAATCGATAATCAACCCCCCTCTTCTCTCCCCCTGAGAATAAGGGCGTGTGGTTGGTCCTCCGTTAATCTCAATAACACCGGTTTCCTGAAGGCTGTGATATCACTCCGGTCGAGCTGGACCATATCTGCAGAAGCATCTCATCGCTCTCCCACGATTATGTATCTTAGTGAATAGACATACAAATTATTGCTACCTACAAATCATAATCATAATCAATAATTTCATGATTTGCTTTGAAATGAGTGGCAGAAGTCACAGCGATTTTATATGTGATTGTGAATTGGTCATAGGCAAAGAAATCTCAATGTAATAATAAGTCGTAGTTTTTTTGTAAATTAGTCACACGTGTGATTATATGTTATATGATTTATCACAGGTGATTAAATTATATGATTTGACACCTCAGTGTCAAAAACTTAAGACTTCTTTTAACACTTTCAGGTGTAATTTTCAGAATTTGAAAACTAACCGGAATGAATAATATCGTGTGATTTTATTCAACCAATTTTCATATAGTCGTTGATTTGTAATTTAAATCATTTATTCGTCGTCCAGTATAACATGAACTATCTTGTATACACTTTATACTATAACGGGTCAACAAATTTACTGGACCTCTATAATTTTATGTAGCCGTTTTTAAGGAACCTTTAACTTTAAAACACGTATAAAATGATTTTCAGTACTTCTTCTTTTTTTTTTTTTTTTTAAAACAACTCCCGCATTAGGAAAATATCCTGTGTCGCGGGGGACTTTACAAACATACATGAAACGGACACAAATAACACCCAGACTTGGAACAACAATTTGTGGATCACACAAAGTGTCGTCCCATGTGGGGTTTGAACCCACAACACTCGGCGTAGTAGGAAGCGGCGTGGCGACCGCTTAAACCACTACGCCATCCGTGCAGTCATATAATCTTTAAGTATTCCAAAGATGATATGCTGTCATGGGCTATGTCTAGTCAATAAGGGTTATATAGAACTTTCTTAATGTACTTATTATTATATAGATAAGGATCATAATGATAACTCTTAATAAACAACGTTTATTCCACAATGTTTATGAGAAAAAGACAGTATTATGACTCAACATCATTAAATAACTTGGTGTTTGTCATTTTTATTTTAATTGTTCAGATTGACGCCTATTTAAATTACTGCATCCCCATGCCTATAGTCAAAAAGTACCTTTAGTGAAACAATGTAAGAAACCAAATAATATACAGAGCTCGTCAGGAACATTTAAGTTTAGCTTAAAATGTTCCTGACCTGAAGAAACTAACGAAACTTTATTATGGCGTCTAAGTAAATGTTAAAAATAATCAGTACTCTTGTTACTATACTTTTAGGTAGGTAGAAATAAATTCTTATGAAAATATATACTTACTGGCTTCAGGAGCTAAACTCGTGCCTTGCTTAAGAAAAGCACTGTACACAAACCAAAAACTAGGGCTTAGAGGCAGAACTCCTTCGTCTTCCTCAATAATCTTATTTCTCAGCCGTGTAAAGAACGTGATGCAGGGAGCGAATGTTATAACCGCAGCCAGTACTAGATACCTAAAATATTTATTTTGCACGTTAACGAGGAAAAGTCTGGCAACATTAAGTTTTTGTAAACCGCTGTATGTTAAGCAATGGATTACGAATGATCTAATAATATTTGTATACCATAACTTTAATATCAAACAAATTAGTATTAAAAGGTTTAACAGGTAAGTAAAATACAACTCACCAAACAAGATCGTTGAAAGGCGCTAATAGTCCAGACCCAGCGGCAGATTCTTTAGGTCGCTTCATCATCATGACCCAGACGCCTTGGTCGAGGTCGATAGATAAAGCGGCTCTTTCTCTGTAGGCTATCATTGATGGCAGAAGCGCAGCAACCATATCTACTTTCTATATAAAGTTATTTATAATTAACAATTATTTATAATAAACAACACACCTCAAACCAGTGGTTAACCGTTACGCAATTCTTATGTTTCTTTTTACGTAGTTTTGTTATTTTGATACATGCCTACCATTCCATGAAGAAAGATCACGTACTTCTATTGATTTGACAGACAAGACTGAAGGCTGTCACGAGGCCACGCCTCTGCTCCACCCAGATCGCGCCGAACATTCAAGCAGCGTGTGGAGCGCCGTGTCCACGCTATGGCCACCGCAATGGTGGAACCCAGGCGTTCCAGGCATAAAACTGTACCGTGTTTCCTCTAGAGCCAATCCTCCATAACGGATCTTACCGCCGTTATAATGGCTTGGTTGCCCAAGTTCCTCCACTCCTCCACGTGGACCCGGCAGAGTTGGGATTTCTGGTCCCCAATTTCTCGAGCCCCACGATCCCAACCCAGTACGAGCCCTAGATGCCTCATCGAGGGCTCGATGCCGATGCGAGTGCCTCTGAGTACGAGACTGGATCCCTCAGTTGGCCCCTTCCGAGGTTCACCGTCCACCTGAGACCACACTCAGGACGGCATTAGGCGCTGGAAGACGCGCCAGCCACGGAACGTGTAACGGCTAGTAGCGAAACATCTCCGATGACTGCAATGAGGATCCGGTGCTACGCTATGCAAACTGCACTGCAGTTGTGGCAGGCGCAACTCACTTCACTCCTAGCAAGTCGGAAGAAAAGGGTCCCTTGCTGCCACCCTGCCCACTAGGCGATGACCGGCTGGAGCGTATAAACGACGTCAAAGCTAGTACGTGGTGCCTCCAGCCAGGAAGACCAACGAGTCATCGTGGCTCGGCAAGCGACCTTTGGCCACTCATTTCTGCCTCTAAATCCCATGGGAGAGATCCGCCTTCACCCTCTGAGGGTGCTAGAGTATGGTGCCATTGCCTGGACAACCTTGGACTATTACTACAATTATAGAGTAATCTCCACTACAGCTGCCGTTGTAGCAACTGCATTTTTGTATACACGCACTAGCCTTAATCTTCGTAGTTATCAGAAAATGAAAACAAAGAAGTAGTGGCAATTACGCAATCCTAGATGTCAACCTTAAACAACTCTATAGAATTAAGAAATTGTTTATGTTGTAGTGTAAGTATGTGCATATTTACTGACAGTTATTTTTATTTTAGGAATATATTTTCTCCCGCCCGTCACCCCACCGGGGTGGTGTTTCGGAATCGGACCGACTAAAACCACACGGTGTGCTACTCTGCGCCTGCAATAGGAGGGATCCGGGAACTGCTGTTATTAAGACATCCGGACCCCTCCGGAAGGTTGTGCCAGCAACGGCGCGGGCACCACCTTCGGGTACATTCTCTATTTAGGTGACGTCCGGCACACGCGGACGTAGCCTCCTCGCGACTGGCCGGGTGGAGAGGAAATCCCGTCCCGTCCACCCTCGGTCACACTCAGGGCGCCATAATGCGGTGGTAAACGCGACTCCGGGCCCCGTCGGGTTGGGTCCGAGTAGAGGTTTTCCTCCCAGGCCCTCTCCGCCGCCTCCTTCTGCGAGATGAAGTCTTCGCAGAAGGATGCGACCGTGGTGAAACATCTGTCTCTACCGGCCATAGAGCGTATAACGGCCGGTAGCGAGAGATCTCGCCTGATGACTGCAATGAGGACTCCGCGGTGCGGTGCCCAAGCCGGGCAAATTGCTAGCGTGTGCTGGGCTGAGTCCTTACTGCAATCGCAGTGGTGACAGGCGGGACTCAATTCTTTGGAGCAAGCTGTTGGAAGTGTTCGGCGAAAAGCCACCTCCCGTCGAGGCTCAGACCCAGATACTTCATCTGGGCCTGAACCACGGAATACTGGGTGGACCACGACGGGGCATCACGGGGATGTCAGTAAGTTAACGCTTGAATGAATGAGTTATATACACCTACTTAATTAAGCAAAAAAAACATATTTTACTTACTTTTTCGCTTAGTAAAGATAAACCTTTCAAGAGTCGGTATTTCACAATTTACTTATTTGATATAAATTCATTACTTACGCTTGAATTTACCAATCCAATCAAGGAATCTTCTGGATTTCTACCTCCAAACTCGTAATTCCTTCTAGGCTCAACGACTTCATAAGTGAAATTAAACTTTTTACTTAAAATATTCATAATAACGAAAACCACTCCAACGCCCACAATTGTACCATTTTTATTTTGAGTGCCGCTTAAAGGCGTGTTCTGAGTAGGAGAAGACATAGAGAAATGGTTAGTGCGAAAACTGGTTTTCTGCAAAAACTGGTTTGCTGAGAAAACTATAAGCAGCTGAACTTACGTTATATGTAGCAACTTTGATGGTTTTGCCATTGATTTCCTTCATCATATCTTTATACCTGGACTGGTTCTCAGGTATTTCGCCAGGTCCTGGAAAGACAAATAAGAATCTGTAAAATAGTTCTATAAACTACTCTGGGTTTACCATAGACTCAAGACATTATTCGTTTTTTGTGACCCGTGGTTTGAATACATTTCAATCTGAACTATTTTTGTTAATAAGTTAATGAAAGAAATATTTTAAGTACTTAAATGTTTAAGTTTATAATAATAGCTAATCTATACTAATATTACAATGCTGATGAGTTTGAGGAAATCTTAGGAACTACCCGTTCATCATCATCATCACATCAACAGCCTTTAATAGTCCACTACCGGTTCGAATACAAAAAATATTTCGGTGTTGAATAGCCCATTTATCGAGAAAGGACAGAAAACATCACGGTTCGATCAATAGGAGCGGAGCATCATTGAAAAATGTTGCAAAAACGTGGCAAACTATTCGTTTTGAGAGATGCAGACGCAGTTGCACGGATCAGCTGGTTAATCACAAAGGACAATTAAGCACATTTATATTGTATATTGTGTAACTGTTTGTTATTCCAGTAAAAGAAAAAAAAAGGACTACCGCTTATAAGTCTATTTCCTTCCTAATATAAATTAATTATTCCCCTTTTAGAGAAGAGGATTAATGTCGTGGGCAGTAGAAAAGGCTGAGTGCTAAAGACATAAAAGTTGGAAGAATCTGGAGAAGTCTTATTTAGAATAGAATATATTTTATTTTATCCATACTTTATGCACAAATGTGATAAAGACGTATTTAATGCCGTAGGCATTTTCTCCCAGTCAACCTTAGGGCGATACAGAGCTAAAACATGGTAGATGCATAGCAATTTAAAATGTAATTTTATGAAAATATATCACATACCCAGAATACACACAATACACAAGTATATATGTATAAAAAATTAAGGTAGATTTGATATAGAGGTTAATAAATGTTTCCGCAACAGGTATTTAAAAGTGTGTCGAGTTTTTGCCATCCTGATCTCGAGAGTTACCGCGTTCCATTACAAGACAGATTGTACCAGAAAAGTAGAATGTACGAAGTCAGAGCGGTGAGTGGGATACAAAAAGAGAGATATGCTGTGACGAGTGACCATTGAAAACGGATCTTGGTGATTAAAGTGAAAACGAATCGAATGCAATTATTGAGAAGGCGGTCAAGCTTATTAAGTAGATCTTCATTTAGGGAATATTAGTCTGAGCAATCATTACCTTAGTTTTCACTGGCAGAAAGTTCTTAAGCCTATCGGGAGCTTGCAACCATCCTGTGACTTTTCGGGACAAAGATGCAACTTGTTTTCGCCAGCTAAGAGTCGTGTCAATATACAGTTCTAGGTCTTTTACACTTTTACAGTATAGACTAACCATTCCATCGTAGATAAGAGGCGGAAGTGTAGCAAGTGTCGAGCTGGCTCATACCACGGTTCCTCCCGATGATAATGGCCTGACATTTATTCGGATTCACCTATACACTAAACATATCGGACCAGTGTTTAATGGCCGCAAGATCACATCAGGCAGAGAAAGAATCGTCCATACTGACTGCTGACGATCCCGAAGGTAAGAGGAAAACCAGTCCAGTGCTTCTTTTGAGACCGAGAAATGAGATAGGACAATAAGGAGGAGCTCATGAGTGACATAGACGGCTGAACACGGGGGTTGTCCGGTCAATGGCACTGTACGGAATACTGGTGTGGCCGGCGGCTCTGACCGCCCAGATTCGGGCACGCCTCTGGCGCCCTCAGAGGATGTTGGCGGTTAGAGCAATACGTGGTTACCGCACTGTCTCGACGGAGGCGGCGTACGCATTGGCCGGTACTCCCCCGTGGGATTTGGAGGCGGAAGTGGAAGTATAGTCGGCCCCCGCCCAAAGAAGTACGCGAGTGACACGAGGCCGCTCGTCGAGCCACGATGGTACGTTGGTCATCCCGGCTGGGGGCTCAACATGATGGCTTTGCCGCTGTGGAGGCGCTATAGCTGGTTATCTTTGAGTGGGTAGGGCAGCAGAATGGGATCCTTTCCTGCCGACTGACGCAGGTCCTTTCCGGGCACGGCTGCTTCGGGAAATACCTGCACTAGGTCACTAGAAGGGAATTGAGTCCCGTTTCTCACCACTGCCATTGCAGTGAGGACTCAGCTCAGTACGCGCTGGCAATTTGCAATAATTCAAAGTATTATGTGCAGATAGACTGTTCAACGTGAAAGAAGTGGTGAAGGTGGTTTTCATCATTCATTTTATAAACTTTACTTTATCTTTAATAAATTCTATGTCCTATTTGTTATTGGATTATTATCTACAAATAGAACATTCAATTTATATTAACGAAATTAGTTTTCGTATTTAATTATTACGCAAGTGTTTATAGTGTCGCGTGTTATTTATAAATACACCTAACGTAAACACCTAACCACCTACTAACCTAAACCTTTGTGTTGTGAGGCCGCTAAACTCTTTGAAAGAGCCGCCCGTATCAACCAGTGCCTGTCGCGAGTGTGCCCCGACTTATCAGATAACCAATTCGGCTTCCGACACAGACGCTCGGCACATGCGGGGTTCCACAGGGTCGATCTTAGGACCCCTTCTATGGAACCTCGCATATTATGGCCAGCCTACCCCGGTACTAAGTGTCGTCTGTTACGCGGACGACACTCTGGTACTGGCTGGGGGCATGGCTTTGAAGAGGTCCTAGAGCTCGCCTTGTTCCGGGTTGCTTATGTCGTCCTAAAGATCAGCCTTCTGGGTCTAACTGTTGGGCGTGTTAAGGCAAGTCCTGGTCGACCAAATCGGACGAGACCTGTCCCCATCAGCAATCATTACTGCCATGCTGGAGGGTTAGGAGGAATGGGGCGCAGTGGTCTCTTTCTGTGTAGTTGTAATGCTTCAGAAAGAGACCGCTGAACGGGATTGGGAGAGCGCCGATCCCGACCGTAGAGGACGTCGGCGACGATCCCAGCCGTCGGCGGGTGGGACCTCTGGTGGCAGATTGATTGATGTGGTAGGGGATAGGATGGTGGCCCGATTGCGATAAGACACAATTGGGCCGCCACGTCGCGATTGAGGGGGAAAGTGGCCCGATTAGGCATGGTGTTAATTCGAGGAGGACCTGAAATAACATAGTCAGAGACCTCCCAGAGGGCACCAGAGGCCGGCCGTCGGGGTGGGTTTTAGTGGAATCACCACATACTCCTGGCTCCTGAGTCCCCGAGAAGCACGAGATCCGAAGGGATGTTCCACCCCGTCAACATAAATAAACAAAAAAACATTGTGATTAGGCAAAAGAAACTATTATTTTATTGAAATTTGATTTTTGATGAATGCTTTTCCAACTTTGTATCCCATTTATTAATTTAGTGCATGTGCCTCTCCTAATGATTGAAACTGAGTTCGATCACTGCACCTGACTGCTGCTTGGGAAACGTAGAGTAGAACCCACTCACTACGTTTCACAAGCAGCAGTCTTCAGTCATGAACTCTTCTACCGCAATAGTTATCATCGGTTCTGTGCCATTTGCATAGTAACCAATAACCAGTTCAACTTGCAAATTGTTTGAGAAATGTCGGTTACATTGGTTATGTGTCGGATCACTTAGTTACGAATTTTATCCCGCAGAGACACATCAAGCATAGCTCTCACCATAGCTCGCTGTGACTCTTAGTTTATGAATGAACTTTACCGTGAGTGCAAACTTCTCGGCATCGTAAGTCGTTACAGGTAAGACACAATGTTTTAAGACCTTTGTCTTGAGACATTATGGTAAGGTCGTCCATACCACTACTCATAAATATTATTACATTGTAAAATGTAGTATTTAAAAGTTTTAGCTATCTCACGGTTTGATTTGCGTAAATTTTCAGTTTGTTGAGTCATAGCGTGTTATAATGTTAAGATGCTAGATAAGCATTTTAGTACTAAGTTTTAAAATAAACACCACAAGTCAAAGCTATTTAACGAAAATTAAAATTTTCTTCATTTCTGATTTAAAAACAGCATCTCGACATATTAAAAATCTTAAAAAAGTTTTAAAATACTAAAAATTAATAAAGTAAACAATCACCTTTATAAGTATCATTGTAAGGGACTTCGCAGACTGTAGCGTTACATATTGAAGATATGATGAGTTCTATGCCGCCCATGGCATAATAAGATTTATGGCGTAACTGATAAAACACATTTGGTTATCTGTGGTCGAATGGCGACTGGTCACTACTCACTGATTGTGTTGTGGTGTGGGCATGAGGATGTGCCTACGGCGCGCTTTACCCACCACAACCCCCGCACGCTATGTTAATGCACGTTGGATTGGCATGGACTTAACTCGATTCTTTTAACAAAACTATTTTTTAAAAATAATGAAATTAAGTAAGAACTTAGAAGAATTAGTTAAGAACTTAGAATTTTTCGAACTTTTTAATTCTTAGAACTTAGAACGGCGTGCCCAAGGGCCAGTTTTCCTAACATTACTAATAGGTTGCTAGTTTCATAAATGAGTAGACAACTTTACCGAATTATGATTTTATTGCTACTAAATTATGTACAAAAATTAAGCCTGTAAAGTTAGTGCCTATCCAATACGAGTGCAATACAAATGTGTGCCCGCAACATAATTTTGTTAACTAATAAATGAGTGGGTTTGCTCGTACAAATACCCTTATATACCCAATTACCCTTATATCTCCAAATTATCCCTATAAGGTTTTAACATTTCTTCCCTTCTCTTAACGTATAAAATACACAAATAATAAAACGATTTCAATAAGGTACTGTAAAAACCTACAAGGGTCTGTAATAAGTTCACCACTGCGATGGCCGGACCGTGCACACAGTGCGCTACACGCTGGCAGAATGCCCGGCGTGTAGCCTTAGTACCATGGTTATGGCCATGGTACGGAGCGAGAGCGCGTGGAACTCCGCCGTCTCCTTCTGTGAGCAAGTTATGCTTGGGAAGGGGAGGGCGGAGCGAAACCGGGAGGGATTTAGAACTCTCCCGGTCACAGGCCACGTACCGCAGGCAACTCAGTCGTCGGAGGTGGCAGAACGACCTCCGTCCTCCATAAGCGCAGGCCTGGGGGTGACAGGTGAGGCCATCTGTCACTTTAGCAAAAGTAGGCCGGGTTAACGGTGCGACGCGCTGTGAAGCACGCGCCCTCTTTAGGTTGTAGAATTTGAACACCGTGATTCCCACACATGAGGGGGACATCTACAGACCGTAGATGGCCCGGGATCCGTCGGGGTTTCAGAGATTTCCCTTCTTCGGGTACACGTGGTTCACCGGCAACTGGTACGGGTACCGTCTCGGGAGACGGCGTGTGGTTTTTGGTTGGTTCGAGTCCGACATAATCACCCCACCGGTGATTAGTATCCGAGAGGATTTCCGCACAGACAAAAGAAAAGGGCCTAATGAGTACCGTTACTTTGTTTCCAGATAAGAAGTTGATACATTTTGTTCATTATGTTAATTTCTCTGCCAAAGACCGAATATCAAACAATTTATCAGATGGGAGTAGATAACATTATTTGTGGTTGTGTAGTTTTTCTACAAAATATGTGTTCTGCAGTGGAATGTTTTCTTGAATTCGTGATTGCTACTGTTAATATTCATTATTTCATTTTTCAGACTTACGAGTACTATAAATAATAAAGTGTCCTTTTTAAAAGGCATATCCTCTCTATTCTCACCCACCAATAATGTTATGGTAAATAATGATATGTCGTTTATGTCGCTGGCATAACAGGTCACTCGGTAAATTGTCATATGCGATCAACATTTCATGTGCCGTCAAAATTTAGGGTACAAGGCTGCTATTGGCGTGATTTTTATTTACCTTAAAGACATAACAAATACCTGGTTAAAGAACTATGACTGTAAAAGGAAGGTATAAATAAAGTAATCTAGAACAGACTATGACCATGCCTAGAGGGGGGGGGTCTCTCGGATAATTTTAATTAATAATTTTCTCTCTAATTAGTAAAACTTACTCAATAACAATGTACTATAAAAAAAATATTGTATTGTTTTAATTGTAAATGTTAATAATTTTTATAAACGGGATTTTGAACTACAAACCAAAAAGCCTGAAGCCTGCATTTTGAATATTCTGAAGTATCATAAGAAAATATCTTTAGCTGTTTATAACTACATAATTATATCGTTACCTTTAAACCTTTACCTTTACAGATAAAAAAAAGATTTTTTTGAAAATAATAACCCGAACTAAAAAGGTAGATTAGAATTTAAGATTGAATATAAGCTTATACTTACTGAAAGTTTGAATAAATAATAGAATGATTGCGAAGTGTAATCGGTCCCCACTGTAATAACTGCCCCATAATTCATATTGCTTTTCAACGATATAGGTTTGTGTTATTTAAACTTGTTTGATCTAGGTTTTTGTTGACAGTGTTTATTTGCAAACTAAAAAAATACAATGAGTTGTCGTAGTTCACGAAAGCACCAAAGGTTCATTGAGAAGAAAATTTATTAGTCTAGTGGTTAGTGATTCTGACTGTAAGTTAGAGCTTGTGGGTTCGATTCCCACCTAGGAAAAATAATTGTGTGATAAGCACGATCATTTGTTCTAGTCTGGGTGTAATTTATCTATGACTAACGATCCTCCCGGCTTCGCACGGGTGCAATGTGGATACTACTAGTACTACTAATGTGGTGTCAGTGAGGAGTAATTAATTATATTTATATTATGATAGGCCTATTAATAATACTTTTACAGGACAGCTTTATAATGCAATATTTATAGGCCCACTCCGATCCTGCCGACCGCTGTCATAGGTTCGACGGTCATTGGACCCTGCATTTTAAACCTCTAATATCTTCGAAATTTTGGAAAAAGTAATAGTCGGTAGGTGCAAGGTCTGGTGAGTATGGCGGATGAGGGAGAGCTTCCAACCCCAGCTCTTGCAGCTTGGAGACTATCTGTTGCGCAGTATGGGGTCGCGCGTTGTCGTGAAGGAGCAGTGGGACGACCGATTGACCAAAGCTGGTTGCAGATGTGACCACCAGACCTTGCACCTACCGACTATTACTTTTTCCAAAATTTAGACAACTTTTTAGTGGGTAAAAAATTCAATTCCCGAGAGGCAGTACAAAATGCCTTTGAAGAGTTTGTTGCCTCCGGTCCAGCTGATTTTTACAAGAAGGGCAATATATCAATAAACTGCCAATGCGTTGGCAAAGATGCGTCGATTGCATGGGTGATTACTTCGAATAACAGAAATAAAAAAGTTTGAAAAAATAAGTACTTTCACTTATTGCATACAAAACGGCAATTAAATAGGTAAAGACCTATTATGTATGTATTATACATATAAATCTTCATCTTGAATCAGTCTTTCTATTGGTGAAAACTGCATTACAATCCGTTACTTAGATTAAAAGATCTAAGCGTACAACACAATAAAGACTTTAATAAAAAATAATAACGACTTTATTTTATACTATGTAAAGATATATAGGTAGGTATATATTTAGAAACATATAAGTAAGTTTTTTCGCAGTCTGGGTACCATAGTACAGGTTCTGCCTAGTTGGGATGATGTTTAAAATAATTATTATTAATAACTATAATTAGGTTATTAGTAATAAACCAGCTGTTGCCCGCGATTTCATCCGCGTCATCCTGCGGCGAAGCAAGGAAAGTTATGTGTTTAACCTGCATATACATATATGTGTCCGTCCCTATTTAGATATGCTCGTAAGTCATAGCTACTAAACAGCTATATTGATAAATTATATGTCCTAAAATATGAATGTTGGGCTATGTTAAAATGTTCGGTGCTAACTAAATTATAATTTTTTTAACCAAATCTTATTAAATATGAAGCAAGATTAAGGATGTTTACTAGCTGACCCTCGCAACTTCGTCTGCATCTCAAAGGAAATAATTATTCAAAGTTTTTGCAACATTTTTCGTTGGTGCTCCGCTCCTATTGATGAGTGATGTTACATGGCTTATAACCATCTGCGATAAATGGGTTATCCAACACTAACATATTTTTTCTCTTGTAAATAAACTCACACTAGGCACGCTTTCTGAGAGCCTAGGGCAAATTTATTTCACATAAACCCACTCTCGACGGCGAGTACTTTCGGCGTTGCTATTGGTGCAGATATCACTGCGGGCCAATAGCAACGTCAAACGAGGTTACCGTGATGATCGAGTAGATGTGAAATAAATTCACTCTAAACCCTCTGAACTCTTCATTGACATTGCCAGGAGAATTGCTAATTGGCCAAAATTACCTTCAGTGGCGTAATGACTACGTACCGAAAGACAGAGCATAGGTAGGTTTCCTACAAGGTGGTCCCACGACCTGTTGGAGGTCGCACTGGGTGCGTGAATGTCTTTGGCTGAGATGTTGAATAATGATGACAGACATACCTACTTTTATTTGTTATTCATTGTATGAGTTTATATCTTTAGGTGCTTTTGATAAAGCAAGCTTTTCTGGGACTTTTGTGTCTGTTGATCTATAATATTTTCATATTTTTTTACAAAAAGGAGAATAAAAAGGAATTTTATTCATATCGAACAATCTATTGATAAGTTTGCGCACTTAAAAAGGATCGCTGGCTTTATTGAATGCAATTTCAAAATCTTAAGATTTTAAATCGTTTAGAATATTTGAAAAAATAAATTAAGTGTTAGTACCAATACTGGCATAGGTATGTAAATTGCCAAAATTGCCACATGAATTTTATCCGATTTAAATTTTCTAAAATTATGAAAACCGAAGTGAAAATTGTTATTCTATTTTTATCTGTATCAAGGACAAGTAAAATTGACACTGTCAGTGACTTAAGTCCAAATTTAGGGTTGAACATAGTTATTGTATTAGGTAGATTCCGATAACAACTCTTACCTAATCCAAATTGTTTGAGATTAGGTTCATGGTGCAATCGAATAGAACTTGAGTACTAAGTCTTACAATATTTTGCCCATCTAGGTGTAATTGCTCTTATGATTAATGAAATAATTTTCAAATGAATATTTTTAAGTGCATACCATATCCCTTGAATGTAGCAATTGGAATTGGAAATTCGGAAAAGCTTCCTGTAAGACACGTTTTGTCTTCACTAATATTGTTAGTATTCTTTATTAAAAAAATCAATATGTAGATCAGTATTAGTAAGTTAATCAAAAGATCCAAAATTCTGCAATTTATTGATCATTTTATCAAATAATTGAATTGAACGGAACTGAACTGCATATTCGTTGGATTAGTTTATGATTAACCTAAATGTTACTTCTTTTTGGAAAGTTTTAATACGCATATTGTACTATTATTGTGTATAATTAAACAAACCGAATATTCGGATGGGATACTTCAAAACTATAATCATTCCAACTCCAACCAATTGTACCTCACCTCACCTCTACTTCACGCAGTGCACTGTACTTGACAGTTGACAGATAGAATTTGAAAACATAACCTGTAATTTAAAGTTTGTTACTATTTAATTCTTTATTTATTGCAGTTACTTAACTTTAATAAATATGAGGGACATATTTATATCAAACTGCGAGAAATCATTTTCAAACAAAATACTGTCGGAAGGATATGTAAGTTCACGTTCATTTGTTATTAGTAAAACTTATTTGCAAAAGTTTAACATTTTGTTAAATTCCAGCGTTTAGATGGCAGAAATTATAACGAAAGCAGGCAACTGAGCATATCATTTGGATCTGAATATGGCAGTTGTATTGTGTCTTTGGGAGAGACTAAGTAAGAACTTTGTTAAAGCTTTGTTCATAAATTTATTTACCCAATTCATTGAATATTATTATTTACTTTCAGAGTTCTCGCCCAGGTATCATGCGAAGTCACCCAACCAAAACAAATAAGGCCTAATGAAGGCATTTTGTATATAAATGTTGAGATTAGTCCAATGGCTGGGCCCCAGTTTGAGGCAAACCGACAGACCGACTTGTCTGTATACTTAAATCGATTACTGGAGAAGTGTTATAAGGATTCAAAATGTATTGATCTTGAATCTCTTTGTATTGTTGTAGAAGAAAAGGTACACATTTTGATACATTTTTGTGAATTATTTCCCATTAATTTGTTATGTCAAGATTTTCATTATGAAGATGAATTTGATTCTTGTTGAATTTGTTGTATTTTAAAGGTTGTTTTGAGTTAAAAGGTTTCTGTATAATTTTCTTGTAATATTAATCATGCTCACTTTTTAAACCATATTAAAATTACTGATCTGTTTCTATCTGTTACTACAGCTAACAGCAGATCTGTTGTAATGTGACAATCGGACACATTTCAGATAAAAAATAAACACAAAAATTGGTCACATGGTTCCACAACTTAAATAGAACTGTGATATTTAAGTAAAAAGATTTCTTTTAAATTCATATTACCATAAATGAGAATGTGCGGTGACAGATTAAGACTACAGAATGCCATGCAAACTAAGGGAGCCAGATATGCTGAACAACAGCACTGCAAAGAGAAAGATAACAAAACAAACCCTATACCAACCTGTCTGACCAGTGTGGTTTAGTAGGCCATAACCTCCTTTATAAGGAGAGCCCTTTGTCCAGCCGTGGACTAGTAAAGGCTGTGGATGATTGGTGAAGATGGCAAATGAGAATATTAAAATTGAAAAATCATTATTTTTGTATCTTATATTAGAAGTTCAGTTCAGAAGTCTAGTAATTGCAATGGTATAAAAATAATATGGCTAACAATCACTGCTGAATGTCTGTCATCATCAGTCAAGTATTTGATTCTTATTAAAATAACACAATATAATAAGTGTAATACAAAATATTTTAAATTCTAGGCAGTTATACATTGTTCTGTCTTCAAATGTTTCAGGTATGGTCACTCCGAGTGGATATCAAAGTTCTAAACCATGATGGAAATCTTATTGAATGTGCTAGCATTGCAACACTCACATCCCTGGCACACTTCAAGAGACCAGATGTAACTCGCAGCGGTGACAGTGTAATCATACACACTTTAGCTGAAAAAGACCCTATTCCAACTGTTCTGTTTCATTATCCTGTGTGTGCCACATTTGCTATATTTGATGGCGAGTGAGTATAGATTTATATATTTTTTACACATCTCACACACAGCCGCCTGATCCCAATCTAGGCAGAGCCTGTTCTATGGTAACCAGACTGCTGATAAACATACTAATATATTTCTAAATACGTACATATTATAGATAAATTCCACCTAGACACAGAACAAATGACTGTGTTCATCACACAATTATTTGTCCTGGGTGGAAATCGAACCCACAGCCTCTGGAGCAGCAGTCAGGGTCACTAACCACTACACCAACAGGCCATTCATATATGTATGTTTACTATGCAGTATTATGGTGTAAGTTTCCTAAACCTTTCCCCTGATTCTGAGGCCTCTCCCTCAGAATCAGGGGAAAGGTTTAGGAAACTTAGGTCGAAGGACGAGAACGCATTGCAGACGGGTCACCTGATGGAAAGTGACTACCGCCGCCCATGAACGCCTGCAACTCACGAGTCACAAGCGCCATAACGTTATTAATTTTATCCCCTTTAAATAGCGATGAAAGTTGTATGAAATTTAATATTTGTTAATGATAGTTTGAGTGTTCTACGGGTTCCATTCTCGCTCAGTGTACATATTTGTATGTAAAAATTTGCATTTTTATTAGTCCTGGATCTAAATTGTTTCTATTAATAATGTTTACGAAAAAATATAAGTATGTCAACCCTATTCTAAAATCTACAGTACAACCTCTGTTTAAATACTCGATAGCAATGTTTACTATGAACTGGAATATTACTTTTATTATAAATCGTATTTAGTTATCATCTTGTATTTAGCACGGGATGTACAAACAAATTAGTTAAAATTATTCATAATACCTAACTGTTGTATAATAGGAAAATATATGCTTGATTGAACGGAAATCGTAGTGGTAAACGCGGTCGCCACGCGGCTTCCTACTTCGCTGAGTGTTGTGGATTCAATCCCCACATGGGACGACATTTTGTGTGATCCAGAAATTCTCGTTCTGGGTATGGGTGTTCTTTGCTGCCGTTTTATACCTTTGTAACGTCCGCCACGACACGGGATATAATCCTAGTGCGGGAGTCGTCTTTAAAAAAAAAGAAACTTAATAATCCTTTTCAAGACACTCAATTTAAACTACATTGATCTCAAACTTGGCTTTTATATGCAAATATACTTTCAAAACTGAATAAAAACCTATTTTCGACTATTATATCTATGAAAGAATATTTTGATACACTAATTCTAAAAGTGTACGTGTTTAATTGTATTTCTTTAACTTCTTATTATACCGTACATTATCAAATAAAAGAACAGTTACAACATACTAGCTTGGATTACTTATAGTATAAGCTAAGCATACTAAATAGTGGCGCTAAGGATATGCTGAGGTATTGTTAGCTCTTCTACTATTACAGTGTTTAGACCTTACCTACCTTAGTACTTTGACTTCTATTTACTTATAATTACTACTTTTTAGAGTTCCGTACATTAAAAGGAATTAACGGAACCCTTATAGGATCGAGAGGAGTTATTGAGTTGAAATTAACACCATATACTCAGGTCTACAGTCTCTTGGAGCTGCGAAAAAATCAAACTTCTAAATTAACGTAAAAAAAGATACGGTCGCTTATGCAAAAAACGCATATTTTGACACTCAAGGGAATCAAAATTTATAGGGTACTTCCCGTTGCACTACATTTGTAATTAAATAACAAACATGTACTCACTTATAAAAGACAATAATATAAGTAATTATAGGTATTGGCAACTGAATTTCGGGAAAAGCTCGGCAAAAACCGCGAGATAACCGCTTTTTATAATAATATATATACCTATAAATTTGTACGGAACCCTCGGTGGGCGAGTCCGACTCTCACTTGTTCGGTTTTTTTAAATTATAATAACTATCAAGCTTTAAGACGTCTAATATATATTAAGTAACTAGCTGTTGCCCGCGACTTCGTCCGCGTCAATTTGTTTTGTTTGACTGCACGGATGGCGTAGTGGTTTAAGCGGTCGCCACGCCGCTTCCTACTACGCCGAGTGTTGTGGGTTCAAACCCCACATGGGACGACACTTTGTGTGATCCACAAATTGTTGTTCTGAGTCTGGGTGTTCTTTGTGTCCATTTCATGTATGTTTGTAAAGTCCCCCGCGACACAGGATTTATTCCTAATGCGGGAGTTGTCTTTTTAAAAAAAAAAAAAAAAATTAAATCTGCTTTTATGATCGCGATTAAGAAGTTTTTAAAAGAATATATTTTAAAGTACTTCTGCGTAAATGACATTTTTAGTTTTATTTTCTTGTGGCAGAAGAACATACTGATTTTCTCCGCAACCCGATCTTGACAACGCTACATATAGTTGGCCGTGTGAAAAGCAGTCTTGACGTAAATCGATTCCTACGTGTTTAAATGTTTGCCCCTGTGATTTATTAATTGTTACGGCAAAAGATAACTTAACGGGAAATTGAATCCTTTTAAAATTAAAAGGTAAATCATTTGGAATCATTGGGATGCGAGGTATAAGCACTGTTTGACCTACTGCTGGACCAGTCAAAACTATTGCAACGATCACATTGTTGCGAAGAAATTTGACTTGAAGTCGGGTCCCGTTACATAAATTTGGTGGTTTAAGATTTCTAAGTAAAATTATTGGGGCACCTATTTTTAACTTGAGTGAATGTGGGGGAAGGCCACTCGGGTTTAAAGAATTAAGAAACTCCTGTGGGTAATGGACCGCATCTTCTTGATCCATTACATTATCAATAGATGTGTAGGTAACTTTATCTCCTGGAAGTTTAGTTAAAATTAGCTCGTTAATTTCGTCAACGCTACTGTTTCTCGCCGCCAATATTGCCCTTTGACACATCCATGGATAATCTTTGTTTTCTATTTCGACGATATCAGGGTAAACTTTCGATATTAAATCCTCAATGCTAGTCACTCTTTCTCCTAAATCGCGATCAATTTCAATTTTATTTTCAAAATGAGGTACTTTCCCGTCTCCTATTAAAAGTAGCTTTGAAGGAAAATTTGTACTACCTCCCCCCAAATGTGCTCTCATATTCGTAGATAGTTTTAAGGTATGAACAAACTTCCATAATGGGGAACTTTTAAGGCAAGACTTTACAATGTCTGCTCTAGTTCCCCTTACTATTACCGGTAAAGTTTGACGAAAATCCCCAGCAAACATAACAGTAATCCCACCCATGATTTTATCACAGCTTCTAATATCTCTAAGAGTCCTATCTAGAGCCTCTACATGAGCTCTATGGATCATGGTACATTCGTCCCAGATTATTAAAGTGACGTCTTGCAAAACTTTTCCCAAAGGGCCATTTTTGCGAATAGAGCACACGCTATCTTTCTGTAAAGAAACAGTTAGAGGCAGTTTAAAAGTGGAATGAGCTGTGCGTCCACCTGCTAATAAAGTTGCAGCGATCCCTGACGACGCTACTGCTAAAGCTAGTTTTCCCTGAGACCTTACTTTTGCTAATATCAGATTAGTAATGAAAGTCTTGCCAGTTCCACCTGAAGCATCCAAAAAAAAAATTTTTCCTTCATTAAAAAGAACACTGTGCATAACACGATTGTACGCCGTCACCTGGGTATTAACTAATTTTGGTTCATTTTCAGTAATATACTCATTTAATTCATTTACATCATACGGCTTTCGCAACGCTACTTCTAACGGATCCAAATTATTATGTGAATTATTCCTTTTTGATGCAGGAAGCCCAAAATCAGTTAATGATTTATCGCAAATCTCATGAATCTTATCTTCAATTATGATAAGTCCATCATTGTATATATCATCACTATATGCTAATGTCATATCCTGATTCTCATTACGCATTCTGTTTAATATATCTTCACATAAATCATTTCGAAATTTATTCCATAACTCTAAGGGGTCAGATGGCTGGCAAAATATGAGAATGATGGTAAATAATTCTCTTAATTTTGTGGCTGGCTCAGACATGACAGCATCTGACATGGTATTTTGCCAATGTTCATCTCCCTCCAGTAAACCTAATTCCTTGCAAGCGCCTTGATAACTTTGGAAAATAACACCATTAACGGTCCTTAGATGTTCAAACGACATTGGACCGCGAACATGTTGCAGTATCATTCTTAAATAATAACATTCAGTTTGTGTTGGATGAATGTTGTAGACACGGCCTAAAGTTGTGTCTTTTTTTACACCGGGATATCCATCAACATCTTGCCCACGTCTTCTTCTAGAAAAAGAATTTCTTCCCCATACGTAATACTGGGGTACTTCGTGATATAAAAGGGTTTTTGCAAAATTGTCTCTTTTGCAAAGATCAAAGAACGCTGTAAGTGTCGTTGGTGAAGGATTGTTGACGCGATCTTGGAGATTTTCATTATTATAAAAATAAACTCTTTGTCCATTTTCCAAATGAATTGCTAAATGAACTACTGCCGGCAAACGTTCATGAATAGGAAATTGGAAAAATCTCCAGAGCGCTTCCGAGGAACTTATATAGCGACCATTTAGATATTTTTCTACTTCATTATTATTATTTTGCAACGAAAATGTGGCTTGATCAGAACCTTTATGAATATACTTACAGATGTACTTAATAGCTTTGACCGATTGACAAAACTCTACGTTAATGTGTGCATTGAAACTTCGTGATAGCACTGGATTATAGGGAACAACCCACCTGTTATCCACGCTCATTTCTGTACCTTTGACACGAATTGTTGCTGTTTTTCCACCATTATCTAGAGACCTGCGCCTGTAGGTTGGGTAACCGTCATCCCCAGTTTGTGTTTCAGAAATAAAATGCCTAGGGTACTTTTTAGAACAAATGTTTTCTTTCATACATGGTGACGCAGGATTGTGAAATCCGCAAGGACCATGTATCATATTTTTTATGACAATATTATGAAGAATTGGATCTTGTTGTTGGTCAGGTATTTCAGCCGATATTATTGCATCTATAGAATCTGGTTGTACTTTGTTAGCCAGCCACAATAAAATGTGGGCGTGAGGTAAACCTCTTTTTTGCCATTCTACGCTGTAAACGAAGGCTTTCGATGGTCCAAAGATATTTTTCTTCGTTAATAGGTCTATCATTTTCTTGAGTTTTAAATGAAATACTCTAGAAACCAAATCATGTCTGTCGTAAGAATTTTGATCGGGTAATAACTCAATTTTTATTTCTGGCCATTCGGAGTTACATGTGAATGTAATAAAGAGATCTGGTCTTCCAAACTTCCTGACGTATGTCATGGCATCTTGACTTTTTTCATTCATGTATCTGGGGGATCCTGTAAATGACGACGGCAATATAACGTGCTGGCCAATATTAGAACCGTCTATATTGCCATCATTAACCACGGCATCTCTTAAATGAATGTACTCTTCTGCTCTCAATTTTTTTTGATTTCTTTTGATGAAGTCAAGCCTCTCAGAAATCATTTTTGCCGCCATATCAACACAATATTGGTTGAATAATCCTTTGAAATAATGTATGCTGTTAAAGTCATTTATTCTCACCATGAATCTAAATGCATAAAACTGCATACATGATACAGTTTTAGATCTAGCAGCAGTATTCTGTTGTGGAATATTTATACAGTATCCGTCATTTCCAAAGGGAAACAGTAAAGGATATTGAAGTGGGTCATAAGATCTATGAATTTCAGAAACTCGTTGAAGTCTACCATCTCTCGCATTCAACACAATATCTCGGGGACCTTTGTCTTCATCTATCAAAAGAACAGCTACTTCATCTACTATTGGCGCATTATACCGACCTCGATGCTCGTTAGGAGGTTTCACATCAGCATGAATAATAAGTTTAAAATCATTCGTTGGTCTATTTTCGAGATTGTATTTAAAACTTTGAATATACATATTATGATCGTTAAGATATGTTTGGAGAGCGTCGATAAGGTAGATTTGCAAGGTTGGATTTAAATTTGAGCGCAAGGATACCTGATCTGCATGAGAAACAAAATATATTTGCAAAAATTCGGGTTGTGCACCTTCAGCTGGAAGTAAATTACCGATCAAATGATAAACTTGCCCCTGGACTTTAAAAGTCGGCATGAAGTTTCCCTCACGAATTTCTTTGGCACCAAATGAAGTCATCTGAAAAAGTGTATTATATTGTCTTGAGTGATTTAAGAAATGCTTTGAAGATGGATGTGAGCCTGATATCAGTTCTTTAAAAACTGATGTTGGTGCCGGAATTTTAGGTATATTTACTTTGCCACCACTACAACATATTCCAGGAGCTTCAGCCGCCCATTTTATTGCTTGGCATAAGTTGCATATTTTATCCATTCTGCCAATATCAATATCATTTAGCTCAGCATAGTCAAAGGTACAATCATAAGCAAACGCAGAATTCAATAAACTATGTTGCCTGCGAGTTCTATTCCTTGCTGATCGTGCATTTTGCTGTGCTAATCGATGGGAACGTTCAGCCCTTGATTCCCGTTCGCGGTTTGCCAAAGTTCGAGAATTCTGTGAGGCCAAACGTTGAGAACGTTCAGCGCTTGATTCCCGTTGTCGGTTCGCCAAAGTTCGAGAATTCTGTGAGGCCAAACGTTGAGATCGTTCAGCGCTTGATTCCCGTTGTCGGTTCGCCAAAGTTCGAGAATTCTGTGAGGCCAAACGTTGAGAATGTACAGCGCTTGATTCCCGTTGTCGGTTCGCCAAAGTTCGAGAATTCTGTGAGGCCAAACGTTGAGATCGTTCAGCGCTTGATTCCCGTTGTCGGTTCGCCAAAGTTCGAGAATTCTGTGAGGCCAAACGTTGAGAATGTACAGCGCTTGATTCCCGTTGTCGGTTCGCCAAAGTTCGAGAATTCTGTGAGGCCAAACGTTGAGATCGTTCAGCGCTTGATTCCCGTTGTCGGTTCGCCAAAGTTCGAGAGTTCTGTGAGGCCAAACGTTGAGAACGTTCAGCACTTGATTCCCGTTGTCGGTTCGCCGAAGTTCGGAAATTTTGTGAGGCTAATCGCTGCGAACGTTCAACGCTCGATTGCCTAGTAAGGTTTTGTTCACTGATCACTCGTTGAGTAGCCAACCTATGCATATTTTCATCCGCTGTTTCATTGCTGCGCAAAAGTCGCAGCCGCTTTGCAGTAGCAGTCTGCCGAGAAAGCTGAGTTCTTTTTCCAGGCATTATAGTAACGAAAAAGATAAAAGAAAAAACGTAGGCAATTAAAACTTAACTAAACCGTATCTCGTAATCAAGAAAAACAAACATAAGGTGAATAAATATGTACTTAATAATTTATACCTGCTTCTGGTACGTAAATCGGATAAAATATATGTCAAAGGGATTACCGTAAAATGATGTCAGAAAACGCAAAAAAAAACTATTTAGATAGATGAATAATGTGCATTAATTATTTCGATTTCTAAACATAATAAGGTAAACTAACCGTATGCTTTAGTAAACAAAAACCTAACCTAATAAGAGTAATTATGTAGATGACACCTACTTATATGATCTACATCCAAAAAAAAAATGTTAATTATTGTAAAAATATTATAAACAAAATAGGTACTATCCCTAAAACAAACAATATATAGAAAACTACTACAAAATGAAAGTGAATTGAAAAAGTATTAGGTATTACACGATTAGATATAGCCGAAACAACAATAGAAAACTACTACAAAATGAAAGTGTATTACGAAAGTATTATTACACGATGATATATCGCAAAAACAAATTAAAAAATCAGTACGCTGATGTGTAATGGAAAAAATGAAATATTATAAAGGTAATTTAATTATTTCGATATTTAAACATAATAAGGTAAACCAACCGTATGCTTTAGTAAACAAAAACCTAACCTAATAAGAATAATTATGTAGATGAAACCTACTTATATTATCTACATCAAAACAAAAAAAGTGCTAATTATTGTAAAAATATTAGAAACAAAATACTATCCTTAAAACAAACAATACTATATAGAAAACTACTATAAAATGAAAGTGTATTGAAAAAGTATTAGGTATTACACGATTAGATATAGCCGAAACAACAATAGATAACTACTACAAAATAAAAGTGTATTACGAAACTATTATTACACGATGATATATCGCAAAAACAAATTGAAAAATCAGTACGCTAAATTCAACCGTTCCGTAGGGAGCCGACCACGCGTCTGAGCCGCGCGGCATGGTACCTCGTAGAACTACATGCGAGGGTGGTGGCGGCGGCGGCGGCGGGCGGCCACCAAGCACCGCCTCCCCCTCGCCCGCCGGCCAGCGCAACTTGTGTTGTGTGAATTTTGTTGAGGAGTTATTTTAAAATTGTATTATCTTCTAAGATGTTAATTGAAATTAAGTGATGTCAAGGACAATTTTGTTCACAATTAAATACTCTTAATCAACACCACATTTATTTGGATAAGGATTAATATTATGTTGATAAAACTCTTTGGCAAATAATAGGCAATAATGCATTAATTTCGACCAAATTTGATTACCATAAAAAAGGTTATAGTGAGTCAATCTTAAAAGATAGACATATACTGTCACGGACATTTTTTTAGATCATTCAAAGAGGAATAATTCTTTTATACATATTTTTGGGTAACTTGAACCGTTTACGCAGCGCACGCAACGGAAGCCTTCAAATGTGAATAATTTTCCCCGTTTTTGCAACATGTTTCACTGATGCTTCGCTCCTGTTAGTTGCAGCGTGATGTTATATAGCCTAAAGCCTTCCTCGATAAATGGACTATCCAACACAAAAAGAATTTTTCAATTCGAACCAGTAGTTCCTGAGATTATCGCGTTCAAACAAACAAACAAACAAACAAACAAACAAACAAACAAACTCTTCAGCTTTATAATATTAGTATAGATTAGACATTATTGATAAGTAATTAGGTAACTAATGATAAGGCCAGTGTTCAATGTTTGTGGTGCAATGCACCTTAAAGTTATGCATAACCAAGTATAATATAAAAGAATTATTAATTATAATTATTTCAATGTCTTTATTTTCAGTATCCTCCTGTCAGACCCTAGTTTTTTCGAAGAATCAGTATGCACGAGTAGCACAGAGGAAGGAATCAATTCAGGCGGTGGCGTTTTAGTCATTGGACTAAATCAGTACAAAGAACTTTGTCTGTTAGACCATAGTGGGGCAGCCATAAACAGTTCCAAACTTGTTCATAAAGCTATCACTAGTGCTGCCGATAAATGTAAAGAGATAGTAGACATGATAAAAAAATCTATTGTCAGTGATGACACCCTCAGGTGAGAAAATAATAATAATAATAATAATTTCACACATCTCACACACGGCATGGTAACCAGACTGCTGATAAACATACTAATATATTTCTAAATACGTACATATTATAGATAAATTCCACCCAGACGCAGAACAAATGATCGTGCTCATCACACAATTATTTGTTCTGGGTGGGAATCGAACCCACGACCTCCGGCTTAGCAGTCAGGGTCACTAACCACTAGACCAACAGGCCCGTCAATAAAGAAAAGAAAAAAAAAATTTAGTAAGTAAGTAGCTAAGTTTTTTGAAGTGAAAACTTTTTTAGGCGTGTTGGACAAAGAACAAACAAAAGAATGTATTTTTGGGAAAAAAAACATTAAACTCGCCACACTGTTATCGTTATGGACACCTCTGTATATAAGTATTTACATAATATATTGGCCCCGTTTACACGAGAGTTGAGTTTTGGGTTGAAATACATTGATAATATAACTATATATACTATAAACATATATTTTGTATATATGCACAACATATTATGTTTTTGTTATATTCATGTCGGAACTTTTTGATTCGAAATTTTCTGTTTTCATCAAAAAAATTTAAATTTTCAAGTTTTCCCTTCTGTCAGCACTCCCGGAGCTTTTTAAAGCATAAAGATCCAAACGAAAAAACGGATCACCTGATGGTAAGTAACTACCGCGGCCCATGTCACCCACATCTCAAGAGTCACAAGTGCGTTGCCGCCCTTTAAAGTCGCTCCCTCTAGACCAGGGATTTGATTTCTTTCTTAGGGTACACCTGGTTTCCCGGCAACTGGCACCCGAGACTGGTTTTTGGGCGGTTCGAGTCCGTCATGAACCACCGGTGGGCGGTATCCGAGGGCTGCGGTAACCTAACTCGCTCGATGGTAAGCAACGAAAGAATTACTTAACACTGGTTTTCTGTGAGGCTGTGGTGTCACTCCGGTTTAGCCGGCCCATTTATGCTGAAGCATGGCTCTCCCACGGCTAGCTTTTGCCCGCGTGTTTGTCACGTATTTTGCACGTATCACGGTCAAAAATAATGTTACTGGCTGATAATGTAGTTTTCCTAGTTTCTAGTAGTGAAAGCTTAACCAACAGAGCAAAAAGATTACAGTCAAGACTACAATTACTTATAATATAATTTGCAACGGTCCATAATATAATGGTATAGTAGGCCAAAACCTCCTTTCTAAGAAGAGGCCTATGTCCAGCAGTGGACTGTTAAAGGCTGTAGATGATGATGATGATAATATAATGGTATGTTAAAGTTAAAAGCATCTATATATATATATATATATATATATATATATCTATATCTCCTAAGTGTGTGTGTGTTTGCCTGCCAAGTCTGCTCAAAAAGGCGGCAAACGTAGTCCGCGCGCATTTCTACAGAAGGTACATGGCTTAACACAACGGGGTAGACTCCATAACGGGACACCGGTTGGCTTTAAACGCTTCGAGACCGATATATCACGCAACGGTTTATTATCGATTCATTAAATTGCAGTTTGCATTCTAAAATTTAGAATTTGCATTTTTCTTTATGAAAGAAGGGCTGTCTCAACTAAAATATTATCTGCAATTCGCAAAATATATTTGAGTAAATGCTATGGGCAAATGAGCATAGCAATAGACAAATATTTGTGTGATGAGCATGATCATCTAATATGTATGTATTTAGAAATATTTAAGCATGATAATCAGTCTGGTTACCATAGTACAGTCTTTGCCTAGTTTGGGATCAAACGGCCGTGTGTGAAATGTGTGAGGTTATTATTATTATTACATTGCAATTTTTTGGTTTACAGACAAAAAAGAGTAAAGATCAACTTTGCAGACATGATCACTCAACATCATTTGCTTGCATTAACTAGAAAGGACCTCAACATTAAATTAAAGAGTTATAATGTTGATGATAACAGAAGTGAAATAGATGGTATGGACACTGATCATGATTTATCAGATCCAGAACCCAGCAAATATGATGGTAAGATTAATTTCATAAAAATCCTTTTTTGTGATATTTGCTTCATATATGTATAATGTTGTTTTGTTGTTCTAGTTGTTGCCTCAGCACCACATACAGCAGAGATTCAAACTAAAAAGGAATCTTCCAAATGGATAGAAATTTCGTCAGATTCAGAGGAAGATGAAAAAGAATAATACACTGTTTTGTTAAAGAAAATGTAATAAATTTACATTTTACAATTTCCTGTTATTATAATCTCTCTTAACAGTATTACATTAGCAATTGCATTACCCTCATCTAATAAATCATTACATTTGATACTGAAAGGATTTAAGTATAATACAGAAAATATTACCTAACTACATGGAAATAAATAGATTAGTTCATCAGCTAGAGCGACAAGTGGTGTGGAATAATTAAAGAATACATTTTTATAACATTCACTCATTCATCATTATGTTAGGTTTTTATGTTATAATTTGGCATGAAGTAATATACTTCAATATTATTTTGCAACTGATTCTCAATCTATATTTCTATATAATGCAGATTGAAAATGATAGACAATAAAATGAAACCTAATTTTTAAATCACTTAATACTAATCTAGAACTACACACTTCATCTATAAATTATACAGTCACATTATAATCTACACAGAGTCAGAGTTCATTCCATTCTTCTGATCTAATTTATTACCATTTGTTTTCACCATGTAAATGAAATAAGTCATTATCTCCTTTTCATTCACAGGTATCGTCTTGAAGTGTTTCTGGATAGCCTGCAAATAACAAATTATAATTTTAATATAACAAATATAATTTTATTTCTAAATACAGTAACAGAGAAATTAAAACTTACATCGGCTAATTGAGCTTTGTTTAATCCAGGCCTTGTGGGCACTTTGTAATGTCTTTTATACCTCCTCAGTGTGTTTACTTGTAACTGAAACCAGTCTACTTCAGGCAGGTCATTTTCTGCTTCATTACTATCATCCTCAGAGTCCTTAGGCCTCCTTTGTTTTGTTCTAGCACACTGTATCATCGTTTTATGAAAATCACAAATATATGTATGCCTGGCCTGGAACAAATAGCACACATTAATTTGACAATTATAATAATTAGACTTGGATTAGTGTGGGTTAACATAATTTGAGTTTAGTTTAAACACAAAAAATAAAAGAAACATTTGACATACTTGAGGGTCAATGTTAAGTTTAAGCCTTCTTTGAGCGACGGTCTTTTGTATACGTTTGCTGTAAGAGGCGTTGCCTGCGGGTCGCCTGCAGCTATCACCGTCATCCACAAGGCAACATATTTGGTCAGAATTACCTCTGGAATCTTCTTCTCCTGTACTAAACCCGTTGTTCATTTGATACTCCCGTTGAATCATATATGACGTATAAAGTAAACTTGTCTATTACACTTCGCACCAGGCGATGGAAATCAGTTCGACGTATTCACAATGATACACGATTGAGGTTATAATTTACAACAACACAGGACATTAGTGCCAAATAAATCAATTAAACACATCACAATAAATACTTTGCCGGTTGTGTACTTCGCTACATATACTACGAAAACAGTAATACTTTATTCACAACACCTATGTAAGGAATTGTGCATTGCTAATTGGCAACTGATGGAATTGTTATATGCTAGTGTTTTACTGTTTCTAAATCGATAACTTTAAAAAACAACACAAAAATTCATTGACTTAAGCTAATTATGTCAATAGTGGTTATAGAAACCGCAACTACAGCGACTGAAAAAAAATGACTTGGATCCGCACCGACCGATGGCATCGCCATTACAATTTTATTATTACTGCTGGTTCGTTATTTCACTCACTCACTCGTTCACTGATCATTGGTTACCAAACACTTTTCAAATTAAAGCAATATTTGTATGGGCATAGCGTTCATTTTAGCTTAATATGTTTGAAGCTGGAGAATGAAAACAGTTCTATCGGTGATTGTGTGCATGAATACAACACCACAACGTACCTATGTATTGTAGTATAAACAAAAAATAAAGCTAAGACTAGTTTAGTGATTGGTTGAAGTATGGCGGGCTATTTAATTTACACCAATCCTCACATTTTGTCACTGACATAGCAGTTCGCGTGTTCATTACAACGAGCGCGAAGTGCCCTACGTAATAAGCGCTGAAATCGTGTGTTCATTTTTAATAAACATACTCGGTGAGTTTCTGATTTTTCATATAATAATCATTTTAATTTCGTAACAAATGAAACGGGTGAGTTACGTATATCATTTGTGTGAAGCCCAAGGTATTAATACTATGTTTAATGTGATATTTATAGTTTTACATTCTAATTTTGTAAGCAAATGGCTGCCGAATGCCGAAGTAAGGTGACAGATGCTGTATATTATAGTATATACTTACTTATATACATAGAATGTGATAGGTGAATAGTTGTGTGGTTATCAGTAGGTTTTCATAAAAGTATGTTATTATCAGCTTCATGTAGGACTACTCTTATTAGTATAATATGCACACTATATAATTATTGTAACTATTAAAATAACTTACTTCGCTAGTTTTCTAATGTGTTGATATTGCATTTATTGCCTGAGTAACTTACATAATTTATCTAAGCATGAAATGCGATTATGTGGTAAGTGTAAAGTTACGATTAATAAGTCTGTTAACGGAATACACAAAATCTACACTTTTAAAGTACTTACCTATATAAATATACAGACTAATTTTAAAACAAAACAGCTAACAAGTTCAAGTTTTTCTTCCCTCACAGGTTTTTAGGATTTTGAATTAAACTGTAAAGTTCAGGTATGTAAAGATCTTTGTGTATAGGTTCATTTCAATTACTGAGACCTAATATAAATAAAATAAAGTTTGCATTAACATTCGCTCATAGACCAAATTATTAATAATTAATAGGTTTAGATATTTATTAGGTACTTTATTATTTGACGGCAATTGAATACGAAATAAATACATGACTCATGAGTATTGTGGTAGCTCTAAAAGTTAGATTACTTATATTCATTTTTTTGTATTTTAAACTATAATGTAAAATAAAAACCGTTAGTTCCATTCTAACCGAAAAAATATATTACCTTTACAAAACCTTACCTACTCAATGAATTGTCAATACCCTAAATAATACCTATTGAAATCATTTCATACATTTTTGTACATCCTTTGTGGTTTTTTTTAAAGAAAACAAGTTCGATTAGGTATAATCACTAAATTCTGTTTTGCAATTAGTATGTAAATTTTGACAATGTTTGTATTTCAGCAGGTTGAGGTGCAACAACTTTGCCTTTTGGACAACTCTCCTACTACACACACATAACTAAGTTTGAACACCAAAACAATGACTTATCCTGTTAATTTTAAAACAGTTTATACACCTGGCGTTTTTAAAGCAATTTTAAAGCAGTTTATACTCATGGTGTATCTTTCTTTTTAATATTGTTTTTTTTTCGATCTATAATTAGTCCCTAGGGAATGACCAGAGAGCTGGCTGCCATATAAAATTTCATAATGGTACTGACAACCGCAATCAATTTACGCTCCAACCTCTTAATTTACCCTCCCAGGAGAGTAAATACTCTCCTGGAAGGGTAAATTAACTAACTTATTAAATTAAATTAAGGGTAAATTGATTACACGTAGGTTACTCCGACGTTCTTGGAGTGTATGGGCCAAACTAAAACTGGCGTAACGTAAATCTTAATTATTTTGAAAATTATAATTTAAACTATTTTTAAGGTTTGATTATATTTTAGTAAAACCTATTTCGATACATACAAACTAAATTATTTCTAGTCAGAATAAAAATAGCCTATAGGTTACATAATTAATAAAATTGCAATTGTTAGGTACCCACCGCTACTTGGAGCTTTTCTGGATCGTTGATGAACGGATATATAGCTCTGACTTCCTTAATAACTCTGCACACTTAGTCAAATAGTAATTTTCTGTAAACTGGATGTCCCTTGGATTCCGAATTTTTTACTTTGAGCAAAAATTCTGATGACTCGTATCTTCTAGAATTTTTTTAATTCAACCAAAGTACAGTACAAATCAAATACACTAGGTACTTTTGTTTTTTTATGCACAAACTTTCTTTTGAACCTATATTCATGGTCACTTGTTATTCACACATAATGGAGTCAGTTTAAAATTTGAAACCAAAACATCAATGTGGGTTTGACTATATTATTATTTTCTGTGTAGGTAGTCTGCAAGTACGAGTACCTATCAAAACGAAAATGGAACAAACATGCCACGTTTTGTACTGGCAACTCCACTTTTTCATGGTTTTAGCACTGCTCGATCCAAGAAATCAGCTCACGGTCTCCAAGACAAAACACTATATGATTTATTATGATGGATGCGCCCGGCAGGGTAAGACTCGTAAATGCTAGTTAGGTGAAATTAAATATAGTAAGAACCATCTTAACTTTAGTTCAGATCTGTATTTGTTGGGAGACCGTGTAACAGTTATCAATATAGTTTGACAATCATGCCCAAATGTCAAAAAATAATATTTACCCATTCCTGACAGAGAAGAAAGGTAGGAGTTAAAATATGTATACCTTAATGTGTTTCGTGGGTAAAGGGAGGTTACATTTCAAACATTTCGAAAACCGGTTAGACGTATCAATGTGTCTTATTCTTGCAATTGCGTACCCCAGTTTGAGAAATTATTAGATAGCCCGTCTATACACCAAATAATTCTGAAATAACTTTCGGGAGAATAGTTTGTTTATTGCCGCATCATAAGTGATAAGTGTTAAGACAATAAGTATGCCGACTACTAACTACTATCTAAGTATGCCGAACAGAATTATATCAGTAAGGTTTTTTTTTATTACTCTGTAAAGCTTTATAAATTCCTGTCAATATGACGTGTGTGTTTCCTATCTCACATCGTTTCTAGATACAGTTATATATGAAAGAAGTGTAATAGAACCTAAATTAGTAGATTAAGTTGAATTATTTTCTCAGCCTATATAAATTAACAATTTCCTTCCATTACACGAATTATCATCAAGATAAGTTAGTTATAACCAGTTTCTTAGCAGGATAATGCTCTTGGTGTAAATCAACGTGATCTAATTACACATATATATATAAAATATCTATGTTTTAGATAAGCGTAGTATTTTATTTGTTAATTTAACATTATTTTCTCATCGGGGTGGAGGCCCTAGACAATTTTAAATCAAAAAATCTAATAAATAAAAAGACAGTACAAATGCTTATAGGTGTTTTTTTAATAATTGTAGTGTTTATAGACAATGTCAGGGATAGATTCTGATGTAATAATTATCCATCATATAAAAGTAATTTCATCCAAAATAAAAAAGTAATTTCATTCATTTGGATGAGAGAATATTGATTCATTGCTGAAATAGGTACCTATCTTATTCAAATATTCTTATGAGAATGTCTAAAAATTGTAATAAAGGTAAGTAAACGTTTATATAAAATAATAAACAAAAGAATTTTAGTATGAACATGGATACTCGAGGTTGCGCTAATAGTCTTATTGACCGGTTGCTGGACGAGCTTGTTGCCAGTTCGTGCACTCTCGTCTCTTTCCGTATATGTTTGAACGTTTCTAAAATGGCCGCTGCGCGTTGAGGGCGCTCGTGTGCACTTGTTTGGCGTCTGCCTCTGCGACGTTGCCAACTTTATTGACTTAAGTACAAACGAAGACAAAACGTACGCGTGTGGAGTGGAACTTACAGCCGGTAGCTTTTTCACTAAACAACACGCGAGTCCTTGTGTTTTCGATTTTCATGGAATAAGTTTCATTATAGGACAATGTGGCATTCATAATTACATGAAGTCTTTGTGATAAAAACCGATTTGTGTGAAAAGTGACAGTGTTTTAGTAAAATTATACTTCCTTGAATACCTACGTAAAGCTTGCCGTAAGTGTTAGCAATATTAGAGAAAGGACATGATTTCAACAGCTACAAGAACTCAGGAGATGTTCTAAAGTGATTAAAGGGACATAAAAAAGTGATTGACCGTAAGCGAAGATTGTAAGATGGGGGATCGGGGTGCGACGGGGGACGCTTGGGGTGCGCGCGACGATGCCTCGTGGTGGCCGGGTGGCGCAGGTGAACTACAGCATCAACAACAATTACATGAGGAGGTTGCTAGGAGTACCGCAGCTTCAACGCATCAACTTTATACTTATAAAATGACCGGTGGATTTTCAAACAACGGCGGCGATACTTCTACTCCGAGCTATGATTATCGTATAATGTCAAACGTCAATGCTAGGGAGGAATCTCCACAGCAACCGTGGTGGTATGCATCAGGAACAGTTGAATCTCAACAGACATCTTCGCCTACGGTACGGAAACTATCAGATATAATATAACGAAAAAAAAAACATAAGCTTTACTAACAACACCGACCTTTTGTAGAAATATAGTAACGACTTTGTTTTACTTAAGTCAAGAACGTATTTAGTACCTGAACACATATTTTTTTTCGTTTAACTTTTTGACTAAGTATAAATAATTGAAACGATGATTCGTTTTAGGAATTTGAGCTTGAAGGTTTAAAATTATGTAGTTATTACTTTAACCTAACCTACGTCTTCTAATGGAAGCACCCATATTTTATGGTTGATGAATGGAGAATACAATTCTTTTGGTATTTTATAATACTTTATTCTAATGAAATCAGGAGTCGAAAAAGTACCTACCGCGAGAGGGTCCGTCCGTATCTGCTTATGTGGTACCGTCTAGATTAAAATCAGTATACATTTTTAAGAACAGAGTGCATTTTCTATGAAATGAAAACAATTTTATTCACTTATGAGGAATTTTCTTTATTAATTCTAAGACCTTTGTTGAATCAACTAATCTTTAAAAACACACCCCTTTTTTTTAAATTAACTAAAATTATACACTTACCTAGGTACATTAACGTTTGTCGCCACATGCTTTTAATATTCTTAAAGTTGCAATATTTTACTTATGTCGGTTAAGTCTACATAATAATTAGCTCTAATTAGTAATGAAATGTTCATTTTAATATTGAAGTATAAAAGCTATTGTTTAATAAAATATTTGAATATTAGCGACATAAAAAATATATTACAACTAAAATATCAATCAATACTTCTACCGAACTCTTAATTATACTGCTAGTTCAAGTCATTCATTCATTTTCATCTAAATCTCATTCGTTTTATGAAGCACCGCCCTATGGGTGCTGCTATGCTAACACATAATAAGTAATAATAATAAAAAGTACCACAACTAAAAAACGATTTATCGGATTGTAGTGGGATGCATAAAACATTATGTCATAAATATCTTATTTTGTCATTGATCCTGATTTAGAATAGATCGACTTAATTTTTGTGTTAATTGCGACAGCATTATATTTGATGCTGACATTATTGAAAGTTAAGTAGGTGCGAACGTGTAGTCCCTACGTAAAAATTTGGTATTCTTAACATTAAGATTTTTCAGTTATCGCTAAATTTTTGTTTACGATTAAAGATTACAATATAGTGAACAAAGTGTTTCTCGCTCAAAGCTGAAGAGTAAATAGTAAAAGTGTTACCAAGTTTTAGTGCTGTGCCAGAGGGCCAATTCTTGTAATAAAAGTTTAGTCACAATTCAGTTCCAATCAACGATCTCACAACTGTTATAAAAGGTAGTTTCGTAGTAAAGTATTAAGTATTCATCAGATTACCGATTCAATTTTCGGTTACAATACGATACAATCACATTACAGTCAGCGTTCGACGTAATACTTTACTACGAAAATATCTTTTATGACAGTTGTGAGATCGAAAGTTGATCGGAACTGAATTGAGACCGAACTTTTATTACAAGAATTGTCCTTCTGATCTTTGCAAATTCTATCCGCGGGTATTGATACGGAAAAGAATTATTAACGCCTAGATTTGCGAATGTGGTTACGGACCTCCAGTTTTTTTTCGTTACTTCCAATTACACGTGACCTTCAAATGACGATTGGCGTTGGAGGACTAAATAACTTATAAAGTTTCAATTTGCATTGCCCATGTTTTTAATAATTGCGTTAAAACAACTTTTCAAAAGCCTTTGGGGTTGGATCTTCGTAAAAGATAGTCGAACAGTACCCCTCTCTGTTGATACTTAATGTTAGTAACTCAACACTACATACATTACATGATTAAATATTTACTTTAAGTAAAATAAATCAAGTGACTGAACTGGATTCATATCGTCACTTCTTGGCAGATGTGGACACTGACGATTTTTTTTTCAACCTCGGATATCTGCGGATACCGATTACTGATATTTAGCATAACACTACTAAGTTCTACCAGGTGATCTACCGTATAGCCTTATTCGTTATCTGCCTAACTAATTGCCTGTAATGAGTCTGTGTAAGTAAAACTAACGTAAAGAATATAGAAACACTTCATTGGACATTATAAAAAACCTTAAGCAGTGTTTGAATGACGAGAATCCTCTGCCATCACACATGGATTGAAAATCGTGCTAATTCCGTTGTTTGAAAACTCTCTAAACTAAACTAAAAATCATTAAAAAATTGTTTAGTCCTGTTAAACAACGTTTCTTATTCTGAAAACGTAGTACTTGACGGGACTAAACAATTTTTTTGGTAATTTCGAACTACAAAATTAGCACCATTGTCGCGTATAGTATACCGCTTGTTAAAGTAGGAGAACCATGCTTCGGCCATGACTCGACGGCGTCACAGAAAGCCGGTGTTAAGCATTTCTTTGGTTGCTTTTCACCGATTGAGTGGGGTCTCGAGCCCAAACCCTCCCCTCCCCCCTGATGCTGCACAACTAAAATTACACTGCCGTCTGGCAAATACTAAAGCGTAGGTTTTATTATTATGTATGTATCATTAAAAGTTTAACATGTTTTTATATGACGTCTTAATTACAGTTGCGTTTTGTTTTTAGTTTGATTTAGAAAGGTAATTTAAAACATAATTAACTCCTTTGAAATTCTTAATGGGTCTTACTCTATTTTACAACAAAAAAGTATATTCATGAGACAAAGAAATTACAAAACAAAAATGGTATGGAGCGTCAGTGTGTTTGTTGTACTATAAATATCTAAAGTTTTATTATATGTAGAGATGGACTAGTTACTGCATGTACTTATGTTGTATTTTTTTATGATTTATGCATAATCACATGGTAGTCTAAAGTTCGGTTTATTTCTGGACTGTATTTTTAATAATGTAAAAAAGAAGTAACTAATCTTCTGACGTAATCGATCAATTGATGTCTTCTTTGTACTGTCAATGATGGTGATGATGAGTTGAGTTGAATTCAGATTTGTAAAAAGTATCTGAAAAGATTTACTTACAGAAATAAATCTCATTTATCGTTTATGAGCCAGTTTAGAATAATTTTAAATGTACAAAATTTTGCGTTCAAGTGTAAACAGAGTGAAATGCAATATAAGGACAGGTGATAACGATATTAAAACCAAGGCTTTCAACAATTATATGTCTTGACATATAATTGTTGTTGATTTTTATTTTACAACAAAACTCCTGAGTTTTGTTGTAAAATAAAGATCAATTGAGGATTAAATTTGACTACTTAAATGACTTTGGACATCATAAATCAAGATATTTTTACATTAATTGTTTAAAGTCACACTAGTAATGTAGACAGGACCATTAAACACACAAACGACCATATTTTGTTTTCATTTGTAAAGTACGATAATCGGAAAATGTGTACACCGCTTCTTGCATTTATCCAATAATATTGGTATAGCCAACAACAACACGCTTTAGTTAGAACACCATGAATCTAGAAAAGCTCTGGCTTTGTTGTTTGTAGATACCTAATGTGCGGCAAACTATTGGTGAAATAGGAAAAGTAGATATATATAGATATATAAATCCTTCCCAAAGACGATCTCTATCTGTAGGATCTGACTTCTAGGAGCTCTGATTGTAGGTCATGACTGTCGTCATTAGATAATTCAATACAAGACTGTGTGCGGCGCACTATAAAAACGGTAGTACAACGGCATATCAAATCGTTTTAATAGTAGTATCGTAAAATATCGTTATTGACGCACTTTTAAAAGTTTAATGAATAATATAAGAATGGAACTTTCATATAATCTAGTGATTTGGTATGAATTACATTTGGAATATATTTTGTTAATACCACTAATTGTAATTCTTAAGAATGTCTATTTCAGGTTTGTACGCTTCAATACTTTAAAACTGATTAATTTAAAAAGTTGTGGGAATAGGTAGTGTTATACATTTCTAAAAAGCTTATTGTATGTAGATTTTAAAGCAATTATAATATTGTAGGGGTTATTATATTTATTATATTTTTATGAACAAAAAAATAACAAGAAGTAAGGGGAAAAAGGACAATTTAACTTCATTGAGGCTTTTGACAGTTAACCATTCCCGAAACTTTACATTTGATGTTGTTTTGTAGCGTAGATATTCATAAATACCAGTCATAAAATTCAGCTTCGGATACGTGCGGTTTCCGAAGTTATCACGAATAGTATGATACAAGTCAGGGAACAGAAAACCACTATCTATTGTGATTTCTTTTTAATTGATTAGTTTGCGGTATATTTTTATTCAATATTAGTTGTTTATTGATAACCGGGTGTTTTATCTAGATTTTGTACTCAGTTTGCGGGCAACTTTAATAAACAAAATGCACACCACCCTCATTTAACAAATAATATATATAGAGTGGCTTGCTTTAATGTCGCTATTACAAATTTGTAATAAACTAAATAGACGTTTGACTGTTTCGTATCTTCGCTGAATTTCAAAATGTCTACTACTTTCAAGTGTTCTAAACGTGAATGATTACTTTCATACATTGAAGGAGGAAAAAACTTGAAGCTCTATCAACGATTTTAAAAGCAAACTATAATGTTTCTGAAGACGACACGTGTTTCACTATCAGTGATATTCAAAGAAATCTTATTCCTCGCTTTAATAGACGATGGGCCTTATGCCCAGAGTCGAGGAAAAAGGATACGTTTTTAAAAAAGTACAACGATTGGATTTAGAATATTTGGTAACTTTACCGAACTCAGAAGTAACACCTGATATTACGCGATCTCCTTCTTCGGGAAAACGCTTAAGAACTTCTCTTATGGGGACTTGTCAGAATCAACAAAAAAAAAAAACGACGGGTTGCACTCCGGGATTGCCGGCAGAAGTGATAATTACACATCGGCTAACCAGAACTTTTCTATTTATAAAAAAAATACAGTATTTAAAATAAGCCGCTGTCGTTTTTGAGTAACGAAAAATTAATATTAAAACTTTTAATTTTCATCTTACCAATATTATAGTTTACCATGCGCAAAAACGGCTAAACGAATCTGGATACAATAGATTATAGTCTGGAAGAACATACAGGCTACTTTTATCCCACAAAATGTGTTCTCGTGGGATGAGCAAGGTATAACCACATCCGCGGGGCGCAGCTATTAAAAACTTAAAAAAACGAGCTGCAATGATAGCGTTTAAATTACGTTTTTTTGACTGTGGTTATTATTATTGTGTTATACAAATTTTTAAGGTACCGTACCTTATTTAAAGAATCCTTTAAAAATTACATGTTTTACCCTATTTTGAATAGATTTTTGATTAGATAAAGACTGACATTATATAATATTACTATAGTACTACGAGTATTAGATTTAGCTTCTATAAACAGATTGATTAGCTATCTGTTTCGGAAACTACAAATAAAAAAAAATCGAAGAATCAGGTTTCATATTGTATTCAACAAATTACAACTATTGTTCGTTATTGGTCGTAAGTTAATTGCAAACATTCGTCATTAGAACAGACTAGCATTTCAAGGTCTTGGGCCACTTGGTCAAGATTGGATAAAATCATCCTAATTACAAGAAGCTAGACGCAAAACAAATAACTGCTTTTATCTTATTCCTACTCTCAACGTCGACTATCCTACAAACAACTTTATAAATTTTTGAGTAAATATTTTCGTTTGTTGGTTTTATTTTAATCATGTTCAAAATTGCCTAGTAGATTCTAGTGACTTATGATTATTCTTTGCCATTATATTGAAATGCAAAAAAGATTTTAGAATTTTAAAGAACAGTAGTTCAACATTTCTATTATCAATTATTTTAAAAAAGCTTCAATTTTTCTGTCTCTAATATGAAACAGCAACTTTTAAGGTAAACTTGAGATTGGAGAATTATTTATTATAGCGGATATAGCTTTATTTTCAAATTCAAATTTATAGTCCGAATAAACACGGAAAACGTAACAATATGCAAATAAACTTAGTACTTTTCTTTTATGAGGTTACATATATGTATATGGAGAATAATAAATAACATTTTATTGAGGTCAATGTTTAGGGACATGAAACTGCCAAGCTAATGTCATGCGTATTAGGAAACTTCATCAAAATGTTCAAAGTATTTGTTAAAATAGGTATGTGTTTTGAATAATATTTTACTTGTAATAACTGGATACACTTCTAAAAAGGAATATAAAAACGCCTTTCTCACCAACATCATACCTGATTAGCAGAGGTCGGAGTAGGTAGATTGATTTTATTAATACTAAACTCTGTTAAAAAAAGAACTCCGGAGAACCCTTTTTTAATAACAGGTGAACTATGATCTTGCAATTTTAAAATGGCAACCTTTCACAAAAAAGGCTTCTAGACGGAGCTCATTAATTAATGATACTGCACCATTTTACCACATTTGCACTTAACAGATATGAACGAAAATGTGTACTTAGCCATGTTATTATAAGACAGTCAATAATAAAGAATGATGTCGTTTCTAAAAGAAGTGCCTAAGTTTCATTTGTTTTTTTTTGCCCAATTTGGATTTTCACTCGTATGTTTTTGATTAGTACATAAAATTTTACTCCTGTTGTGATATTATTAAGTTATGGCTTCTTTAACGCTTAACCAGAACCGTTTTACAACGGGAAGTTCTTGAAAGAGTTTTAGGGAACACCGTGTTTAAACAGTTGGCAACAATGAGTTTCATTCAAATGTTATGACGTCTATTTGTGCACTCTTTGATGTTATGAATAAATGATTTTAACTATAAAACCATCGTATACTAAAAGATACTTTTATAATATTGGAAATCATAAGGTTTCGGAGAACAGTATTCATGTTATTTTGAGAATTTTTAAACAGGTGTGAGGTTTTATTCTCTATCTTAACATAAATCAATATACGTATTTAAATAATAAAACATGCTTTAATTATAAACCAACTATCCATGTTTTGATAAAATGCTGATGTTCACAAATCAATTTTTTTTTATTGTTGCAGCCTCAAAGTCAGTCAAGTCCGAATTCCGAACAAAATACCCAGCAAGCTAATGGTATACAGCAGAACCAAAACCACCAAAACTTGCAACAGGTGCAACAAGAGCAAAATCAAGCAATTCAGCAACAGCAAGTTCAGAATTTGCAACAACTACAACAACAGAATCTGCAACAGGCTATTCAACAGCATAACAGAACATTGCAGCATACTTTACAGCAGCAGCAACAGAATCAACAAGAGACTTTACAGCATATGTTACAACAGCATCAGCAACAACAGCAGCAACAACACCAACAGCAATTACAACAGCAACAACAGCAGCAGCAGCAACAACAACAACAACAGCAGCAGCAGCAGCAACAACAACAACAACAACAGCAGCAGCAGCAACAAGCTTTACAGCACAGTTTACAACAAACCTTACAAGTGAGCCCAGCACAAGCACAAGCTATTGTACAAGCTCAGGCAGCTTTACAGCAGCAAGTTGCTCAATCTCTGCAACAGCAACAACAGACTCTGCATGAACAACTACAAGCTGTTCAGCAGCAACAGATTCAAGCTGCCTTACAAAGGCAATCTGCCACCTTGCAGGTAATTTTATTATTTTTGTGTGAGATTTTAGGAAGGATTTTAGGTCCCTGGCACTGGGGAGTGTGGTTTAACAGACATCTGAAATTTCGCATTAAGCAGAGCAACTGGCGGCGGTCAATGCCGAACACCGGCAACAGAAGTCCAAACGATAAAGGGAATCCTTATAGGATCTTTGTGTCTGTGTATCATTTCCAATAACATGGAGCAACAATACTAGTTAAATATTCAATGAGGGCAACTTTTAATATCCAAAATTGTTAGGATAACAAAATATATAGTGCAAACTGGAGCGTGTAACATATCAAATGAAAAGGTTTGTTTTGAGGTTCTAAAAATAGATTTTAAAATACATTTAATTCTTCATTAACATTTTTATTGTTTGAAAAAGTGCCTGTATTCCTAAATAAACACCCACATCTTAGCAAATATATATTTTTAATCACTCAATAGGGGGCTAGCATATAGTCTTTAATTGGGCACTTTCAACAGGTTCTAACGGTGGAGCTATTGCAAGAGTAGTGCATTAAAGAGAAGAGTAGGTAGAAACGAATAAGCTTGAGTATAGTTTACTTGCCTATAGTTTAGGTAAACAAATCATATTTATATTCAGTATGTAACGTCTAATACGCCACTGATAAGGAAATTCAATGTCTCTACCCTGCAGAGGATATGCCGAGACAGGTTTGGGGCATTAACCCCCCTACCTGCGTTGTCTACCGCTGCCTAACGCTCCGGTGTTAAGATATCTTTAACTTCTTATGTTTACCCCCCAATAAACTTTACTCATTTTGTTTCGGAAGTTTCCATTTTTAAATGCCCATTAAAAACAAAATTTTGCACTTCAAAACACATTTAATTTATAATACTTTCATTTACTTACGAACGTATATATGACTTCAACTTCAACTTTTGGTTAATGGCTTTGTGGTAGAGTGTAACCACAATTTCGCTATATATAACGAACGAACATTAGATTAGATTGACATCTAATCCTTAATCTAATTTTTTAACTAACTTAAGGTGAGCCTCATTTATTTAAGTTCATAAATAAATGAGAGAATACATCACCCTTCTAAAAAAAAAGGTAATTTATTGTGTTTTTTGGTTTTGTCAAACAATATTTTATTATTTAAATACATTTACTAAAAAATAAATTTATGTAAATAAATTTATGTATTTATCCTTAACTACAGGAATTGCAACAGCAAGCGCAACAGCAGGCCTTAATAGCACACGCGACAACTAACAAGACAAAAATGCCAAGAGCACGGGCATACAATAAACCCAGGGGTCGGATGACAGCCTACGCATTCTTCGTACAGACCTGCCGAGAGGAGCACAAGAAGAAGCACCCTGACGAAAATGTAGTCTTTGCTGCATTCTCCAAGAAATGTGCCGAGCGGTGGAACGTAAGTGCTTATCTATCTCACCTTAGTAAAGTATTAAAACAATTATTCTCATTTAACCTATTCATAGCTATCATAACGTAGTTTAGCTCGAATTAGTAATAACTGAAAGGAGCTATGCCTCCTGGAATTCCGCCGTTATGCTTGCGAAGGAGATGGCGGGCCGAAAGGGGTTAGGACTCTCCCGGCCCGCCAGGTCCAGGCCACCCAAGAATAAATTATATGAATTCAAAACGTTAAACGGGCAAGCATTATAAAATTTGTTTGCGAAGTTTCAGCAGAATTTAGCAAATCAAAGATATATTACAGACGCACGCAGGTCCCTGAACGTATTATGGTAGTTAGGTGATTGTGAGTAAAGTACTAAAATTTTGCTAAAAATGTATTATTATTATGTGCAAATAATTTCACGAATGCGGTAATTGAAACGGGAAATGGGATACCGCTGAAATTGTGTAACGCAAAATGCGAGATTGCGCACCAATTTAAATTGATTCTGAATTATTTCATGACTGTGTTTTTACAGGATTATTATCTAGATGTGTTTGAACACGCAGTATGTTCCGGTGTATTTTTCTGACATATTTACTCCAGTGGCGGATTAGTCACGTAGCAAGGGTAGCAAATGCTGCGGGCCCCGCGCATTTAGGGGCCCCGCACACCAACGCTTTCTGACCGTGTATCAAGCTACTTATTTCGATCGAATTGTGAAAATATTTTTTCAAATCAATACAGTCACAATTCTTATCACGAAAGAGTTGCACCTAAATGTTCAAATATAGTTTAAACTTTTAGTACATTTCTAAAAGTGAGCGTTTGTTGCACCAGAAATTATTTGCACTGATTATCCAAGCCGGGCAAATTGCCAGCGTGTGTTGAATCGAGTTCTCACTGTAATCACAGTAATGACACGCGGGACTCAATTCCCTCCTAGTGACCGAGTGCAAAATCAGCCGTGCCCGGAAAAGACCTGGGTCAGTCGGAAGGAAAGGGTCCCGTGATGCCGCCCTGCCCACTCGACGATGACCGGTTGAAGCGGTGGTAAAGCCAGCATGTGGAGCTTTCAGCCAGGACGACCAACGAGCCATCGTGCCTTGGTGAGCGGTCGGTCAACCCCCCTGTACAGCAGTCTTGTCGCGGCGCTGGGTCCACCCAAATTGGCCAAAAGTAGTCCAAGGGCAGACGCAGTGCCGACCAACTGCCCATGCCCATTTAATAAGAGGGCCTCCGTCTTATCGAGGGCCACCCGTAACCCCAGCGCCTCAATGCGCCTGACCACCAAAGAGACAACCCTGGTGGCCAGGCGCGCCCCCTCTTGAAAATTTACCCCATGGGCTGTAATCAAAGTGTCGTCGGCGTAACAGGTTACGCCCAACCCGGTGGGAAGTCCCTCGAAGGGCCCAGTCGTACCCTATGTTCCACAGGAGGGGCCCAAGACCAGAGCCCTGTTGAACACCGCACGACATGGGCCGACGTCTTAAACTTCAAACGAACCCCTTAACTTGAAACAAATCGCAAATCTCTTTTGCCATGGATTAACTTGTATAATAAATTGTGATGATGTTGTTAGTTCACAATTAGTGATGGAGCCCTAATTTACAGCCACATCTTGCTAACGTGCCACTTGCCGTCACTCATCAGCATGGTATCAGTATCATAAATTCTAAATTCTTGCTTGATCGAACTTAGATTTATCTAAGCATTGATAACTTGTAGGATAATATTGGAGGGTTATATTTGATTTCATGTGATTAATTATTGATCAATACCTAATCACATTTAATCAATACCTCGCTCGGAACCTGTATACAACGCCCGAGCTTTTTTTTAATTAAAGTAGGAAAACCGGTTTTTCATCGGCTGTCAAATGTTTACTGCCCCTCTATAATATCTATTTCGAAATAAGTTTAACCTTAACGTAAATGGCATAAAGCTGTAAATAACTTTTTAAACAGCCATAATCCAGCAGCGGGACTGTTTTCTAGTAAATGGTGATATAGTTAAACTTTTCAACGGTTGAACATTTATGAGATTTGAAGAAGGGAGAATCACTTCGATATAAATGAACCTGCTCGGTTTAATTGTGATGCCACGGCCTCACAGAAAACCGGTGTAAAGGAATTCTTTATTTTTTTACCAATTTGGTAAGGCTACTATTTACCCTATTAAGGGGGAATTGCACTCAAAGGCCAACATGCACTTGTTACTCTTGAGTTGGTGTCAGGTGTCCAGGTGCGGCTGTAGGCACAGATGACCTGTCTGCACGATTGCCCCCAGGCGACAAAAAAAAAACAAAGACTGGTATTACGGTTTTATGGGATAGCTGTTAAGCTTCTATGAAATCTATAACATGTTTTCACTCAAATGAGTTTGAGTCAGCACAGTTTTGGTATACTGAAAAAACTAAATAATTAAATATAATCCAAACAAAAGAATCATAATTATAAAACTTAACTAGCTAACTGTCGGTTATCGCGATAAAAAGTAGCCTATGTTACTCGCTGAAATAGTAGCTTTCCATGGCTAAAAAGAATTAAAAAAATCAAAGGTTTAGTGGTTTAGGAGTGAAAACGTAACAGAGAAACAAAAAAATCCCTCACATTTATAAGTATGGATACTGAAAATTTGGTTGTTTGCGTCTTAACTGACATGACTACTAAGACTTCGTGATTTAAATTGCTCTCTGCTTCTAAGAGATGGGTCACATTTGTTCATGTAAAATATTTTTATTTCATGTAGATATTTTTAGACCTAAGAGTAGTTAGAGTTTTTGTTTTTTAAATAAAAATGCTAAATTCGCTTATTCACTACTAAAGATTGATGTTTTATTAGAAACTATCTGGTACCCGCGACTTCGTTCGCGTGGAATTTGAAAAGCGCTGCCCTAGTAGGTTCGATTCCCGGAGCGGGCAAAATTTTATAGGATTTTCTAAATAGGAAAAATAGCCTAAGTTACTCCTTACATGGGCAGCTACCTGGTAGTAAAATATAAATAAAATCGGTCCAGCCGTTTAGAAGATTACCCCCCCGGCAGAAATAGACAGACAGACAAAAAAAAACTGGTTTTTAGGCATAGGTATCGTGCAAATAACCGTGTGAGCATTAAAAAAACCTATTATTTTGACATTACAAACAGACACATCAATTTTATTGATTTGTATATATGTAAAGAGATACTGAATAAGAATGTACTTACAGACTATGTCAGAAAAGGAGAAACAGCGGTTCCACGAGATGGCAGAGCAGGACAAGAGGCGTTTTGATCTCGAAATGCAGAACTACGTGCCGCCCAAGGATGTCAAAGTTCGCGGACGAAAGCGACAACAGATGAAGGACCCCAACGCGCCCAAGCGATCGCTGTGAGTTTATGGTCATGAATTTCAGTTTTACATTAAAATATTGCTATTTAAATTAACATTTCCAACTTTCCTTACTTTTACAACTCACACTTTTCACTCACAATTTCATCACATTTAAAGATTAGATTTTGTAACAAAAAGTTTTCGGTGACCAAATCTGAAGGACTAATTATCATCAACAGCCCATAATAGTCTACTGCTGAACATAAGCCTTTCCTTAGAACCGAGGTTTTGGCCTAGTATACCCGCTGTGACCAAACGTTGCTGTTAAATAACACAATAGTTCCTTGATTTTACGTCTACTTAACATTTTATTGCTTAGTTTTCACAGTCGCTAATCATAGAATGAGATTTTTAACGTAAGTTGGGACTTAGTAAAATTATGTATTATAAAAACAATCCCGAAAACAATACAACAGCCAATGTGCTATTAACCCTTTACCCGTCTATCGGCATCTCCAATGCTAAATAGCTTAGCATTGGAGATGCCGATAGACTTAATAGATAGAATTAATAGTAATTCACATTAAATACCTACATACATACCTATATAGGAATTCCCAGATTGTATCGATAACCAATCAGTTATTGATGGTGATCCTCTATTTTTACAATTAAATATCATTGATAAACTAGAATAGACTTTATATTTAGTAACCTAATAAACAAACTTTTAATGATATCCTGTAAATGTTTTCAAGTTACAAATTATTAATTTAAAGTAAGTAACACAAGATTCTGAATATGAGCTGGATAAAATTTTCATCTTGCAAAACCATGAACAAAAGATAGTTTTTGCTTAGATTTTAGTTTTCTATATTAGTATTAGTATTAAATGTTGAAGTCAACTTCCTCTCACAGTTTCTCCCTCGCATCTTGCGTGAATATTACAGTTAGGACACCCAAAGCAAACTATTATGAAGACTTATAATCTGAGGTATTCGATTGCAGATCGGCGTTTTTCTGGTTCTGCAATGATGAGCGTTCAAAAGTGAAGGCTAACAACCCTGAGTACACGATGGGCGACATCGCCAAGGAACTGGGCAGGCGCTGGGCCGCTGCCGCCCCTGAAACTAAGTCCAAGTACGAGAGCCTCTCCGAGCAAGATAAGGCTCGATATGACCGGGTGAGTACGGGGTTCGAGTCTTAAATACAAACAGCATAAATGAGTGGTTAACTTTTAAAAAAGTATCACCCATTTTGATTGATTGTAGTAAGTAAGCTGTATTCTCAATCTCTTACCATTATATTTCAATTTAAAAAAATATGAAAATCAGTTTCCAAATTTCAGAAATATCGCGTACTAAAAAAAACAATAGAATTGAGAACCTCCTTATCGAAGTATAGAAATGAGGTTATGTGATTGATCCTTTGCGCTCGTTGTTTATTATAGGACTTCATAGCTGGATCATGTCAACTATACCGTATATTTAACATATATTAAAAATATATTAAGCGCAATGTTTTACTCTAGAACCAGTTTCACTTAAACTTCTGAATGATTTAAAAAATATATATTTTGTTTCGAATTTTATCATCGTAGTTATTAAGTCCTCATAACAAATTCAGGACACGAATATATTAGAACATATGAATCACTATATTCGGTTGCACCTGTCGCGTTATATCAGACTTAAGTTGATACTGGTTATAAAAAAAAGTAAACATAAATTGTTACTTGAGGTAAAAGCAGCAGGTGTGAACGATCGTGGACCTTTTTACTTTGTCCCAGATCCCGGACGAATAAATTGACTATTTTATAGTTTTTTTTTTAATATAGCTGGCGTGTGATGTGTATTATGTGTTTCCGAAGATTGCATTAACATTTATGAGATTTGACCAAGTTATACATACATAATTGAATTCTACTATTGGCTCAACACTATATACATGAACACAGTAAGTTTTTAAGAAAAGAAAGACATGGAATTATATTAAGTACAAATTTAAATATTAATATTTAATATAAAAATTAATTTATTTTAATCTATTTCTATGATGCATTCGATTATAGTTTAACAGTTAAATCGATTTTCGATAACGTGTTTTCAAAAGTCGCTCAACAAAGGACAATGGCAGGCATGTATGGGACTTTTGTACCGCCTCGCGTATCTCATGGTAGGGATTATCGTTGTATTTATTTAGCTGATAATATCTTCGAAAATTATAGTTTTAATTACCAAATTTTTAGAACTTTTCGTTCAAAGGTTATTTCAGTTTGTAATTTACATAATTATAGGCTCTACTGAAGTCGATACCTATGACAGCTGGCTGTCACAAATGAGGTAACGTAGTTATTAAAATATTATAAAGGTACACAATACTGTTATTTTCAAAAATCTTTTAAAGTTTCTACGTAGCAAGGATATTGTTCATATCCTATTTTTAGTACAAAAATACGTAACGGGTTGCACTTAATATTGCTCCGGACTAAACCTCTCGTGATTTTCTCTTACATTAATCGATCTGTTCCTATTATAGTAGCTAATGGTGGTTAAATTCTAAACTTATGTAGTCTTTCGATAAAAGGAAACTAATTGATGTTAACCAAAATTATCAATTCATTTCCTTAAATTAATTGATTTAAAATAATTCATTCCTTAAATACTTTGTCCAATCTGTACAGTCAATAATAGTCATTTTTTTTACTGCTAAACACCTAGTGTATTATCTAATTCGTAATTATCGTAAATATTGATTTAAACATATGAATGTAATTTAAATTTTATGTATGGCAAGTTTAGAAAACGTAGGACCGCGTTTTGTTCATAACACTTGAACGTTTAGTTATTGCAATTGTAATATTTTTTAAGAAGAATTTATATTTAGCAAAAAAGTTAGGAAGATTCACTTTATAATCAGTACAAATATCATAACCATCCATCAAATAATACTAAGTGTACAGGATCTGTCGTTCTTCTTTGCTGATTACACTGAAATAATATTATTATATCAACAATGTCATATTTTACATATTACATATGTATATTATATTTTACAATCGATATCAATACTTAACTGCAAAAATATCTTTCTAGGAAATGACAGCATACAAGAAAGGTGTTCCTTTGGAGTTAACGCAAGCCCCAGAGGTAGCGCCTGTGGAAGCAATAGAGGTCGAAAACGAGAACGACAGTGACTTCGGGGGCGACTTCGAAGCCGACGAAGAGTACAAGTGAATGTAACCTGAACTCACCACCGTGTGACCCTGGCCATGTGCACAGCCTCTACAGTTGTTTACAGAGGTCATAGACACATAAGATTAAAAACAACGTTTCATTTAAGAGTAGCTATATTTGAAATAACCAGTAGGAACTCATCGATCGAGTGCATTTTTTTTAAATCTGCATTTTTACACGAGTATGGTTATTAAGTTTTTAAAGCTTATTTGTCTAAGACTAGTACATACACTGTTCCTCAGTGCACATAAATTTAGAAGTAACGTTATACATATAGCTACAGTCGACCCCTAACTTTTTGCCTACAATTTTTATATACTCAGATATTTTTATACAACGACTCGTCATTGTACATTTGGAGAGTGGAACGTGTGTTTCAGTTTCAATTGTGATGTCGTCGTCATTTTGTTTTTTTTTTTTAATTTGAAGTAATATTTTGTGTGTTTCGGTTTGTTAAGAAGCATGAAATTTTAACTATTATATATTGTTGTTAGACTATGACTAGTTTTGTGATTTGATTGTGCGGCATAGACAAAGAAGAGCATACTCTCATAACCGATTCCTAAGTAGCATCTTACAGTAAACCGATGTTACTATAGGTACATAAATGAACACAGATTTATTCAAATTAAAACCTTGAATAACTGGTAGACTTAAAATTGATTTAGTTCGTTTCTGAATATACGCAATTTAATGTGTTGATAGATACTGGGACAATATAAAATAATCATGTATATTACCAACGACAAAGAGTGATACCTAAAAGTTGACGTCCTCCGTATTACCTACATTGTTCTTCTAGCAGTTTTATTATATTCAATAACAAGTCTTCTTCGTTTATGCTGTGTGGTTTTAACATTGTTTCTGTTGTGGAATATTCTAATTGTAGGATCGATCGTAAAGTGGATTCGTTGACGACCACGTGGATCTATGCGATGAGATGTATTTCATTCACATTCACAGTAAGTAAGGCCCGGTATTCAGCAAAGCATAGAGGAGAGGAGACGAGTGATGTGTTTTAAATAAACCAATCAGATTCCGTTATTTACACATCTCACCACTTAGCTTCGGTGGAAATGGATCAAGCGGAGAGGAGAGGTCTCATTTTTCTATAGAATTTTGTGTCGCTAGCGAGCAATTGACGTGGCAGAGCAGAGATGTGTATAGTCGAGCGGCCGCGTGTTGCGTTGCCCGCGCCTTCTCAAACGAAACTCTTGAAATAGTGTGCCATATTCAAAATGACTCACACCATTTTCACACCATTTTCTATGGTTTCTTATCCAGAATCTATATTTTGGTCAATAATTTAAATATTGAAGAATTTGTTGTGTTACTTTAACCTCTAATTCTTCTTCCTCGAACAAATTAAGATAAAACTTTTGGTATGACATGATTCTTTCTTTCGTAGACAGCACTTGACTGGTTTCGAGCTCTCACACACATACATCTCTGCTACACACAGCTCATATCTCCTCTCCGCTACGCATCTCCCCTCCGCTTTGCGGCTGCCAAATAACCTGCCAGCTTCGCAGCACATATTCTCTCGTACTTTCAACTCTCTTCTTTGGTAGATACCGGACCTAACCTGTGAATTGTCTCTAAGGTCGGGTGGAAGGGGCCTTATCATTTGAATTATCGTGCAGCAATAGATATGTTTGGAACAAGTATAGGATTAATATGTCCATCGAAGGTACATTTTAAATAAGTGGATAGTGTTTCAAATTAGAAAAAAATGTTAGATGTAAGTTTGAGGAAGTGAGCGAGTGAGATTTTGTTATTCGTGATGAGAAAATGTATAGTTAATAAATTATATTCCTTTATTGACATTAGACTATGTTATTGATATTTCGTTTTTAAGTACCTAATGTAACATTGTTTTAGTTGAATCTTGGAAAACTTTAGACTTTGATATGTATGATGTACACACATGAAAATAATTAATTACAGAGAATTGTAAATTCTTGTGTATAAATAAAAAAATATTAAGTCGCCGATTGTAAGTCGTTCGAGATGTTTTTAACAATTTACAATTGTATTTTGTGTACATAAAAAGGACTGCAAACCGTGATAGTACTTACTTAAATTCTTAGGCCAACTAGGTTCCACTACCGTCTATAGAATAAATGCTAGAATATCCTGCTTAATGTACTATTGTTGATTAATTTGTTTTTATTTTGTCAAATATTTTCGAAAGTCTGTATTGTCTTTAATAATTTAAGTAATTCCACGAAATTACTAGACCCAGTATTGTAATGCAATTGATACCTAGTGGAAAATCTAACTATGAAAATAATATTTTAAGCTGTTGTGTAATTGTGGCGATATTGTTTTGAGTTTGAAAGTTCTCATTGTACAAAACAATAAAGTGAATCCTTTACACAGAATAATCTTTAATTTATTTGTCTTTTTTTTTGTTGAAGTACATAAACAGTACAGTACATCTAGTCCATGCTTTTGGGCACGCCGACCACGACGGGTTTGTATTCAGAAGCGACGAATCTTATCTAGGGTTAAGCCATAACTAGTGAATAACTAACCTACGAACCCTACTACTGGTAGTAACACCGATAACCTCATTACCCTTCTTTGAAAATAAGGATGTCGATAGGTATTCCCTATATTGTAAAAAAATGATAGCTATTCTATCGACACTATCGATAGTTACAATATTATTTGCGTCCCTAACAAGTTAGTAGTGGTTAGTTTGGCCTCAAATTATAAGCTATGAATCTGGTTACTTTAAATTCAGCGTTACTATAGCAGAAATTATTGTTCGTTAATAACTGTGAAGCGGTCGGGCCTACGAGTAAGCATGCATCTCTGAAAACATTCATCCTCGCGTGTGCGTTACCCCAGCAAAATAATGTCGAAAATGGTCATTTAAACTTTATAGATAATTAGTTGCTCCCCTTCTGTAATTGTTAAGCACATTTTTAAATTTGTTTCACTTAAACTTTTTTAGTTATTTCAAAAAAACATTTCCTGCTGGAGTAACGTTTGAAACGTTACCGCAGCCAGACATTTTCTTTTTTAATTGTAATATTGAAATAAATTTTAGCTAAATAATTAGTTATCTGGACTAGGTAAATGTTACAACTTATTTGGTATTGTATTTTCTTCGGCTGCGAAGTTATTCGAAATCCTGCTGGAGTAACGTTTGTGGGTTTGCTGGATCTCTGAAACGGGTAAGCGGATTGTAACCATCTTTTGTACATAACTTTTTAGGGATTAGTTTTAATTTGTTCGACAATAAAATAACAAAAATAATGGACCGTTTAAAAATTATTTAGGTAAGTATGAAAACACTTCAATACGTCCTAACACTTTAAATAAGACCTCTAAAGACTTACTTAAAACGTTATTCTATTGCTTGTAACTACCTTCAAATGTATACGAATTTTCGTAAGAATACTGTAAGTGACTAAAAAGTTATGATGAAATGTAGCTCTCCACGTTCACGATCACAATGTGTGCGGCCTTTTTTGGCCACCGATAAACCTGTGTGTGGATATATAAACTGAATGTTATGCCAACAATTAGTTGTTTAGTTCAGTTGTCTACCTGTAAAATTTCAGCGTAGTACATATAATAATTTACGAGATAATTAAATAAAAGTCATTAGAAGGTGCAAGACCGTGGTAACCCGACCATGTTTAGGTGGTTACAAAAAAGCGATCACCCAGTACATTGCGCTGTCTTTTAAAATGTTTTGTGTAATACACCTTACGATTTCGGTACAGTTGCGTACAGTGTTAAATACATTCAATATTTATTCATTATTATTACCTATTATTTATTTTGTTTTTTTCCCTAATTGATCTTAAGCACTAGTTTCTTTACTTAAAATTTATTTAGTCTTTTTTACTACCGGAGCTACAATCAACAGAAAATCTGCACTGGTCCGCTCAAATTATAAATATGTAGATACATGTATGAACGATTCACCTGACTGCAATAAAACGAAAATTTAAACCAATAAGAAATTGTTTCATTTCTTTGATTTTTTTCGTAAAGAAATAACACTAAAGTAATTGTATTTTATTTTGGGGTGTATAGAGCTTAGACTTGAATGCATCAAAATATTTAAAGCAACAAGTCATCTACAATAAGTTAAAATAGACCGAATAGTAGAAGAATACAGTTGTAAATTAGAATGCATCAACATTGCATCGCCCAACAGTCGTATACCTCGTAACCTACCTAGAACCGAGAATTATCTATACCTATGTACCTACCGTTAAGCGTTGAGCCCGTGACTGTTGATTTCTGTTAAAAACGAACAGTTGTTGAATGATATTTTGATATAATAACGGTAATTTAATTTATCGAGTGAAAGTGATACATTTTTATAGATAAAATTACTGGTCAGATAATATTTGTCAATCAAGAATCGCTGATAATACATCCTTCGCTAGAATGCGGGAGGGGAGGGGCGAAGGGATATTTTATTGTTTGCAATTTGCATCTAGTGCACTAAACTTGACCCTTAGGCAGATAATATACGTGTTGTAAAGTACGTGTGCGCTTCCGCTTTCTAATTTTGCAAATATTTATCGTATTCTTGAGAGTTCTTCAATATGTGTGTACCTAATTACTAATAATAGGCATTAATGCTAATTCGATTCAATTTAAGTAATTGTCAATTCTTGTCTTAGGATATTAATTACTAATGCTAATATTGAAATTTCGTTCAGGGTGAACAAATTAAAAACGATCATAACTTTTAGGTAGGTATATCACTTATTACTAATTTTACATAAATAATTTATTTTATTATAATTTAACTCACCGCGATTTTGTGATCAAATATTTTATTTTCTTCAACATTATTACAGAAATTATGCAATACAGAGTTTGTTCGCAATATTTTAGCCTAAGTCGATTCATCACTTAAAAAAATCCCCATCTATTCACAAAATACCTATTTACAACGTATACGTTTACACTCTTCAAAACTTATCATTTCATTTCATATTTCTTAAATTACCTATACCTACCCT